CGGGCTGGAAATGGAACGTCCCTGCCCCGGCGGATCGCGGCATCGCGCCGCCCGCGATTTCGGCAAAGTCGAAAGTGAATTAGTTTCCATCGAATTAATCGGCCGGCTATTAATCCAATCAAGTTGCGCTTAAATCGATTTAAATTCAATCAAGGCGGCGCCCCGCATTAAATTAAATCGGCCGCGCGAAATTACGGCTTGTATGCGTGTATATGTGTATGTGTATATATATATACACACCGGTATTTATATGTATATATGTTCACGAATCGCGCATATACATATCGGCTTTTAATTGGGACGAATTAAACCGGAGGATACGCGTTAATCGCCGACCGAGGGGTGGGACCTCTTCTGCGGTTTTTCGTCAACCTTCCCGACCTCTCCTCCTCCTCCTCCTCGGTTTCCCAGACCTCCGGGCGCTTTTCCCGGACCCAGGGGGGTTTTCCCACGGGAAACGACCGGGGACGATCCCTCGGGGTCTCCGCACTCGAAATAGCGACGAGGCCGTTGTTCGGCCCAGGGAAACCGGGGTTTAACCGTCTGCCCTGGCGCCGGATGTTTGGCGTGTATATCACTTCGTAAATTTAAGTTTACGGGTGCGTTCCCTCCCCCTCTTCCCTCCCTGTCTCTCCTCTCTCTCCCTCCTGCGGCCAGTCCTCCGGGACTTTCTCTCTCGTTCGAAAGAAAGGAAAGAGAGAGAGAGCCGACCTCGCGCGTAAACGGTCTATTCCGAAACTCGCGCATCCCGTCTGTGACCCGATCCGCTTTGTTTGACGATTTATACAAAACTTGGGGGAGGAGTTTAAACATTTTCCCCGTTGACATCGAGTGAAGGGGATGCGCGAAAATCGCTTCGCGTGGGTTTCCTGATTTTTTTTTCGGATGCTTTTACTCGTGTCAGGGCTCCGAATTTAGGGACACCCGGTATGCGCCTCGGCCGGGATTTCGGGAGGTGGTCGCCGACAGCAAATCTTGTACTGTACAAACCCTGGGTACATCTATGCGGAAGGTACACGGCTTTGATACATAGTTCAGTGCGCCATCTACATACGTACCGGCTAACGCCGCGCTAACCCCGGGCTAAGTCCACACGAGCGGGGCCGGCCTAACCTCCGCCCAGCTCGGCTCGGCTCGGCTCGGCGCGGCCCGACAGTCGCCGCGCGGAACCGCGAGGGGACACGCGTGCCGATGCGTCGATGCGGATCGCGGCCAGCCGCAGCCGCTGGGCGTTATTCACGGGATCATCCCCGACCACCCTCTCTTATCGGGAGGTGGGTGCACCCTGACCTAGGTTGTTGGATGACCTTATCCCCTCTCCTTATTATTTTTCCCCAGGGATTTTCCTTCCTCCTCTCGAATAAATCTCTCCAGTTCCTTCCCCCTTCGTTTTATCCTCTTTTTCTTTTTCCTCTTTTCCGGAATTTTTTCCTACTCGCCCCGACTTCTTCCTTCCGATTTTTCCTACGGGGCAAATCCTAGAGGAAGGGGTCGCAAAGTCGAGCCAGGGGAGGGATTCCCGGGGAAAAAGGAGCCGCGGAAGAGACGCGTCGACACCCGGACGGCCGGTTTTTCCCGCGGACGCTCCCTCGGATCGGATTTTTCCCCGATTACGGGCTTCCTGGGAATTGCGCCCTCTCTCTCTCCCTCTCCTCGGCCGCGACTCGCGCTCTCCCTTTCCATCCCTCTCTGCGGATACGAAGAGTGTATCACATTGGGTGCGATGAATTCAATTACGATCGGAGAGCTATCCACCCGCCCATCCGAGCCAACCCTGCGGTTCGGGGGCCCCTCCACCTAGAGAGAGGATATCCGGCGTATCCGCGGCCGTATCCGGCGCATCCGAGACCCATCCGAAGCCGATGGCGGATCGATCCCCCCCCCCTCCGCGGCTCCTTTGCGGCCCAGCCGCTAACTCGCGGGATTTTTTTCACCTTTCGCCGCGTTTCGAAATCCTTCGCGGAAAAATACATACATATGTACGTATGTGTGGTCGCGCATAAGTATATGGGAGGTTTTATTCCCGAGAAATCCGGACGGGAGCGGAAGCGTCGAGGCGCGTGTGCCCCGCGGTCGGCGGTGCGCGAAGAAAATGACGCGGCGGCGATTACTATAATCCCGAGGGGGGAGCGGAGGGACCGCGCGGCGGGCACGCTCTCGTGCACCGGAGCGGCCACTTGATTGCGCAATTGTTTTGTCGAAAATTGTCGCGAACGCTCGTCACGGGCCTGCCCGGCGCGAAAGCGTGTCTCCTTAATTCTCTTCTGTTTTTTTTTTCTTTTTTTTCGTTCCTCCTTAATTCTTTTATTTTTCATATTTTCCTACATTCGGATTTTCTGTCCCGCGAGAACCGCTCTCCCCCGCGTCTTATCCCTGGATCGGGAAAGAGGGGGATGACCGAACTCCACCCAAAGTTGGCAGATCGCCGATTCGCCGATAACGACGCCCCGCGTCGACACGCGGGTAAACGCGAAACAATCCGATCTCTCTCGGCATGGCTCGGTCGCGCGCTCGCGCGCCGCATCAATTAATCGCAAGTAAATAAATCTATTTATCCGAATTCCGCGAGCGGAGGCGCGACGGCCGCCGGCACGGTATCACCGCGATAGTTTAAACATTAGACCGCCGGGTAAAATATTAACGCGGGGCGCGTCCGCACCGACGCTGCGGAATCCGCGCGCGAATCCGCCGCGGGCGGGTGTTTGCGCGGCCGCCGCGGCCGGTGCGTTTGCACGACAATTAACGCGTGCACTCGACGTCCTGGCGGCCGCGCGTTTACGTTGGCGAGCGCGTCGGGAAGGGAGGCCCCGTCGAAAAAGGAGAAGAGGTGGGAAAAAGTGGTGGATCGTTGCTTTTTTTTTTTCTTTTCTGGCAGAATTTCATTTCTTTCCTTTCGTCCTTTACACTTTCGCGATCGAGATCGAGAAGGGCGAATTTTCTATTTTCGGCCAACCCTGGAGGAGCTCGGTCGGGCTCGTCGCGTGGTCTCCGTAGACCGAGGCTCAGTCGAGGCTGGACCGTGCACCGAGACGCACCTCGCCCACCCTCCGGAACCTCGGGAGGGTGGCGGAGTCCTTGCCGGCGCTCCCGACGTTAATTTAGACGAATTTCATTAGAACAAACGAACTTTGCTAATCCGCGGTAATCTGATTAGAAATTTCCAGGGCGCGCAAAACTCGGAGCTCCGTCTATCTCTCTCTCTCTCTCCCGGCCTCGATCCCTCCCCGCGGCCTCGGTCGCTCTCGCCTTCTCGCTTTCTCGCACCCTCGCTCCGTCTGCTCGTTGTTGACTAAAATCCATCCCCCCCTCCGACCCGCCCGCCCATATCCTTGCCTGCAAATATTTGCCGGAATTAGCGCGGAGTAGCGACTTGGTGGACGTCCCGACGAGGAGCGTCGGCGAGGTCGGGCCCGATTTTCGGGGTCGACTCGACCCCTGGCTCGGCCCTTTCAATTTTTCTCTCCCTCCCTCTCTTTTCTTTTTTTTTTAATCTTCTATCGGTCCCGAAGGATTATAGGGGAGGGGGGAATTCGTCACCCGCGGGGAGGAGCGTCCTTTTCGGGGGTGGCGGTCCCTCTCTCTCTCTTCCTCTTTCCCTCTTCGCCCAAGAGGGAGAGCAATTTCGCGAAATAGCGGCCGCGCAACGTCGGGAGTGCCACGTACTCGCGCGTGCACTCGACGTGCACTCGCCGTACGTAGGACCCGCGTAGGCGCATGTCTCTCCTCTCTCTCTCTCTCGCCTAACCACACAAAGAATTATTGAGCAGTCGGCCGTTCCGCGGGCGGGGGGAGCTGCAGTTGCAAGTCGGACACAAAAGTGTATATCGCGGCGCGTGCATTTTTCATTGTCTCGTGTCCCCGCGGCGCAGCTGAGAATATCCCCGGGACGTTCGGGTTGACGTGTGCATTGACGAGAAAATTGCAATGCCCCTGTGTGCCTGCGAGGCCCCCCTCCTCCCCCCCCGGCGCATCCCCACCCACTCTTTCCGCGCGGAGCCCTTTTATTTCGGAGCGGTCCGCTCTCCTTCCGCGGCCTGCAATTTCTTCCCTCTTCTTCGGAGGGATGACGGGAAGATAGATCGGGGGCTGGTCTATCTTCCTGTGCGAGATTCCCGCGTTTCCGTTTATCCGTACGCGTTTTAACGCGGAAATCCCTCCGGGGGCGCGATCTCGACGCCCTCCCGAGTGGAGGCCCCAAAGGAGTCGCGACGTCGCGACGCCGCACCCAGAGGCTTATTAATACGCAAGCGGAACCGACGTCCTCCCCTATGCAGGGTGGAAGTCAGGGTGCAAGTCAGGGTGCGAGTCGTGCGCCTTGTACGGGGCTGCAGTATTCATGGAAAAAACGCTGCGGTCGGGCCGCGCGTCACCCGGCCGGGCCGGGAAGGGGGCGGGCCAAATTGGCCAGGAAAATTGTGCGTTTTACCGGCCGGTTAGAACGCTCGACCCTCTTCACCTCCTCCCGGAATTTTTCCGGGGGGCGGAAAGTTGCCGCACACGGAGTGGCCGCGACCGCGGTCTTCGCCGGCGGATCGGGCGCGGTCGAAGCCCGCGATGAGACCCTTAAAAATTAATTTGAAAAGTCGGGACCCCGCGCGAGATATGAAGTCATTGCCTCAGGATTGCGGAATCGGCCCCAGGAGGAGCGGAAACCGCGCCGCCGCGGCGCGGGGAACTTTTCAAATGAGCCAACTTTGCGTGTGTCTTTCGCTTTCGACGTCCGCAACCCCTTCGCCTCGGAGGCCTCCCCATATATTAGGAAAGTTGTAGGTCGCTCCTCGGGATGCCGCGGGGGCACCTGCCCCCCGGAACCGCCGCAGCTGGACCTAAGACCACGGAGGGGCGCGTCTCCCCACCCGGAAAGGGTGCACCGGTCTCGACGCTCCCTTCGTTGCGCCTCCGTGGAGGTGCAAGGAAATCGCCGGAGTAGCTCTAAGTCGGTGATTTGCCGCTTCATCGACCGATCGACTAATCGGCTCCTCTTTTTTTCTCTGTTTCAGGCCAAGTTGTTGGAATCGTCCCACGCTTGGCTCGGTGCCTCCACCTCCAGTATAGCCGGTGAGTACGAACACTATCACTAAGCGGAAGCGTCTCTCCCCGTCTTCGACCGTGTATCTAGGAACCAACACCACGACCCGGCAAGGGCCGATCGCACCCTCGCGTTAACTCGCCCCGATCCGAGGAAAAGGGAAACCAGGATACGAAGTAGAACCAGAAGGACCAGCTTCTCCTTCCACGACTAACAAACCTTGTCAGTGGTCCGTCACCGCCTTTCACACCTTCCTCCCATTTATTTCTCTCCTGGTTTGATTTATTTCCATCCGCTTGGCGAGACGCGGCCAGGGGACCCGCGACGTCGCGGCGACCGAAGAGAACCACGAAGAGGACCACGGGGCGTCCAGGAGGACCGAGGACGGCGAGGAAGCAGGCCCCCGGCACAATAGGCCGGAGGAATGCGTTTTGCTCGAACGTAGAATGCAATTTAGATAGAGCCGGAGTGGCCCTCGGTTAATGGCGCCGATAACGCGACTTCCGCTCGCCGCGCGAGAGAGCGAGACCGCTCGATCCTGGGACTACCCCGAAGAGACGAAGAGCACGTCCTGGGCGCTCCCTTGGGGGCCTTCTTCCTCGCGGAGGCTCCCCTCTTCCCGTATCCGCCGGAATTCTTCTCGGACCTCTCCGGTCGTCGCCGGATCGCGGGAAGCATCCGATATCGCCTCGTCTGCGCGGTGATAAAGGGAGAGAGAGGGAGGATGTAAGAGCGTACGAGAGAGAGGGAGAAAGGGAACCAGGGTGGGCACTCACCCGAAGGGAAATCTTTAACCTCTGACCTCTAGTTCCTCGCCACCCTTCGATTCTCACCTGGCCAGGATGCTTTGCTCGGTCCAAGGGGAGCCGATCGGGGGATCCCTTCTTCCCGGTCGCTTTATTTCTCGGTTTGTTTTACCATTTCTTTTCTTTTCTGGTCCTTGCCTCGAGCCAAGGCAACGGCGTCGGTCGCGGGGACCTCCGAGGCTCCGGGTCTCCCGGAGAGGAGCGCCGTCGAGGTGGTGGCCACCCTGGTATCCGCCCTGTGATGAATTTCTAGCTGACTATTCGAGCCTGCTGAAGCTGAAGGCGCCCACGTGGACGCGCCACGACCTCCAGGAGGCGATCGAGGCGGTGGTGACCCAGAAGATGCGGTTCACCCAGGCCTCGAGCAAGTACGGGATCCCGAAGGGCACCCTCTACGACAACATCCTCGGCAAGTCTAAGAGGATGATGGTCCTCGAGGAGGCCGGCCTCAACCCCGCCGAGGAGACGGCCGTCCTCGAGTTCTGCTGCGACATCAGCGTCAGCCCCTACAACCGCAGGACCAAGAAGTCCCTCAACGCGATCCTGAACTTCGTCGAGAAGCTCAGAAGGAAGCGAGACCCGGGGTTCGTCTTCACCGGGCTCGCCGGGTTCCGCTGGTGGTGGGCCTTCTGCAAGAAGCACTCGATAGTCTCCCTCTACTTCAACGACGAGAACGAAAACGAATGACCCCGGGGCCGAGAGGGCCGGCCCTCCCCCGCCCCCCGGAACCTACCCCCCAAGAACTGGCGAGTGCTACCCCTTGCCGAGGGGACGGCTCTCGCCTAGATCTTCTCTACGGTACGCGACAAAATTCGTCCCCACGATTTACGCATCCCTCTCCTTATAACTCGAGTCGACGAGTCCTCTACGATTTCCCTCCACGGTTCGTTCGTGATAATTCAATGGATAATTAATTATTACCGGCAAGGTATGCATCCGAGGGGAAAAGTCGTGTAGGACTTTTCGGCGCCGTTTTCTGTTAGGATGAAGATGTGCAAAGAGTGGCCACGAGTTCCGTCGCGCCTTGTAGAGGGAGGACTCAACCCCGCTATACGTTAATAGATACATACGTAATTGCCCCAGAGACCCGCCACCCACGCGTTCTAGAGAAATTAGGGTGACGCGTTTCGGGGGTCGAATTTTCATCCCCGCCTTAAGAGACGGGAGGGACCAAGAACGGATTAAAGGTGTGCACACCAGATGCACTAGGTACTAATTATCGCTCGATGCGCCGTTTTGCTCGGTCGCGTCCAGTCGGAGCCCCCGCGGATTTCTTTTTTTTTTCCCCGCGGAAGGGTAGAGGTGCGACCGCGCACTTTCGGCCGCCGATGCGTCGCCGATCATTCCGTTTTCTATTTATTAAGCGTACCTTTAGTCGAGTCAAGGGAGGGGCCGCGTTGCCCCTCGATTCTCGACGCAAGACTTGCCAATCGTTTAGCGCGATCTCGCGGCGTTAACTTTTCCTTAGGTAGGTAGACGTTTCTTTTTCTTTTTTTTTTTTTTTTCTTTCCTTTATCTTTTCCCTTCGGTGCCCAGTCGACGACCTCGTCGTTTAGCCACACACTCTATCAGGGGTTTTGCGAAGCCCGGCGGTGCTACGTTCGCGAATAGGACTTAAGGGAGTTCATAAGTTAAGAGAGCAAGACTCGAGGCGGACGCGTTGCGTTTCTCCGGTTTTTCTTCATTTTTTTTATTCCTCCACCTCCCCCTTCATTCGTCGCCCCGTCCCCCGAAATCGTCCCGACCACCGTTGCGTTTCTCCACTTGCAAGTCTTCGCTTAGAGCTTTATTCGAAGTGACTAAAAGAGAGAATATATATATATATATATATATATATATATATATTATATATACGTACTTTGTACATTATTGCGATTTGTTCGGAGAATCGAGCTCGGTCGGAACGCGTCTTGCCTGGCATGAAAGCAATCTAATGTTCTTCCCCGTTTCGGAATTGCGTTGGCGTTCTTCCATTTTTTTCTTTACCTTTCTCGGAAATGTTGTACTTAGTTTGCATGCGGTCGGAGAGCCCAACCTGCGCACGGTGCTCGGAGTCGGATCCCAGTCTAGTTTGCTCAAAGGATGACCTTGTCCGCGAAATTGTAGATAGACGTTTAGGGTTTAAGCCATTTTTTCCGGCCCTCGAACGAGGAGCTCCTCGTCCATGGGAGTCGGGCTCGTTTTTCGACGCTCCTCGGCGCTTACGCGATATCTAGGATATAATTCTGTACAAATCATTAGATTTATCCTCGATACGTTAAATTATTATATTCATGCCTGGGAAATCATGAGAGACGTGTACGGAGACCGCGATTGAAATTCCAGGACTAGAAGGAATTGATAGATCTTGGAGGAAAAAAAAAAATATAGGGCGGTGCTCGGATGCAGTTTACGGGCATCTTGCACCGAAACCCCTCGGGAGGAAGTGGAACTGCGCCTCGCGTCGCGGTGCATCGCGATTAGCCAATTTCGCGGCTGATCGGCAGAAGCGCCGAGGGCGCTCCCTCTTGCACACATATGTTATTTCCGATGAATTGTATTAAACGTCAAATTGGACCAGGCCTAATTAGAGCCAATAAGTTAACTATCAAATAATCGCGGCGAATTGAGGCCATCTCTGCGCGCTGGCGCGCCCGCTCGCGGAGTGCATCGGATGCTGCGAGTGCAGCGAGTGCAGCGACGAGGAGCGACTCGAGCTCCCAGCCCAGGACGACATGCAATAACGAGTCTGCGATTAACCCTTAGCGCGTTAAGGAATTCGGCGCGTCGACCAACCCTTTTTATACGATTACGACAGCGCCGTATTTTGTTATACACGAAGTGAGCGAGTGAGAGAGAGAGAGAGTGAGGGAGAATGGGGGAGAGAATGGCGGAGAGTAAGAGCGATTGTATGGGATTTCGCAATACAATCGATACGTTACCCCATACGACGATGCGTGTATTGGTCCCGTCCCCGTTATTTTACCCTGCCCTCCCCTTGTGGCCCTAAATCAGCGCTTTTTTACAGGTCGCTCTCGCCGTCCAAGGTATACGGTCCATAAACGACGTAAGAGAGAGAGAGAGAGTAAACGAGCTGCGAAATGACCCGGAGTATATGAAAGACGAGATAGAGGGAGAGAGAGAGATCCTTTACCTAGATTTACGAATCGTTACGTACACTTACATATCCCGACGCAGCCGGAGTGCGTAACTAGGACGGTCCCTAGAGCCGCGATGCGACTCGTCGATCGACCGACCGATCCGCCGATCGGGATCGATCGCCTCGATCGACCGCCACGAGACCCGACTAATCGACCCGTCTCCGCTCTTTCTCGCGGGGGGTTGTTACAGCAGACAGCTACCAGTACCAGCTGCAGTCCATGTGGCAGAAGTGCTGGAACACCAACCAGAGCCTGGTGCACAACCTGCGGTTCAGGGAGCGCGGGCCCCTCAAGTCCTGGAGGCCCGAGACCATGGCCGAGGCCATCTTCAGCGTCCTCAAGGAGGGACTCTCTCTCAGCCAGGCGGCTAGGTGGGTTTCTTCCCCTCAACCGACCCTTAATCTACCCAAGACTTCCGGAACCACCGTGGAACCTCGTTTGACCCCCCAAGTGGCTCCGTTCATTTTTTCCCATTAATCCATGACCTTTACAATTCGACTTAAATTCATGGCCGGAAGACCAAGGACGATCTTAACCGCGGTATCTTTCCCCTTTCCAGGAAGTACGACATTCCGTACCCCACGTTCGTCCTCTACGCGAACAGGGTGCACAACATGCTGGGACCAAGCGCGGACGGCGGGGCCGGTGAGTGTTAGTTGCCATTTTCAATGATTTCTCTAAAAAAGTGCATCTTCGCCTCCCGGTCGGTCCTCCCGAGTCCCCGGTGGCGGGGCTCGGGCTTCTCGGAGGGAATTCCAGTCCAGGGGAGAAAGGGAGGGGGAGCCGAGTTCTCGGGGTCCCGAGCCAATCGCGAATAGTTAATAAAAGACGATAAACAATATTCTAAGCGATAGCCCGCGGGGGCGGAAGGGGCCCCGGGAGCGGATTTAGTTGCGCTCGTAAACGGCGCAATTACGTCGCCGCGGACTGGCGGCTCGTTCCCCGGGTGCATTAGGGCTCGTTCCTTGCGGTTATTCGATTTCGCGGCCATTGTGTTTACGCGGGGCGCTTTAATTCGTTATTTTATCGCTCGTCGGCGGGCGTTATCGCGGCCGCGAGCCTCGGCTCTCCTTCCCGCTCCGGCTCGCTCTTGCGCCCCGGCCTTCTCTCTCGTTCTCCCTCCTGGGGGATTAGCGCCCCAGGGGGGAGATTAGCGAGGGGTGGGTCTGCCGAGGAGCGAGATCGGTCTCGGTCTCGCACCTCTCGCAAGGGGGATCGCCGTTTCCTCGAGTGGCGGGCGGAACGGGGCATCGGGGGACTCGGGCGACGACCGAGAGGCGAAGGTCCGACGGCGGCGTCGGCGTCGTCGGCTGACGGAGGGTCCGCGTCTCTCTCTTTGATTTCAGACCTCAGGCCCAAGGGCAGAGGGCGGCCCCAGAGAATCCTGCTGGGAGTGTGGCCCGACGAGCACATCCGCGGCGTGATCCGCGCCGTGGTCTTCAGGGACGGACACTCGGGCCACATCGTCAAGGAGGAGCCGACCACCATGTACCCCAGCCTGGCGAACTACGCGGCCTGCAACGGGCCCGAGGGGGCGGTGAGCCCCGGGGCCGCTGCGGCCGCCGCGGTCGCCGCAGTCGCCCAAGGTGCGGATCGACCCGTCCCCAGGTAAGGAGGGCCACGGTGCACCGTCTCCGAACGCCTCCTCGCTTGTTCCAGGTCTCCGGCACCAGATGTGCAACATCGTGGCGGCGGCGCAGTCCCAGCAGGGCGTGCACGACATGATAGGCGCCAACCTGACCTCGAACCTGTCGTCGAACCTGCCATCGAACCTGCAGGCCGCGATCCAGGCGAGCCAGCAGCAGCAACAGCAGCAACAGCAGCAGCAGCACCAGCAACACCAGCACGGAGGCCCCGGGGCCAACGGGCAGAACAGCAACACCGGCAACCAGGGGGGCAACAACAGCGGCAACTCCCCCCTGAATCTGGGCATGGCGAGCCCGGGGTCCGGGGGGCCTCCGGAGAGCCCCATGGAGAGTCCCCTGGCGAGCCCCCTGGGCCCTCTGATCGACCCCGGGCACATGCCCAATAGCGTGGAGGTCGGCATCGGGGTCAGCGGCATGACCTACAAGCCCGCCCGCACCTTCGTCAGCCCCCGGCCTGAGAACCTCTTCCAGGAGGACATCGCCGACCTGGTCAAGAGCCCCCACGGGCTCAAGGACAAGGATAAGATCCCCGTGAAGCTCGAGCCGCTGACCGACTCCCGCTGCGAATAGTGGGGCCGGGCCCCCCGGCAGTGACCCCGGCAGTGACCTCGGCAGTGACCCCGCCAGGGTGCCCGCCAGGAGGGACCCAGCCGCGGCCACCCGGCCGGCGGGAGCCCCCGCTTATACATACGCCTATACATAACGAGTACATGGAACTCCGTGGACATATAGATATATATATAAATATAAATACAAATAAAAGGTATATTATATATAAATACAAATAAAAGGTATATTATATATAAATATAAATATAAATATATATATTATATATAAATATACACGCGCGAGGGACGGGCGGCGCGCACGTGCGCGCGGTAGGCCGCGCGAGCGAAGGGGAGGAGAGACCGTCTCCGGGTAGGACTCCGGGAAGAGGGGAGAGAGAGGGCGGATTGGGTCGGAAGGGAGCGGGAGGGAGAGGCTTACAATCAAAATTCGGACGCGCGAGGGAAGAGGCGCAGTTGGACTCGCGGCGTTCCCGCGGCTCTTTGGGATACTCCTCGGCGAGGATGGCGTTGCTGCGACGCGGAGAGGTATATATAGATAAATAAAAAGTATATATATATATTCAGGCGGGGGGAAGCGTGCAATCCCTTCGCAGTCGGCACTTCCGTTTTCGACGGATATCGGGGGCTGTTTACAGTTAGACCGGTGGAGGGACCCCCGAAGGCCGTCGCGGCGCTTTTTCCGGCGCCGTCGTAACTCGCGCGTTCCGTAGAAATCGCGGGGAGGGGGCGGAAGGGAGGGAATACACGGACACACAGGTTGGAAACGCGCAAAAGTAGCGAGTTCTCGCCCCGCGCGAGTCGCCGAGACTCGCCTAGGAAAGGACACATTACCACGTTATTTATACCTACGCATATGGAAATATTAGAGCCCATACGTTAATGCCAAATGTATAATAGTTCGTAAGAGTCGCGCCGCGCCAGGCCGGGCGATCCAGAGATGGCGGCGGTTCCGGGATGGGAGGGACGCGCGGAAAGGACGCCGAGCGGACGGCGGAAAGGCTTTTTTCCGATCGTGCGAACCAAAGGAGAGGGTTTCCACCGTGGTGCTAGAGCGTTTCAGTCACTTCCCGGGGAAGTCAGTCGACCCTATCCCGCCTTGCGGCAGGGTGTAAAATTGGCGACGCCCTCCACGTGGGCCGCGCGGGTCTTTTCGACGCTTCCGCTCGGCATGGGGAAATGTACAAAATTTTTACGGGCCTTTCGGTGGAGTCGGGACGAAAGGTCTAGGCGGGGAGCGCGCGTCGGGGAGGAGAGGAAATTTAAAAACGATTAACCATACGATTAAAATGCTGTAAGAGAGATCGGATATATATGCGACGCGGATGGACCGGGTCGAGAGGACCCGAGGGAGGATTGATCGCCGTACGTTATTAAAAGTGTAATGATTGCCTTCCTGCCATATTTGGGGTATGCCAAGTATATAAAATTGCTAAGTTTAGGTATTATAGAGGAATTTAACTAGGAGACGCGACCCGATGCACTCGGATAGGCGCGGATGTGTGCGCGTGCTTGGGACAATGGGAGAGAGGGACGGAAAGCGAGAGGAATGAATGGAAGAGCGAAGCCTGCCTGGGTGAAGTGATATATGCCGAATGGGTGCTTTTTTTCTCTCGAGAGATCGTGCTATTTTTCAAAATTTTACAAATCGAAGGGGACCTCGAGCCCTCGGGCGAATCCCTCTCGCCGGCTCTCGGGACTCGCCGGCCCTCCGGAAATCGGCGGAAGGATCGTTCGATCGCCACTTTTGGGGGTTCGTCATCGATCGGGCATTGGCTCGGGAACTCTTCTTCCGCCTGGTTTTTTTTTTTTTCAGACCCTCTTGTCCCGGGGTCGGGGAGAGGCTCGCGGGGGGAAAGAGACGGAGCTCGTCCTGTCGATTAGCGTCAAGTTTAAGGCCTTTTCGCCCTATCGCCGATCCCGCAATCCCGATTAAAGGAAATCCCCGTAAGTAGGTAAAAGGAGACATTCGAAGTGGCCTTCGTGAGAAAAGTTCGTCGTTTTCGCTGCGGCTCGGTCGCGCACGGAGGGATGGGCTTGTCGAAAATAGAAAAAGAAAACAATTGAGACCGAGGGCTCTTGGGTCGAAAGTGAATCTTCAGTCGCTTCCTTTTATTTCGCGAGGGCTGTCGAAGATAAAAATCGATGATCTTGATTTTCCGATTATTCTCGCGATATGGGAGGGCGAAGCCGCATCACGTTTCGGGAATCCTCCTGTCCTTTTTCTACGGCCCTCTTTTCCGTGCGCAGCGGTGAGCTTAGCGTAATTAGGAATTCAGAATTTAGGATAATACCAATTTGGCTTGGCACGGGAGAGATAGCGTGAGATAAATCGGGGGTAAATTCAAGATAACCGAGCGCGCCGGGGAAGGAAAAAGATATTCTTGATACAAGTGGTTTTTGCGCGCGGAATGCGGAATCGCGAGATACCGGAAGGGGGAAAACGCTGGATATACTAAAGTATACTTAATATTACTCGGGATCGGTAAGCGGATGGAGGGACGGGAGGGGGAGAAAATTTGAAAAGGGCGAGAGCGACGTTGAAAATGAAAACAAAAAAAAAACGTGAGATTCTAGGACTGTCTTTGGAGCTCTTTAAAGCGTAGTTACGTATTACCGATTTCTATTTTTGATTTCCAAAGAGACGCGAGCGGTGAGAAAGGGTTGGAAGGAAGGTCGGAGGGTGAGAGAGACGACGATATATCTCGGACGATACTTTTTACAATTTGGGCTGACATGTGTTCAAAAACGGGGCGGCGTGAAACGGACGCTATTGTAAAAATTAAAATTAACGGGGTGAACAGGGGGAGGGGGCGAAGCTAGGAGGCAAACCAAAAGTCCTGGGAAGCAGGAGGGGGTTAAATTAAATATTGTATAAAGGGAAAAAAAAGTAGCAAGTGCCTTCCAAACGAAAAACGTTGAAAAGAGTCCCGTAGATCGTGACCAGGGGTGAATGGGCCGAGTCGTGCAGTGACCGCGAAAGAGTTTCTCGATTCGGGACGTTTTTTTTCTCGGACGTTCCCACGCCCGAGAGAGATGACTCGAATTTCTCTGAGATCTTTCGATTAGGCGAGGAAGAAAACGTATTAATTAATAAGGCGCGAGCATGATCGAGATGGAGAGTGGTCGATGAGTGCGTGACGAGTGCGAGGCCGGATACAGTGGATGGCCGCGGGCCCTGAGCCTCGTCGTCTTTAGCGGAATCCCGGCGAAAGTACTCGGTGTATCGAAAAATGTCGCGAACAAAAGCTGTTCGCCAGATCCTTTTCAACAACTTTCGTTGGGGGTATTTTCTCGAGATCGCGCCCGCTCGGGGGAGAATGTCCTCCCGGAGCTTCCGCGGAGAGGGCAGCGGCCAGGGCGCGCGACGACCAGGCGGACAAATTCCATTTCGGATTTACACAAGTTGACACATACACGGATATACGCGAAGTACACGTACACCGGTAATACCCTGGAATGGCATGTCTCAAAAGCGGTTCTTTGCTTTCGTACGCGAGGGGCAGCGTGGGCGGGATATATAAAGAAGGGCGAGCCGATCGGTTCTTAGAGACGTTTCGTTTTCACGTTTTTTGATATATCCGCGAAAGGGGATGAAAAAAAGAATACCTATATATTACATATTTAAGACGTAAGTGAAGAAAAAAAAAGTATCTATTACGCTATAATAGAGAGAAAAAAAAAATACACACACGAGATAAATACATATATATATATAATGCGAAAAGTATATATACATTGCGGAAAACAAATATATATATATATAAATATATATATATATTGAAGAGACGCGCAGACACGTACGCACACACCCACATGAAACACGGTACATACACACAAGTATATATGTATTGAGACTAGGATTATTGCTGCTGGGTGCATTAGCACGAACGAAGGAAGAGAGAAAAAAAAAGAAAGAACAAAAAGATACACACAACGCTTTCCTTTCGTTTCCGTCGATGCCGGCGAACAGCCGTGCGGCTAAGCGCGATTATGGCCGGGTTCTCGTTAAATCGAACAAGACAGAGAAGAGAAGAAAAACGAAGAAAAGGGAGAAAAAAAAAGCATACAATTAGCGTAAAATCGTAGACTTCCAGAGGAGCGCACAGGACGAAAAAGACGACCCACCGGGCTTCGGGGGGTTCGCCGATGATAAAAAAAAAAAATGAAAGCAAGTCGATCTCGACTACCTTACACAAGCCACGGGTACATCGCGAAAGATTGCCACGCCGTCCCCATAATTTAACGAATCGACGTCGGTTCGGAGTAATTAGGGGAAAACGACACGTCCAGGCACCCCGAAGCGCTCGTAAACGGTCCTCTTTTTCTAGAGGTACACCCTCGAGAGCTAGACAGAGAACTCTTTAGCAGAACCTTAGCGTATCCGAGGCATCTCTCGATGCGACAAGGACGCGACTTTGACGGCGGGATCGCCGAGAACCCACGTTACTTTTAAAACACTGTAAATATATATATCGCCACGCAAAGGAGTACGCACAGAGGAGGGTAAGGGTGGCCGATGTGTCGAAGCGGTGTCGCACCCCCGCGTAGCGCGCAACGTATTTATTTAGGCATCGATTTAACGATAGTTTCGTCTCTCGGAGTATTTCGCTATTTATTTCTATCGCCCCCGGAGCCTCCCACGGGAGCGCCGACTCTTTTTTTGTACATACGACGCCTTCGGCTGGCCTTGGGTTTACAGGACGGTCTCCGGAAGTCCTGGCCCGGCGGAAGCGGCTCGAAATACGCGGAGGTACTCGCACTATACCTCGATGCGATCTCGAAGAGATCCCTTTTTTTTTTTTTTCTTTTCTTCTTTCCCCCCTAAGGATGGGGCAGGCATGGTAAACCCGCGGCCGGCTGGGGCGGTCCTCGGTTTCCCGATAGATAGGCAAATAATAGATAGAATTTGTTATTTAACAGCGCAAGGGACTCGCGAGGGCCAAGGATATGGCCCTTCGTAAGGATTTGTCGTCGTCTTCGCCGTCATTGCCGTGCAGTGTACGTAGAAGGTACAGGTGCACCGATATCAGTTATTTAGCGTACGTACTCACAGATATCTAGTGTTGTGTGCGGGAACCTCGCGGGCAGCCGTCGTTCGCTAACTCTTTTATTTATTACCGATAGCCGTTAGGACGACGTTCTACCGAAATATGCTATACTATAAATACACCGTATATATATATATTATAGTGCATATATATATATACATAACGAGAAATAAGCGTACATTACCTACCTACCTTACCTAGCCGCGAATACGGAGGAACAAACGGAATCACGCAATCATACATTTAAGTTGCTACTTGGCACGTATACCTAAGTAATATAGTAACCTAAACAGTATGCAATAATAATAAACATGAGAAAGAAAATTCCAAAGGATCCTTCGTCATCTCGAAATCCTTTACCCCCTTGAAAAACGTCGTAAAAAAAAAAATAGAAGGGTAAGCAATCGCATGTCTTGTTGACGCTTTTCCTCTTCTTTTTTTCTAGTTAATTTCCGTGGCCATTGGGAGGTTCAATAAAGACTCTTGATCCGTGCGAGAATACTCAATTTACTAGTCAGAGGTAAACAATTAAATTACATTGTATACGGAAGGTAGTTTCTTTTTTTTTTCTTCTTTTCTATGCCGTTTTACGTAGTTACAGTGAGGCTTTACAACGTATACTCGCGTAAGTAGAGCGAACAAACTGCGGAGCGGCCAAGGGGTGCCTTTAGCCGATTGCACGATCTTGATCCAGAATTCCGCATTGCGGAATGGAGGACTCGGCACACTTATCTCTCGGGCGTCTAAATACTTCTTAATCTCCCACTTGTTCTGCGATAATCTCAATGTGAGCCGCCGCGTTCCCAGTTACACCTTTGTACCGCTGGGAATGCTGTTTACGGCGATTTGTTCGGGCCCCTTAGGAACGCTACCTGCAATAGGTATTTGATTTTGATCCAGTTCGTTCTTTAGCTCCTGCTGTTGCTGCGGAGCGCTTTGTTGAGTATTTTGTTGCTGTGATATGTTGGTTTGAACTTTAGGTTGATAAGGGGGTTGTTGAGGGACTTGTTCCTTTTGGCCTTGGTACTGTGACTGAGCATGTCCTTGATAGGGCTGATGAGGAACTTGTCCCTGATATTGTTGCGGTGGCGCTTGACCTTGATATTGTTGGGGTGGCGCTTGGCCTTGATATTGTTGGGGTGGCGCTTGGCCTTGATATTGTTGGGGTGGCGCTTGGCCTTGATATTGTTGGGGCGGCGCTTGGCCGTGATATTGCGGCTGTGGCATTTGGCCATGATATTGCTGTTGTGGCACTTGTTCGTAGTGTTGTTGGCCGCCTTGGAATTGAGCCTGTTGTCCGTGATTCAAAACTCTAGGATCCATGGGAGGTGCGAAGCCTTGATTGGGACCGCTCTGAGGCACGTTAGCGAACTGTGATGGGAACTGTGAATAAACAATTGATAGTATTGAAAATACCCTTTACAAATATGTAGATCGATTGACGGTACGTTAACTAGTCGCTTTTGCATTCGTAGATAACTCGACAATACACTCGTTCACAAAGTCACTATCTACTAACCTGCTGCTGTTGATGCTGCTGAGGTTGGTACTGTTGTTGAGGATGGTGCCCCGGATCATAGTTACCAGAGTGTGGCGATAGCTGGTAACACAACAGAAGGTGCACAAGCTATGTTAACTACTCTACTCCCTACTATTTGTTATTCCTCGTAAAATCAAACAAAGACAATAATCAAGTCAGCTGTGTAGAACGAAACGTGCAGACTTACTTTCGAGATTCATTCCTGATTTAGGGTGTCGGGTAGGAATCAGTAGTTTTTTGAGTTAAAGAATCAGACGTTATCATGCTCATTCCTTAGACGCTTCAGCCAGTGGGGCCAAGACGACGTGCAAATGAAAAAAAGTTAAACGGTCGAAACCACGTACGTACCACGCCTTGCGCTATTAATTTCTGTATCTCTTCTTGCCGCCTTCTCTCAAAAGCTTCGTATTCCTGAGTAGAGTACAGCTGTTGCTGGTCCAAAGGCTCCCAGCCAGGGTCCTTCTGGAACTCTGGTTTTTTGGTCTGCTCCAAAAACTCCAACCAGCTGTGAGGAGTAATTCGTGCATATTGAAGTAGAAGGAACGCGTCAGATTCATGGTTTCACAATTATTACCTTATGAGACCATCTCCATTAATGTCAGCTTCTTTGAAGACATGCTCCCTCATTCGCTCCATTTCTTCGACGCGCTCTCGAAGGTCGTCCTCTGGAGCTCCTTGGGCATACATCTTATCCAACTCTTTCAGGAAGAGAGTCTTTACTTCATTTTCGTCCCACACTCCGTTACTGTCCAAATCTAGTTAAATGTCATCATTAAATCCACTGCTGTAGTTGGAAGAGTACTGGTCCGATCTGTCGGATATCTCACCGTGTAGATAAAAGAATGTTTTCGGGTCGAAGTCCTGACCGTCCATAAGATCCTGCTTTTCCCACACCTCTTCTAGCTGTTGTTTGCTTCCAGGATGGTGCAGCTGGGAAATATTTAAAAGTTCAATCCAGATGTCTGGAAGAACGGCGAAAAACACCTCCGAGCCAGCAGTTCGGAGGAGTACCGGGGAACCCACTACCCACCGGCTGATGTTGCATGTGCTTCTGTTGCAGCTTGTGCAACTCCTCTTCGTAATCCTTCCTTTGTTTCTCGTCCATCCCTGATCACAACCAATCGAGCCAATTAAAAAGTCCCTGCTGCTTGTCATTAAATTAAACCGTTCATGCAACTAAGCACAAAATCCCAATCCCAGTTACCAGTATTACCCTTCATCTTCTGTTCCTGTTCAAATTTCTTTTGCATCTCGTACTCCTTGAAATCTTTCCTTCTTTTCTTGTCAGCCTCGGCTAAATCTTGCGTAGTCTGAAACGTTTGATCATAAAGAAACTGAAAAATAGTCACTTTTCTAATTAGAAAAGGTTGGTTTCCTCGCATTACAGTTACCTTAGCTATTAATTTCTTCAAGTCGTCAACTTCAAAAGTATTTGGATTATAGTTAGTAATATGCGAATCGATCTTTAGTCTCGAAGGATCCAAGCCATTTTCAAGCTCGTATTCCTTTACCGCCAAGTGTCTCAACCTTTCTAATTCTTGTCGTTTAAGCTCGTCTAGTTTGGATCTGACCTGATGGCCCACGAACTCCAATTCATGTGCTATCTTCCCACTCTGAAGACCAAACAATCCTATATTCTATACATTCACTAGTGACGACCGACAGACCCGAACGTGCATTTACCCGAATATCGGCTTCCTGGGCATTCTCCAATTTACTACGGAATTCTGGATCGCTCTCAAGGGCCTGAATGACCTCTTTGAGATACCTATGATACTCCACGACGTCTTCCTGAGGTAAAATCACAAAGAAGCTAAAGATCACAGAAAAAGAAACAATAAAAACAACTAGAACAAGGAAGCTTACCATTTCTTCCTTTTCCTCGACTTCATTCTCCTTGTCACTGTGCTCATCGTCGGTTTTGTTTTTAGTGACTGGTGGAGCAAAGGACCGCTGTACCACCGCGAACGCTATCGCTATCACAAGCAAAAGTTTACGCATCTTTTCGGAAAAGCGTTTGGAACAACAACACGGAAGATCTCATGTGAAACTCCGCCGAATGGAAGCCACGTCATTCACCATGGAAGAGGTATACACAAGAGATAAGCATTATCTCTGGCGATATCCTTCCGAGTGGAGGCGCGTCGTTTGCAGCTGTTGCAGCGTGAAACTGTTTCGATACGTCGCCGATAGATGGCAACATCTTAGCAACCATTGAAAAACGGAAAGCATCGACGCTCTTTGTTATTCATTGAACCGGCAAAAAGTCGCGCACAACAGTTCAACAGTCGCTATTTTCCGCGCGTTTTGTGTGATCAAGTTACGTTGGAGGAACGGTGATCTTTTCCGCACTCGTGAATGACCTGTTCTACGTCGATCAGCGTGAGTGGATCGAGTGGATGTAGTTGTCCTGACAGGAAGCAGGTACAAAGAGGGTAGCCACGCTCTAAATCGCTGGGAAGATGAACAAGCTCGGAAAACTCAACTCCTCGATTGACATTATACCTCTTCAAAGCTCGAGCGGTCAAACGAAAAAGAAACCCGTCATGAAGCAAGCGCAGGAAGAACTACCAGCTCGGATTTGCCGGGATCCTATGTTAATTTCTCGCGTGCGAGAGGTAACCACAATATCACCTTCCGAGTCTTCGATAACTTCGATACTGTTTTACGAGTCTTCGATGACTGCGGGGTCTTAGTTTGGAAAAGGAAATTTTGTGTCGATGTTGCTTCAGTTGTTTCAGGAGCTGAGAGTCACAGTACTCGCGACGGTCTCGTGTTCAATAATTTTTAATTTATGAAGTAATTGTAAACATGGAAGTTAATGTTAAACAAAATTAATTTTGCTTGCTTTGTTGCAGTATTTGCATGAAAATGTTGACAAAATCTACATCGATGTAAATAGCGTGGCAGATTATTTACAAAGAACATTCAGAGATTATCGCATGAAGAAGAAGGGATCGTTTCGTGCAATGGTGCGCATGGCTTATGAGGAAATCACCGATTCTTATACAAAAAAAGCTATGGCCTCGCAGAATGATGATGACGAAGACGAAGATGAAATTAATTTGGATGTATGGAGTATTTTATACTTTTTAAAATGTTTTCGATAAGAATGTCTTCAATTTTTTGGGTACATTCAATAGTCTCATTTCAGTGGGACACTCATAATGAAATGCTACATAACAAGTTAACTAAAATGTATGAAAAGGTCCTGGCAAAGCAAAATGGAAATTCCAGCGACAAGGAGTTAATAGATATTAGTAGCGACGATGAGCAGAGTAAAGTTGAATCGGTTCCTGCTAAAAAGGCTAAAGAAGCTACTGAAAAGGAACCCAGCCCAAATGTCCAAAGAAATCCAGTGCATTCGTGTTCTAGTGGGTTAATACAACGGTGTGCATCTACTCAACGGGAGTCTACGCAACCGCAGACAGTACGTATATTATTCTCGTTTCTAAAATCACTCTTAACATATAAACATTAACAACAATTTGAAACCTTGCAGGTCTCAAACAAAAATAAAGAGGTACCGCCAGCACCACCGGAGAGACAAGTGAGGAAGAGACTCAGAGAAAAAGAGTCCACACCAAGTTTCTATGCTAAAAAGAAGGAACTTTCCGTTGTCAAGTCAACCGTCAAGTTTGCCGACGTTGGTGGTTGTACCAAGGTTCTAGAAAGTGTATGCAAATTACTCATTCACATGAACCATCCCGAGGTCTTCAAGCAGCTCGGTATATCACCTCCAAGAGGATTTTTACTTCATGGTCCACCAGGCTGTGGAAAGACCCTATTTGCTCACGCAATCGCAGGGGTACGAGAGATTCAACATTAATTTAATCTTTCACTTATTCTACATTAGCATAAAAACTAGCGGAAACCTATAATATCGTAAACTCAGATCCTACAATTTTCTCTGTCTCAACGATCAGGAACTAGAGCTTCCAATGTTGAAAGTAGCAGCCCCCGAGTTAATTGCTGGTGTATCAGGAGAGAGCGAGGCTCGCATCAGAGAATTATTCGACCAGGCCGCCAGCATTTCTCCTTGTATACTTTTCTTAGACGAGATCGACGCTGTAACACCTCACAGAGCTACGGCTCAAAGGGAAATGGAAAGACGCGTCGTTGCTCAACTTCTATCCTGCTTGGATGGTTAGTGAATCTACTTGACATTGTACACGACTGGTACTCAGGTTTAATTAGTACCTCGCTTTCTCTTCAGATTTAAGTACAAAGGAGAATGGAAATCGAGTTCTGGTTATCGGTGCAACGAATCGACCAGACTCCTTGGATCCGGCATTGAGAAGAGCTGGTCGCTTCGATCGTGAAGTTTGTCTAGGAATTCCGGATAAACAAGCGAGAGCCGAGATCCTACGAGTTCACGCCAGTAAGTTAGCCCTCGAAGCCGATGTCGATTTGGAAAAGATTGCCGCCCTCTGTCCTGGCTTCGTCGGTGCCGATCTGGTGGCGTTGCTGCGCGAAGCTGCCATGGTCGCTATAAATAGGTACGCTCGTTTGAGAACTAAATGACGAAAATAAAAAACAGACATATCACCTATTTTATTTGCAGAGTATTCGAGAATTTGAACAAACACGCAGAAGATAATAAAAAGAACTTGGAACTAGCGATCGAGTCGGCGATCGATTGCGAAGCCCTGCCCGAGAAGGAAAAGGATATTGACGAGCACAGGGACATTGGAAACATCGACGAGGACGACTTGGAGATGGGCACTGCAACCGACAGTTATCAGCAAGCCAAAGACCCAGAACCAGTGGAAGAAAATCCTGATGACCCTATCGTCACCGTTACGGATACGAGTAAAGAACAATCAGCGGAACCCAAGGGGCTGGCCCACCTCCTATCGTGGCTCCATGATAACACGGCCGTCTCTTCCGATCGCTTAGCTGAACTTTTCATCGAGAACAATGATTTTGAAGCCGCTCTTCGGGTTGTCCAACCCTCTGCCAAGAGAGAGGGTTTCGCCACAGTGCCTGATGTCACTTGGGACGACATTGGTTCTCTTCAGGATATTCGACAAGAGCTGCAGATGGCCATAATGGTAAACGATTCAGTTCAAGAGCTTTCCTCAGAAATTGTTGATTTACTCGTGATGGAGTTTTCTTTATTAAAAATATATAACTCGGATCTATTTAGAAATTGATAATTTTCTGTTCCAGGCCCCAATTAGACATGCAGATCTGTTCGAATCCCTTGGACTGGTTGCACCCACTGGCGTCCTCCTGTGCGGCCCACCTGGATGTGGGAAAACTTTGTTGGCTAAAGCCGTTGCTAACGAGGCTGGCGTAAATTTCATCTCTGTCAAGGGACCGGAGCTGTTAAACATGGTAAGTTATCTGGACTAGTTATCGGCCATGCTTGGAAAGAAAGTCTACAACGCTCTTCTTTGGCCCTTCACAGTATGTTGGCGAGAGCGAGAAAGCCGTTCGTCAGTGTTTCATCAGGGCGAAGAATTCAGCTCCTTGTGTCATCTTCTTCGACGAGTTGGATGCCTTGTGTCCGAAGCGATCCGAAGGCGACAATTCGGCCACATCGAGAGTCGTCAATCAGATGCTAACTGAGATGGACGGTGTCGAAGAGAGGAAGGGTGTGTTCCTAATGGCTGCTACAAATCGTCCAGACATTGTTGATCCAGCAGTATTAAGACCTGGGCGCTTGGATAAAATTTTATACGTCGGTCTTCCCACGCCTTCCGATCGAATCGACATTTTGAGAGCATTAACCAAGGTACTATGCGATCTTCTATATCTAACCGGAGAAATCGGGCATAATTGTTATTCGTTATGATACGGGATGTTTTAAAATTGGCATAATTTTTTTTTTAACAGAACGGTACAAAGCCTAAGTTAGCGAACGACGTTAATCTCGAAGATGTGGGCAACAGCGATAAATGCGACGGATACACGGGTGCAGATTTGGCAGCTTTGATTAGGGAGTCGAGTATGGAGGTGCTGAAGGAGTCCTTGAATGACAACATTAAAGTCACGGAAATATGTGCAAGACATATCGAAGCTGCGTTCGATAAGATTCGACCTTCCGTCAGCGAGAGGGTACGTAAATTTCGCATAAAGCCAGGACTTTCATAGAATCGCTCGACTTAATCGTTGTACCGCAGGATATACAGCACTACGACAAGCTGAGGAAACGATACTCCATCTCAAAGAAGGCATCGCAGTACGACACGCCCATGGAAACTCCAGTCGACCCGCCGTTAATAGACACCACCATGGAAGCAATGGAGACCTAAGTTACAACCAGCCTGCGTAAATAGAGTATAAAGTATTTTGTCACTATATTGTTTATACTGCGCATTCCAATGATACACAGTTACTTTCGAAGTTATCCGGGACTCTTAGAACATCCCTATTTACTATACTCCCGTTAGCTGGTCGAGTTGGACAGAGATATCGAGAAGGAATGAAAAAATATCCTAGAGAACCGTAGTTGCCGATCAGTGAGGCAGCCAGCGTGTAAATACCGCGCGTGTCTCTTAATCTTGTACCGTTTTAATTCGAGTGTCACAGGTGATCGCTGCCAATAAATAGTATCCCACTTTGCGTCTTGTCCAACTCCAAACGGATATCTCTAACGTTCATAAGGAGGTTCTTTGATCTAGTCCAGTTGAAAAAGCCCGCGCCCTCTAGTTCCTAGTTCCGCCGCCGTGCAACAGATGGCGCTCGCCGCGCACGTCGCTCGCCTCCTCTCCGTCCCGCCCTCTTCTCCTTTCGCTCGCTCTCACTCCATTCTCCCCGGCGGAGAGAAGATCCGCGTCCGGCGGGGAATCTAGAGGCGGAAATCAATAATGCACCGCCACCTAGAGGGCGACGCGCCGTGCGCAAACGTCAAAATCAAATAAATAGTCGTCTGCAGTGGGCGCCGAAGAGCGGACGGTCGTCTCTCCTGGCGGACGTGCCCGAGTCGCGCATCGAGACGCGGGACTGCGAGGCCCCCGGCGCCGACCCATCCACCCTGGTTCCCGATCGGGCCCGACTTCGCATGCGAGACCCGAGGCCCCGCCAGTGAGCACCGATGCGCGGAAGGCTACGGATCGGGAGCACAGTGCTGGCCGCCGCGGGCCGGCGTGACGGGCCGCCCTTTTAATCCAGCCGAGAGTTATGACGCTGGAGGACCCCTTTTTCGTCGTCAAGGAGTAAGTCCGTTTAACCGCGCGGTCGCCCTTAATCGCGGATCACTTAATCGCCGTTCCTCTCTAACGACGTTAGTTAAAGGGAACACCGAGCTCCGGTTATATATACATGTATATATGTGCCCGTCTTGCGGGCACGCGTACACTTAACGTACCGTCACTTTCCAGATAGACTAGGAGATACCAGCGGATATCGAGTAGAATCTCTACGAAAATTCTGCTCACCCTCTTATCGAGAGTTTCCGGTCAGCGATTGACGGAGTATCGGAGGATACCTGCCAGGGACAGGTGGAGTCGGTTGAACGAGCCCTTTTTTTCTTTTCTTTTCTTTGAAACCATGCTTTGAGAGAGGGAGGGATAGAATTGGCCAATTTGGACGGGAGAACGGACGATGCTCCTTTATCGGAATTATCAATGGGTCTCTGGGAGCGATTCGTTAGGGAATTCGTTGTAGCAACGTTAACTGGGTCTTTAGATCGTGGACGTCGAACCGCGCGCACACGCCGGGGACACAAAAGGGACGTATGGGAGAGACAAAGACGGAGATTCTGCGCTCCGGCTTGAAAAGCCGCTCGGGGCTCGAAATAGGACCGCCCTTTGTCGCGAATCGCTAAAGGCCGTGTTAAAACGCTGAAAGACCTCGGGTATACGAAACGGGGCCCTTTCTCGGGAGTTTTAACGCCCCGGATGGTGTCCTTTAAGAGGCGGGAAATGGGGAAGGCGTTTTTCAACCCCCGCACGTGTTTCGGGGAGAAATTCCGATCTTGCCCCTCCCCCTTTTCCCCTTCTTCGAGGTGCGGATTTCGACCTCGCGCTCGAAAACCAGTCGCCAGCTAAATTGGCCCTGGTACGCGATAACTGTGCCCCTTTTTATCGCACCCGATGCCTATCATGTCGAATAATGACGCCCGTGAATTGTCCAACCTTCTCGAGGATTTATCTCCCCGGATATGCCGAGATGTATTATTAATTCCGTTCGAGATAAACGGACGTGCAATTGCACTTTGCACCTTGTCGAACCTCTCGGACGTTCGCGGAGACTTTTCGAATATCTCCGTCGACGTTCGGTGGGCTTTTTAAAACGCGCGCTCGGTGGTCGTACTTCACTTTAAGGTTATGTGAAAGTGGCGTCGAAGAGGCTTTGTTTATGAAACTTTTCTCCCAACTGGATTTACCGAATAGCTCGAAAATTTACAACGTGAATAGGGAAACTATAAGGAAGGTCCTGAAGCCCATGAAATTTCAATTCTTTTCAAATTTCTTTATAGGTATTTTAAAAATATTTTATGAAATATGAAATTTCCCGAGTTACAGGACCTACCCCTGGGTCTCCGTATTCACGGTGTAAAGTATGAAACGATTTGAGACACCCGGTTTGTAGAAATGTTTTATCAACGGTTGGACTTTCGGATGCCACAAAATTAGGGGCGGCGAATGATCATTTTTCTTAAACGGAATTCATTCTTAGGGACGTCTCGCGGTATCGTGGAAATTGTTTGTCGGATTCGCGGAGATAGGGACTCGCTGGAATGTCTGAGCCGACGAGTTCTCTTGTTTCAGCGAGGTATGCAAGGCACTAAATAAAACCAGAGGGCTGTACGGCCGGTGGACGGAGCTGCAGGATGTCTCGATTGCGACCCCCAACCTAGGAGCCGGACTTCCGGTCTCCCGGGAAGAACTCGAATGGACCACCACCGAGCTCCGGAATGCCCTCCGGTCGATCGAGTGGGACCTCGAGGACCTCGAGGACACCATTTATATCCTTTCCGGCGCTTCCTGTTACGAGTTAACCCAGTAGATCGTTCAACGAGTCCACGGTCGATCTTCTTAACGCTCTAGAATTTAATTCTTGCGAATTGTACTCGACCAAAAGGGTCGACGTAGTCGTCGGGTATTTTTTGCATGTTTAACGCACCTCCTGGTGCAACATGGTAGCGCGAGTTTGTGAAAAAAAAAATGTCTAAGCGTTCTAGAATTTAATTTCCGCGGATTGTATTTGACCAAACGAGTCGACGTCGTCATGGGGTTCTTTTTTCTTTTTTTTTCTTTTTTTTTTCCAAGTTTAACGCACCTCCCGGTGCATCAAGGTCATCGGGGCGGGATCGGTCATTAATTTTCCCGAGCGGTATCAATCGATGCGTCCTCCCCTAGGACGTGTAACCGAGTCATACGTACACGGGTGAGGCGATTGCGACAATTGCGGGCCGCGATAAACCGTGGATAAATCCGAGTCAATAGAGCGCCGATAACGAGGTGCACGAACCGCGATGATGGACCGACACATCTCGCCGGTTAATCCGACCCGGGGTTCGTTATCGTCCCGGAGTTAATTGTTTACGTTGACCTTGACTTTCTCGATAAACGCATAGTCGAGAAGAACCCGACGAAATTCAAGATCGACAACAAGGAGCTCTCCGTCAGGCGGAACTTCATCGAGCAGACCAGGGAGGAGGTTAAGGTGAGAACCCGCGGAAACGATTCCTCGTGACCGTTGAAGCCACGCTAAATCCCCTCCTTTGCATTCCGCAGATCATGAAGGACAAGATGAACCTGAGCCGCGGTCGCGACCGCGACCGCACCGCAAGACAGGTACGCCTGAAATTTCTGCGGGAGAGGTTGGAATTTTTCTCCGAAAATCCGGCCGAGCCCGTCCTGGCATCCGCCACCCCGAGGGACGAGGGGAACCGAGGAACGCGTCTCTGGTCTCGTTTTAACGGGGCGGAAAGTACTCATCGATTGGAAACTTGATCCACTTTCTGAGTGCCGAGAGCTACCTTCCGCCCGAGGGTCGTACATACGTATCGTCCCGCCCTCGAATTAACGGCGTGGTTTTCGTCGAGGGGGTGCAAGGACGAGTGGCATGCCCGGAATCCGCGATTCGGTATCTCCCTTTATGCCCCGATGCGTCGTTGGAAAAAACATCCGGGGGCTGTATTTCATCCGGCCGAATCGCGGATTCCTTTCCTCGCCCTCGGGAGGTCGAGAGAGATTTTATTTATCTTTTTTCTTTTCTTTTTTTTTTTTTTTGTTTGCCGCTCCACGAGTCCAGGAATGACGTCGTTTGATTTTTCAGCCCCTCCTGGATAACAGTCCCGCTCACGTCCCTGCCAGCCGTGGGACCACCAAGTACAGCAAACTGGAGAACGAAATGGACAGTCCTAATCGGCAATACCTGGAGGACACTCTGCAGACCCAGAACGTGGCGATGCACCAACGGGACGGCCACCTGGAGGTCGTCGGCGAGAACACGAGTCCTCTTGGCACGGGCTCTAGACAAATCAACTCGGAGTTGGACGAACAGGCTGTGTAAGTCGAGCCGAGGATACGCCCCGGTGTTGCTTTGTTAAATCCGTAAATTCTCTCCCCGGGAACGAGGGATGTGATACTCCGATTATCCCTCCAGGATGTTGGACGACTTCGGCAACGAGCTAGACGTCGCCGATTCTAAGCTGGACGCGACCATGAAGAAAATGGCGAAGGTCCTGCACATGAGCAATGGTAATTATAACAATTACGTGCCAGCGCCCACAACTTCGGCGCCCAACGCGTCGAACCTTGCCTCGAAGCCATCCTCGTTGTCCTCCTTCTCGACGACCATAACCAATTGTTTCCTGTGTTCCGGAGACTAAGTGTCGGTTAGCTCGACAATGGGAAGACCCGCCGACGGCCGACCTTTAGGAAGGTAACTGCGATGGGGATCTCCCAGGCCCCTTTTTCTTTTTAAGAAAGTCACTGTGATCCGATCTCGAGCTGGAGGGTGCGTACTTACGCGGAGCAAGTACTTTTAGTCGAGTTTAGTATTCAGGTTTCAGAGTCGAAAGGATTACCGAAAGCTATTTTACCTACAGATATGATTCTATTCCAGTATTATACCAGGATTACTACGGTTAGATCAGCTGACCGCTCGCTCGGCGAGCGTACCTTTTAGAAGCATGCCAAATATAAACCGAAGGTTTGCCAAATTAAATTCCCAGCATGGAAGTTTTCCCCCAAGGATTCAGCGCCATGGACCAGAAAATGCCGAATAGTACCTTCGAGTGGTCTTGAGATCTCTTAGCAGTCTTTTTTTTCCCTTTTTTTTTTTAATACTTAGCCTCGTAGCAGTTCCAACGCGAGTTAACTTCGTTCTTATGGCAAGTGCATTACTTTTTCTATTAACGCGGAGCTCGAGGAGAGGGAAAATTCGGAAAAGTCGTTAGTGGACGAAGTCGCGTACTCGGTAAATTGAAGAACCTCGACGAGGATGTAGGGAAATTTACGTAGTCTCGAGTTAAACGGCACGCATGGATGTAATTGTTGAACGTTACTATAAAGATTACCTGGTATCGGTTTAGGCGTTGTTTTAGAGTACCCTTAAAGACGTATCAATCGTGTAATTGTTAATGGACGTTGACGTCGTAGCTGCCAGGGCTTGGGATCTTCCCCGGCGTGGCGTCGTTTCTTCGGCGTATTTTAAGCATGATTTTAGGTAGCGAATTTCCGCCCCGGAATTTTCCAAGCTCTGACAATTACGCAGAGTGTTTGACTAGTTGAACTGTCGGAGGAGGTTCGCGCGAGGAGTGGTTAATTTAATAGTTGATTGCAGGATCATTACCGAGGGTTAATCGAGAGGTATGCCAATAATTTCAGGACACCGAATCCCCTTGTACAAATTATTGCCAGAAAGGATTCTTAGGCCTTTAGCGTTTAGATCCCCGATGTCGTTTCCGTACCGTAACGATAGTGGAGTTACGTTACAACCATACGTTGACCTTTAATTTACGATTGACCGCAATTTTAATACAAAGATGTCTTATTTTTACACTACGCTGCGCGCTCTGTAAACAATTTTCTTAGGGAGTATCGATGCATATAGTATTCGGTGATAGCGTTGTATCGTTGTTGATAGCATCTCAGCCCTTTCGTAGCTCGCTGGGACGCGTAGGAGTAAATCGATTCTTATGATTTGTGTAAATAAACCCGAGGAATTTGCTTATTCCACCGAGATCATTGCATTTGGAGACACTTAGTGTTAACGATATGTACTGTTTTACAGACCTAGGTACGAGAAATAGAACTAGAGACTACGATATAACCATTCCAAGGGCCAAATGTAAAGATATGGATTTTCGTTTGTAACATGATGTATTCTATATACATATATATTATATAAATATATATGTATACTTAAACAATATCAGACACATAGTTACATAGGATTATACGATCATCTAGCGGTGTTTAATGACAGTGGTAAAGAGAATGGGAAAAGGATTATTAAAAGCCACGTACCGAAGCTGTGCACTCCTTGTTATTGAACATATTATGTAGCTATTAATAAAAGATTGAAATAAAATCTTGAGAATAGTTTTACAAGTGGCGCATGTGACGTTACTTTCCGTTTGTTTTAGATTGGAGACCGTGGATAGCTATTGGACTGTTGACTACCGTATTGGTATCATTAACGGTTTTATTTGTAATAAAGTGAGTCCTGTTTTTTTCTTTCTTTCTTCCTTTCCGTAGAGTTTACGCGAGATCTCCCCGCAATAAAGAAACTCTCTGTAAATCGTTAGGATGTAAGTACCGTTATGTGTCGCATTTATTCACCGAATGATAATTTTTATCATGAAAGAGGATGGGACATTTATAGCCATGAGTGAGTAATAAATTTCTATTAAATCTCCCAGAGGGTCTCGGTGATTACGAGCTAGGTTACGAGGCCGCGAAATCGCCGACTGAAACGACTTGTCGTTAATTTACGTTTTCTCTCGGACAGACGTTTAATATACTTAAATTCATTTATTCTACGAATCGTTACACTACACTTTGTACTAGGCTAAACTGTATAAAAGTACGTCATTATATTATTTTCTATAATTAAAAATAGGTAAAAAAACGAAAGTCGCATGACATCGCGGTCGCGACTTACTGTCGCCGCGGACTCGACATGGCATTCCGTCGGTAAAACTAGCGATGTCTCGATTTTCATCTCTAGATGGACGATACATAAGTCGTCTAGTATCCGCCTCAAAGCTCCGTTCCGTAAAAGTAATTTATGTACTCGAGAATTCGAGAAATATTGGCCGCGTATATAGATACTATATACAATGCATACACGTTACAAGTAATAAGGCATTAGGGAAGCTTACATTCGCATCTCCCCTCGACGGGTTTTCGGGTATAGCAGTCGAATATCCTTCACGCTGTTTCTACTATTTAAATCTTTGGTATTAAGTGTATTATTGCAATCGTCTGCACTGTCATTAAATGCACAGATCTGGATTCGAGAGATTAGAAACGCGTCCTCTTAGTTTTCTTACTTAACTCTTTTTCTCTTTCTTTCTACTTTTAAACACGTCTTGCCGAAACGGCGAGGAGAGCCGGACTTAGCGCGAGGGTTCCAAGCGGACTCGCTTGTAGCAATCGGTTGGTAAAGCTTTCCGGATGTCGTCGATGTTCTCGACTTCGATGCGAAGCCGACTGACCTCGTTCTCGTAATTCTTAATCCACTGGGATTGGAGGTTCTTCGAGTCGGTCAGAGCTCGGATCCTCTGGTCCAGATTGGCCGCCTCGATCTGCTTCTCCGCCGCAATTAATCTCTTCTCCAGTTGGTCCAGATCGGCGTCATCTAATCGTTCAAACAAATAACCGGGGTCGTATTATTCATTTGGTTCTCTACCTGAAGGCCTCTATCGGAACTTCTCTGTACTCACTGATTTCTGGAAGAGCCTCCAGTTCCGTTATAATTTCGGCCACTTCGTTCAATGCTTTATCTACTTGTTGCATCGCTAGGGTGACGTTGGTCTTCGCTTGGCCCACCTTGTGGTTCACCTGTAATCAATGTCCGTGCTGGTTATATCGTTCATCCGTTAATTTGTAAGTCGACCGCGGGACCATTTACCTCACTGGTCGCGTTGACATCATGGGCCACTTGCACCTCGAACTGACGTATCATGGAATCCGTGATGCCAACCCTGACGTGCAGTTTCTCCGCCTCGTTACCCAAACTCAAAGCCTCCGCTTTGGTCTTATTCGCCTCCACTCTGATGTTATTTGCGTTGGTACTCGCTTTGTCCGCGCTAATCTGATCACAGGAAGTAACAGCGCGTGAAAACCAAACGGTACGCCGGTAAATAGGCATCCCGCTCAAAGGCTAACTACTCTATCTCGTCATGCGAAAAGATCATGCTCGGTCTTTGCATAGTTACCTGGGCTGTTTTAGCAACGTCTCGTGCTTTAATGGCATTCTCTTCGGCGTCGATTAGCGTTTCCTGTATCTGGTTGCCCTCACGCAGAGCATAGTTAATCAATTTCTCTATCTCGTCGATGTCTCTCAAAGCTTCTTGCGCCTTTATTCGCTCGCGTTGTACCTCGGCGTCAAATTCTTAAACAATTAAATTCAATTAAAATACATCACCGACTTGGAATCGCTTGCGACATTCGGTTTGAGTTTGAAAGATCAGCGTTGACCTACCGCTTAATCTCTTCAGGGTCTCCTGGGCTTCCTTCAGAGTCTGATCGTCGCGTTTCACCGCGTCCTTCGCTTTCTCGAGAGCTGCGTCTACCTCCGCCAGCAATTCTGCAGTTGCTGCTTGCTGCTCCTGTGCTCGGTCCAGAAGCTCTTCGCTTTGTTTAATTTTCCCTTGCATTTCCTTAATGGTAGCATCGTTCTCATCCAGCAGCAATTGTGCCTGCTCCTTTATTTTCAAGCCCTGAGAAGAAAATATCTCTTGCGTTGAAGACTGCTTTGGTGGGCTTTAATTATTCTCCACGTTACCCTCGTAATTTCTTCTTTTTTTTTTAACCCGCTTAGAAGAGAAATACGTACCTCGTTGTTGACTTCTTCTACTTGGCTTTTGAGCTCTTCGATGTTAATAGAGGGTAGGGTCAGATCTACGATCAAGATGTTCAGAGCTTCCTGGGAAGCTGCCGATGATTTTGCGGCAGCGATGCTTGAGAGATTTTTCACCTCCTCGAAGCGATCTTCCAATACCTCCAATTCGTTTTCCAGATCCCTGATCTCGTCGCTGAAGAACATTAAAAATATATTATTATACCGCAAATCTTAGGTCAAGGTTCAATCGGTACAATATAAATTACCTGATGTTGGAATATTTAGAGATCGCTTTCTTGGCCAAATTGTAAGCTTCCAAGGAAGTGTTCCTTGCCTGTTCCGCCAGCAAATGTATCTTCTTCGCCTCGTTGGTATTCCTGATAAGAAAAGTATTGAGAAATAAATTGTAGACTAACGCACTAATTTCTTGGCAGCGTTGAAGTGCAGAATCTTAAGACGTACAAATCTGCTAGAACACGTGCTTCTTGAGCGATCGCTGTCATTTGCAAATTCTGCTGACCAACTTGTTCGGCTCGAGCTCGAGCATCGACCAAAGCAGTGGCTCCGTCAGTTGCGAGATAGTCTTCAGCTTCCTGATAACATGATTCCAATGGAAGGAGGTTTTGATCTATCGAGGTCTACTCAATCTGAATAGGACTCCGACTTACGGTTAACTGTTCGTGTATCTTGTCGAGAACTTTCTCAGCCTCGTCGATGCTCATGAGACCTTCCTCCGTAGTCCTTTTGGCCTTGGCAGCCGTTAGATCCACATTTTGGGAGATCTCTTCGATTTGGTTCAGCTGATCTCTCAATTCGTCCAACTGTTCCACCAGAGTCTTCTTGTCGCCTAAAATCCCACGAGACACGAGAATAAAAAAAAATCATCCTAACCTCACTAAAATTCTCTTCTGTTCCAGAACCGTAGAAATGCTTAACCGTGCAGAAACTTACTTCCGGAACCCTGCTTAGCGATTTGCAAGAGCATCTTAACCCTCTCCTGTACGTTCTTCAGCTCGTTCTCGAAGTCGGAGTCCTTTATGACGGTTGGACTGTTGTTAATCTTTCTCAATGTTTCTTCTAGATCGGCGAGACGTCGCCTGTGGGAATTTACAGCATCCTGGACCAAATTGTAGCACGGTGGACAGTCCACGCATCCGTACTGCCTGTTATGTTTATTCTCTTTGCAGCGATCGCACCGTCTTCCTTCCACGTTTGTCAGACACTAGAAAATAGCGATACCGAGACGGTTTAATTTTTTTCGTCTTCCTTTAATCTCCTAAGAAGAAGTACTCACAGGACACTGTCCATTGGCGTCGCACTGCAGATCCTGTGAGCCGATGTTATCACAGTCGCAAAGTTTGCAGCCCTCTCGACCAAAGCCATATTGATACGGTAAGCAAGCATCGCATCGCAAACCCGTGACGCCGGGCCTGCATTGACATTGACCCGTTACAGCATCGCAAGTGCGATTGTAAGAGCCTTCAGGATCGCAATTACACGCTGTGCATCCCTGTAACAAATTGCCGTCCGTAATTGCAAGGCACAATTTGCGTCAATCCGTAATGTACCCTAACAGTGACTTATCGAACTTACTTCTCCGCTAATTATATGATAATAGCCGTCCTCGCATTTGTCACAATTCCTGCCAATTACGTGAGGCTTGCAGGCGCAGTGTCCCGTAAGTTGTTCGCAAGGAGCAACGCCACCGCTTTCCAGCTCCATGGTTCCAGAAGGATAACACTGACACAACCTACAGCCGTCCTCCTTGCGATCGGACAACGCGTCTCCGTAATATCCTACAACAAGAGTGGAATATATTAATAAGCATGTTAAATACTAACAGTACCCGTTAACTTTGCACAGGGAGAAACGACATACCCGGAAGACACTCCTCGCAATGGAAACCCGCAGTATTGTTCACGCACTTGAGACATTCACCAGTCTCGTGATTACAATTCCTAACGGCGTTCAAGTCGATATTATTGTTGCAATCGCAAGGGCGACACGATTGTCCCTTTTCAGGATTTCCGAAGTAGCCATCGGAGCAGGTCTCGCACCTTGGTCCTGTAATCGGAATTACCTCGTTGACGTAGAAGTAGATTTACCCGCGACGATGGATATTTAAAGGAATTTTTACGTACCAGTACGTCCTAGGGGACACTCGGAACAAATGGGATCAGGATTGTTGCCCAGTAATATACAGGGCCCATTGTCGGGGCAAGGACACGGCTGACAATCGTTAGCGGTTCCCTTCAAAGGATTTCCATAGTACCCGCGAGTACAATGCTCGCAATTGCTTCCGGCTGTATTATGCTGACATATACATTGGCCTGGAATGAACAACGAGCTATGATACCTGGATAGTGCACCCGTAATACCTATACGATATACGTTTATTAATTTTGCATACCAGTCTCCGCTTCGCAAATATCAGCATGCCCGTTGCAATTGCAAGGCACGCAGTTCGCGAAGGGGCCGCCGTTTGGAGGGTCGTGATGGAATCCTGGAGCACAGGATTCGCAGAATTGGCCAACGTATCCGTGAGGACACTGGCAGTGCTCCACCCAGTCCGCGGGTTCGCCGGCAGCTCCTCGATGAGCCGTCTCCAGCTTGACATCGTCCAGGAATCCTCTTCCTACGGGACAAATATCACTGCGTATTTTCGCCAAGAATTTTTAATCGGTACAGAAGCGTCCTAAAATATATTACCTTGGTGAGTGTACGTGCCGCGAATTTTTACCGCCGTCAGGTTCGACAGAACCGACATGAACGCCCTGGAAGAGAGCCTGGGCTGCCAACCGTAGTCTGGATGCTCGTGCAACTTGAACCTGTACTCTTGTGGCTGCAAGTCAAGTCGTTATTAATTATTCCCGATAACCAGTTAATACCACCCTTCACTCCACTCACCGTCACGGATGGTATTCGATTGTCTTGTCCAAAGATAGGCTGCGTAATTTCCTCGCCGTTTCCACCCTCCAAAATAACATCCCTTGCCGTAGGCGCGGGTCCAGTTTCGCCGATTCTCAGGGTGAAGGACAAGTCCTGGTTGTACGACGCTCGCTGATCCCCCAGGAACCTCTCTGCGTAGACAATCGGAATGAATTACCAATAAATATGATCTCACTGGTGGATTTTTTTTTAGACACTTGCCAGGAGCGACGAAGTAGACGTTGTCCCTGTCGGGAGCGGTGACCGATACGGTTTGCGTAAGAGCGTCGTAATGGAGTGGCATCGGGTTACCGGCAACGCTACCGGTCCATTTCTCGTTGCCTCTCACAAACATGCTCTCGATAACGACCTTAGAGTATCCGGTCGCTGGCCTGCAGACCGAAGCATGCCCATAGCAAAAACAAGGCGTGCACCCGAATTCGTTCTCGGTGGCGAGGTTGAAGTACCCAGGTCGGCATCTGTACAGAAGATCGTCTCAGGTACCATCTCCATACAAATGTCGTCGACACGCGTAAGTAACGCGAAACGTACTCTCGACAGCGCTTTCCCTCGACGTTCTCTTTACAAACGCAAACTCCTGATACAGGATCGCAGCTGGGGGTGTTCCCGAGGGACCCTTTGACACTGCAGTCGCAAGAGGAGCAACCGAAGGAGCCGAAATTGTAAAAGTTAGCCGAACATCGGTCGCACTTGTCGCCGGTCACCCCAGGTTTGCATTGGCACTTGCCGGCACTGTTGCACTGCAGGCTCCTCGAACCTGGGACGAGGATTAATGGTAAATAATTGTAAGTAATTGTAAATAATATCACGACAAGGCTAGAGATGGCCGTGATGAGATTACCTGTTTCGTCACAGTTGCAAGCCACGCAATAGCCGTCCTCTGGGCGCTGGTAAAAGTTCTCTCGACACCGCTCGCAATTGGCGCCGTCTCGATTCGCTTTGCAGTCCAAACAATGGCCCCCGTGTCCCGTGGCTCTGTACAGCTCCTTGTCGAAGTAACACCGATCGGAGTATCCGTTGCAGTTGCACGCTGCAATTCAAAGACAAACATTAGCATACACTCGGTTGAAGAGTCGGCTCCGTAATTGGTATTGACCGAAGCCGGAATGCTGAACGGCGAGTGTACAGTAAGCAGTGAAAGAGATCAAGAAAAATCACGGATCCTTTAAGTAGATCCTTCCGAGAAGCCATCGAGATTGAACGGCAATACTCAACTGAAACCGGAGGATCGACGAGCGAAACCGTATCGGTAAGACGAGGATGCGTCGATGAGGCTCAGTATCGTTAACAGCGCGATAAACTTCATCTTAATCAATGGACCCTGTATCGGAGACATTAACGCAGGGTAAGATCATCGCGACACCGCCATGGTATTAATCACTTCGAGATAATGATTAGAATAATTTGTTATAACCACATAGTCGAGGTTTATACAACCCCGGCGCACACGTTCCGTATAAGGCCGCAACGCGTGCTGGGTTTAATTCCACCGGGGTAACTATTTATGGCACGTGATTAAGGTTTCGTCAATCAGGTGGTTAATTGCGGCACGGGCGAAGAGTTTAAGTGCTCATATATTCCTCCAGACGGATTTAATTGCGCCCGGTTACGCGGAGTAATTGAGGTTTCCGTACAATGACCGATGCGGTAAACACTCCTTGCGGAAAAACCCGAAAGCCGGGGAAGTAATAAGGTGCGAATTTAATGCGGGGATATAAGGTACTCCAAGTACTGGTATTAGCCGAGTACTGAACCCGTGCTGCAGAAATAAAGCCGAAGCTGCTCTCGGGAAGGAACAATCCCCACCTTGAACACGAGCATTGAACGTAGAAGGTAAAGCTGGTTAGGTAATGCCAATGCGAACGCGGTACGTGTTCTCCACTGGGTGCTCGATAAGATTCGATCTCGATCGGGCCTTCCCTAAGACCCCAAAAGTCACCGAACGGTTCATCATAAATCACCGGAAACACTCCTCCGAATATTGATTACCTATTTTTTTGCGAAATTCGAGATTAAACCGCGGGTTAAGTGTGCATCTTCCCGCACGCGTCGACCGGGACACCCTGTAGAGACGCATTCGCCGAGAGAGAAAGAAAGGGCTCGCGTGCAGGATATGTCTCGGCGGCGCCCGACAAAGAAGTCCCATCGCCTCAAAAGGAGAGAATTGTTTTACTTCGTTAGTTGACCCCACGGGCCTCTCAACAATTGCTGTCACCGTTTGGCCAGTCCGCCTTTTCATCTCCCGAGTTAAAAAGCAAAAGGGGGAGCTCCCTCCCTCGATATGGAATTTTTATACTTTCTCATTTTTAACCTCTATAAATCATTTCTGACGCGCCGAATCCTTAATTGCGAGTGCTATTGTACGCATTTACGTGCACTTCGAGGACTCTACATCTACCCACGTGTTCGAGCACTCCAATGCCTTATTATATAAATAAAACAGTCCCGACGACGCATACTCGAGACATTGAATTAAACCCAGGTCTTTTTTTCTTCACTTTAAAGTTTAAAACCAACGATCCAGAAAGTGGCTTTTATTTACCGCGGCAGAGGAGACCGTATTTAAAATTTCTACCGATGCACTTACGTTTGCACTCGTGAGCGTCAGCGGTGGTGGCTCGTCCCCAGGGTGCATCGTTGTAAAACGGAAGGCATTCGTTGCAGTCGGGCCCGGCGGTGTTGTGCTTGCACCTGCATGTCGTAAAATGATATCCCAATATGCAACCTCGAGGTGAATTTCGATTTAGAGGTAAAGGGAGGTACAAACCGACAAACTCGACGAGTCCTTCCGTCGACGCTGGTGCTGTTAACGCACTCCCCAGCGTGTCCGTTGCAGGCGCAGCGTGCACCGACTGCAACATCGGCAATGGCATAATAATACGACTTCAAGACCTGGTCATCTCCAAAAACTTCGTCCCCGAAGGTGTTGAGCCTGACGAGGGATATTCTGAGATCCGTAGCTTGCACCCATTCCTAAAATTAAAAAAAAAATAAAAAATATCAAGGTGAAGTTTATTCCATTTCTTTCTCTTTTATACCAAAACTCGAATTCGTTCGAACCTGCAGCTCGGGGTTGGTCTCGAAGTTATACGCGGAGGGTCGTCCCTCGAGGGTGGAGAAAGCCACGGTGCCCTTACTCAGGGGCGAAATATCGGAGTACTCGGAGGTGCACAGAACCCGGGTATCGTCCCCGCGGATCGTCTCCTTGGAGTCGGGGAGTCCGAAAGTGTCTCTGCAGGTCGCCGAATAAAATTGGTACGGCTCCCAGGGCGAGTTCTCGTTCTTCCTCTTGTAGATGCCCCAGCTCTCCGGCCTCGGCGACTCGAAGAGCACCCTGACGTAAGTGATGTCGAAGGTCTTTCCTGAAAAGCGAGTTAAAATCCATATTTCACTTAAGCGTTGGGATCGTCGGCCTCTTAACAATAACCGAATTGTCTCTCCAGACAACTCAGTCAGCCTCTACAAGTGCCTGACCCGAGAGCGAAAGAAAACAGGAAGGTTTGCGACCGAACATGTGGCGTGCACCCGGCGAGAGTACTCTGACGAGCTCGTAAACATCCTTGTACCGGAGGGTATGATTTTCGGAAAAGCCTAAAAAGCCGCAATTCGGCTAAGAGGGATTTTCTCGTCGCCCCTAGAAGGTCCGTTCGTGCCGTGCGGAAATGTCGGGCGTTCGCTTAGCGGTAACGGAATCTCTAATTAGAGGATAACCGAGCCCGTTCGATCGGATGCCTCGGGCCCGAGGCATACATGCACTTCTATCCCGTGGCAAGGTTTGAACCCATCACCTCGCGCGAGAGAGATCTAAATGAAATAATGAAGAAAATCGAGTACAAGAACGTAATCGCTTAATTCGCGAGGTAGATCGAGGTGAATCTAGGTAATTCGACAGGCGCCGATAAACGTACGGAGAAACGATAAACGTCGATCGGCGAAGCCATGGACCATCCAGTCGGAATTATTCCGAGATAAGTCGATGGTTCGCTCTCGGATGAATGGAATGCTTAGACTGTAGGTCTCGGTTCTCTCTCCCGACTTTCCGCCTAGCAGGAACTGGGTTAAACTCTTCGTCTCTCCCTTCGTTCTCTTCGCTCCATTCGCCGATAACGCAGCCCAGGAGGAATTGGGTTAAAGTCTACGTTTCTCCCTTCGTTTCGGTCGGCGCTCGCGATAACTCGGCCGCCTCGATAGTACTACACATCCTCGGAGTAGTTATCGGAGGAAACAACGCGCTCTAAATTCCGGCCGGTTCCAGTAACGACCGGCTCTTAGATGACTAACGCATGTTCCTGGAAACCTCGAGGATGGTATTCAGCCCTACCAAGGTGCCAAGTCAGGTTGACTTGGTTCGGGTATTCGATGCCCTCGAACATGGTCTCCGACTGCCACCAAGTGGCGTTGTCGTTGTTATCCTGGTCCGTGAGGAAGGAGGCAGGATGGTCGCCGAATCTGCAGAACTCGCAGGACTTCTTCTGCACCCCCGTCTGCTTGCAGAACTCCGTCGGGGTCCCGTTTTCCCCGCACGTGTTGGTAGCCTCCATGAGGACGTTGAAGGCCGCATTTTCGAAGGGCGGAATGCACCTCTGAAACACACCCACACGTATCCTTTAGCTTATCCACGTGGAAAGGAGCTCGGCCGGGTCGGTCGGCACTTTTTCCAAAAGTCGAACCTGCTCCCCGACCGGACGAGCCGAACAATAATGGCACGAGCCCTTTGCCGCGCTGTGAATCTACAAGAAGTAGATTCCACATCCCTTCCAAGCCCAGCTACGCGTACCTATATATAGAATTTAATGCACTAAGCGAAATACCTAATAATAATATATAAATGAATTTAAAATTCTCCCAAGGCAGGTAGAACAGGTCCTCGACCTAGAAGGTCGGAAATACCTTTCCCGGAAGTTGCCTTTGTCCCGCGGAGGGCCCGAAATATCCTGAGACTTTAAACCGACGACTTGTACAGACGTCCCGCCCGGTTCCGAGAAAGGAAATAATTCAAGATGGGAGTTTCAGACAGAAGGTGTCTGAAATGCATCTATTCCACTACCAGACCAGAGTTCTTTCGAATTCCCAGTCACGACTTAGCGGGGAATTTTTAATAGTACGCTCATTGATGCCGCCTCTGGAACGGACAGCAGCCTCTAGCCGCGTTTATCTCCTTCTTTATCGCCGAAAGTTCAGGAGCCTCCGAACCGCGCGATAACCCTACATCCTACGACCCTACCAAAAACCAAAATTAAGTCGGCTAAGAATAGCCTCCGGTTTCTTCCGTCCTGGCCGCCGTAAGGGTCGCCTCGACGTTTCCACGTAGCGCGCACTTAAACGCAATCCAAATGCACCTGAATGTCCTCCAAAAGGTAAAAACGGTAAAAATTCCCCTAAGCTCTCTAAAATTAAAAGTAAATCAAAAGTACATTAAAAACAGATCGGAAGATTGAGAGACTTAATTGAAGATGAATTAAACCGTTCTCACGATTGATAAGGGAGTTAATTTCAAATTAACCAACCTGCGGTCGCCCATTGTCATCGTAGCACTTGTCCTCGTCCCTGTTCTTCGGTATTCGATTGAACTGTTCGTCGGAATCTTGGCTCGCCTGGGTCCCGATCAGTCCGATTAAAATCGCGGCGAGCACTCCGGAGGTCCTCATCCTTCCGTCTGGTGGTTTCCGGTTCCGGCAGTCGCGGTCCTCCGCGCTAGTTCGGCGGCGCTCCGCCGCGGCGCCACCTCTCCGCCGCGCGTGTCGCCCCTCTCGCCCACGGGTTCTCTACGGCCGCGCGATTCGGCGCGATCGCAGGGCGCATGCGCGCGGTATTCACCACTCGACCACCGGGAAGTCGTCCGTGGCTCTGGGAGATCGTTCCCAGTACTTCGAATCCATGTATCCGCCGTGGAATGCGCCGAGAGCTGAAATTCCGAGCTTTACTGCCGAGGCTGCATTCCGAAGCGAAGCGTTACCACCTCGACCCCTTAATCCGGCGATGTAAACACAAATCCCGATTTATACCCCATCTCAAGGGACCGGGGACTCGCGAATCCATCTACCGAGACAACGAACCGATCCCCTCGTTGACCCGAGAGAATCTCGTTACATCGCGTACCTCCTCGCGATAACGGCGGAAGTCATTGATAACGCTCACCGGGGATCGCAATCGCTCAGCTACGCTCCGAGTAATTTTCCGAAATAATTCCGAAATTAATAACTCTTACGCGAGCCATCATTCGTAATCTCGCATCCGATAAAAAAATCTATGAGAAGCGACTCGCTAGACGCGCATTGAGAAAATCCCTCCGAAGAGGTGCGGCGCGATGCGCGCTTTTGAATTTGAACCAGAGTTCAAGTCGCGCCCCGTGGCGGGGAAAAATCGAGATTCCCCCATGCGATGAGCTTAAATCACTCGATAAGACCCCATCGCCGTATCTTCGCGAGATTAAAAAAAGAAACCACATCATCGTGAATTACAATTTTTTTTTTTTGTTACCGAAAGGCGGAACAAGGTCGAGGAAATTACCGGCGCGTTAACGACCTCCTACGTCTCGCACCTACCTAATTTCCGAGAGCGTCACCCTCGTCGCGCGAGTGATAGAAAGAGAGCGGGAGATAAAAGGAGAGACGCCCGCGGGATATAACGCCTCGTGGCCGCAGCGGAGATCCGGGGAACGCCGTGGAACTCCGTCGAAACCGGGCCCCGGAACTCGAGTTCGGCCAGAAGGGGTCAGAGCTCTGGATGGAACCGCACGAGGGGGCGCGAAGCCTCGGATGAGCACACGACAGGAGAGGACTGGACGCGCGCGAGAATCTCGGAGAGACAAATCGAGAAAGGGAGCGACGACGTCGGTCTCGGTCCCTCTCACCGAGTGCGCGGCCCGCCTTCCTCGTCCTACGCCTGGCAGGCTCCAACTGGGAGAAAGACCCACGGGACTCGAGAGAGCAGCGAGACTGGAGAGCGGAGGGCCTCCCCCCTCGACTCGCCCACTCGGCAGTCGGGCTCTCCTCTTTCTCTTTTTCTCTCTCTCTCTCTCTCTCGCTCCCGCGACTCCTTCGCTCGGGAGCCTTTTAGTGTCTCCCTTCGTCTCCCTCGCTTCCACGTACCGCGTGCTCCTCTCTTTCTTTCTCTCCCTGCTCGCCGGCGCCTTCACCCCGAGGCGCTCTCTCTCTTTCTCTCTTCCTCTACTTTTCGGCCGCGCTCGTCAGTATAAGCCTAAGCCGCCAGTAAATGCGAATCCAGGATCGAAGCGATTCGAAAAGACTCGGCCGAGCCAGGGGACTGATCTCGAATTTTAGGTCGGGAAGCTGTGGATACCACTGCAGAGGTCGGATGTACTCCAGGGCACGTGATACCCCGTATCGCCGTACCCGGAAACGCCGGTTGATATATCGTGGGTCCGCCCACGCACTCGAGACCCGGTCGGGTATCTTTTGCACATTTCTGCCGGGCCGCGCTGCAATTCGATGCACCGGGGGCATTCCCCCAGAGTGGGGTGCGCCGTAGGTGCAAGACGAAACTCACGGGGTGCCCGGTACTCGGCTCAGCCTACTTATGGAAAAATAATCTATTATTAGCTCACTGTACATAACATGTTACGTGCCACGACATTAATTATCTCGGTTGGTAATTTACAGACCTTCTTAAGGTCGGGATAATACTATCGCCTTATCGCTCTAAGGGTAACGAGGGATCTCGAGGATGTTGCAGTTGATCTCGAGCCTGGTGACGAGCAAAGTCTTCGTCCTGGTCTCGGTTTTCCAGTTTTCAGGAGGCCAAGGCCAGGACCGATTCTGCGCACCATCGGTTCAGTTAGGCATCGGAGGCTTTCTCGTTCAGGACGTCTCTGAAATGTGTCTGCAGCTCGTCGAGGCTCCCGAAGACGTCCTTCTCGAGCACGCCGTCCTTCCTCCAGGACTCGTCCTCCTCGCGCATTATCAGAATCGCGTTCCAGTCGGCTCTCTTCGCTCCGAAATAATCGGCCTCCACGTGGTCACCTATGTGGACCGCCTCTTCGGGCGAGATCGTCACGCCATGTTGGATTTTCGAACGTTTCAGAGCCTCCTCGAAAATGGTTGGGTGCGGTTTCTCGACCCCCAGGATGTACGAAGACAGCACGAAGGAGAAGTACGATCTGATCTCGGTGTCCACCAGGACGGCGTCCAGCCTCTCGTCGAAGTTCGATATGACGCCCAGGATGACTCCCCGGCTCTTCAAGTACTCCAACAAATCCACGGCTCCTGGATACGCCTGCCAGCACCTATTCGTGCTGTAGCACTCTATCAGGCTGTCTGCAACCTAAAGTCAGAAGATAAGACCGAGGCCATTATCGAAAACACTTCCAAAACGCGCCGCGAAACATGGAGGAAACATCCTCCACCCCACGGATCATAATAAAGAAAGCCGAACCATTTGTCCGAAAACCATATCCAAATGCCCCTCAAAAATAATCTCATAATTCCCCGTCGTTAAAAGTCCAATACGCGACCCACGTATATTCGGCGCGCCCGCGAGTTTGAATTTCCGCGGCAATTCCTCGCGGCCGGCGACGACCCTCCATGTTGCGGGTCGACCCGTGTCCTTGAATTTGTCACCGGGGAGAATCGGCCATAACCTCACTCCCGCTTATTCCCTAGTTTTTCGTACGAGTGCGCACGTCCAGTTCTATGCAAAAACGTGTTTAAGTAAACGGCGCAACTCCGCTTTGGGCACATTCTACTTTGAGGTTATGGCCGACTCGCTTGGAGATACGCGCCGAAAGAGGGTACAAAGGTCGCACCTTTCCGAGGGCAGTATCGCAGGCGTTTCGGTTCTGCTCCTTGAAGACGTTAAAGACTATGGTCCGCCACCAGTTCTCCCATCCGAGGCCCGTGTGCAGACCGTAGATCGGGTGCTCGGTGCTGAGCTTCTTGTAGTTTGCTTTGAAACTCCGCGCCAATTTCTCACGGTCGAGGACCGGCAACCCGTGCTGCAGCCCGACCTCCGCGTAGTGTTCCTCGAGGGCGGTCATCAGGAGGGTCCCCGTCACGTCGAAGGTGACCAGCCTAGGCCGCAGGAGTCGCTTCATCTCCACGAGCGGTCGTCTCATCCTCGCACTCGCCGGTTTCGCGCGAAAACCCCATTCATTGCGTAAGACACCTCGAACAAAGTGACATATCGCGCGTGGCCGCCCGCAGCGCCGCCGCGCGGCGGACTGGCGAATCTTCTCTCCTGTCGGACCGGCGCGTCGGCGGTCGCACACAGCGCGGCGCGTTGGCGTAAGCCAGAGATGCGGCAAGTCGCCGCGCCGCGCTCGGTGCGACCCTCGACGCGCTCGACAGGACTTCCGCCTCACGAATAACACACTCAAAAGAAATGCACTCCGCACCTTGAACAGCTGATTCTCGTGTCGGTGTAATCGTATCGCAAAAGCTTACTCAACGATTATTTAGCAAGACAATTCCGGCATAATGGCGATCCAAATGAATAATTGTGCACCTTTCTTGTAGGGGGTTCCTGACGACGACGACGACGGTTTCGTCGAAGCACGTGTCCACCGAGTGCCAATTGCAGAATTGGAACTTTGCCAAATTCCTTGGTCGTTACTATGTTACGGTTTATTTTCGCAGAGAAGTCTTATTCACGTGACAAGAAGAAAAAAGTGAGTCGCGGTGTCCCATATGCGGGCATTTCTTAGTTTCTTTTTTTTTTACACAATACTTTAATCAATGCTTAACAAATGGAATAATACATAATACTTCGCACAGTATGTACAATCACTGCGAGTAAATGAATGTAGAAATATCTGGATCTTGCGCATGTACATAAGCACTATGAGTAAGACAATTAATCGTACACTTAAACGTTACAGATATATCAGATCGTTAAAATAGTGTGATATAATAGGTACTCGGATGTATTACATTCCCTCGGGATGAAGGAGCGAAAACAAAGGACCGATTTCCTCACTCGACGGTGTAATCGTAAAATAAATCAAGAAAACGCCTCCCGCGAGTAGAATAATCTCCCTAGACATTGTTACTTTTAACTGAGGGAGGACTTTCCCATTTCTCATGATTTCTTAGTCCGCTCCGAAGAATCCCTTAAACCCTGTCGAACTCGGCCTCGAGGTTCCCCCGCAATGCACCGTTCCTTTGACACGATATATCCCCGCGCTCTTAACTCCCAGCCGGAAGTGATTCCCCACCGGAAGTAGGTCTCTCGACAGCCTAGAGACCCGAACGACTCGGGGAAACTTTCGACTATAGATTTACCCCGACACTTGCGATCACACAGTCCATGACTTACTACGCCATCCCGCGAATTTACCGACCCGACGAGTCGAATGGCTTATTAACTCGTTATTTAACAAATTGAAATATTCAACTCCTCGGGTCCCTATGAGAATCCCTAATACGAGGTACACAGGTAGAAAAGTAACGAGCTCGACTGCACGTCTCTGTACATACATGTACAGTCTAGTAAGTGCACGTATACGCGTACTCGCCGCCGAATTTGGTATCGCCGCGGAGACTGGTCTTTGATTATGTCGCGATCTCCCCCCAGATCGCTGGTTTACCGTACAAAAATTATTATTTTATCGTTATAAATACCAATTTCTGGGCGTAATTCCATTCATTCTGAGCATTACACCGGGCGGAAAAGCGGCGATCGCTGATGGACCTCGCGGAACCAAAATGGCCGCCGTTCGCCGCGTCCCCGCTAGGCGACCATGCCGGTCGGTTTCGGTATTTACAATGCGTAATCCCGATTGGACGAGGATATGTTTTGCCGGTGGAGACGCCTCATCGAAGCCCGTTATATCCTAATTTGTGTGATTCTTGTGTGACTGATGGACTCTTAACAATTAGCATCGGGTTGGCCAGCGCGTCCCGACTCACTATAAGGCATCTCTCAAGAAGCCTAAATCAATTTAGGATGGAATTGACTAGCCAACCCGATACGGAGGTCCGCGGCAACGCGACCGGACGTCGCGAAAGGTGGAATTTCGCCGGGACATCTCTTACAATGATTAGAATGACCTCATTAGTACTATGGTACAACGTATGTACAAACGCATATCATACAGATAACCACTGAGATACAACGAGATAATAATTATGGCAGTCACCGTTGGTTATTGACACAGGTCCGGCGTTACACGCGTAACCGTAAATTACAGAAATCCCGGGGCGAGCTCGCAGTCGATTAGCGATTCGCGAAAAAAAAAATAAAAAGAAAGATAGAGGAAAAAAACAAAAACAAAAAGAGGAAATTACAGAGAGGACTAGACCGAAGCCGAGCCCTCTCGCATTAGGCGACGGAAGTCCCTAATATTAATTGAATATAGTTGAATATAAATTAACAGTTATCTGCTTAGTACATCGATCAGTCTCACAATCGTTATTCAAGGTTGATGTAGAAATTCACTCCGATGTAAATAGGCCGAGGGAGGAGTCCAAGTCGAACTCCTCTCTCGGACTTCTACCGAGATCAAGGCTCCTTTTAAATATATATTTATGTATATATTTACATCCCTGTCGTAAATCTTCTCGAATGATGTTTCTTGATTTTCTCGATTTTACTATAAAAAGTATCGGACCGCCTCGGAAGAGGGGGGGAAAGAAAACGTATCCGTGGAAATAACTGACGCGGGAACTAAAGGAGACTTGAATTGCAAGTGACTAGGCGAATATTGACACCTTTCGTCCGTTGAAAATCCTCCCTGTCTACTCGATCAGAAGAGAATTGAGCTCGGCCAAGAGTAGAATCTTCGAAGAGGGCATATCAAAATTTCCCTCGCCCCCCTAAAATCCTAGCCCATGAAAAATCCCCCGAATGGGGAATTTCCCATCGAAAATCTCGGATACGGGATTCCCCAGTTCCTGACCTCCGCGACTAAAAATTCCAGCTTTCCGGGGATTTAAAAAAAAAAAAAAAGAGGTCTCCAAGACTTTCGAGCCGCGACATCGGGGGCGAGGTAGGATAGAATCGATCTCTCGGCCGGCTCGAATACAATATCGAATTTATCGCTGCGCATCCGTGTCGATCGTCGCGTCTGATTACACTGCTAATCGTAATAATGTATATCGCATACAAAGCGCCTGGAGGCGCGTAAAGACGTTCGTTCGAAAGTTTCCTCGGGCTCAGTTGCGGCTCAATATGTCGGAAAGGAGTACTTAACTAGATTGACTTACACGTTAAAAGTAGTTCTCGATTAAGTTAAACGTTATCGGAAACTGTCAGGGCCGGCGCTCAATCGGCGTGTCGCAGCTCGGGCAAGATCCCTATTCGTAATTAAGGTAATCGCACGCGATATCGGAAATCAATGCTCCTCGAGACAATGTCCTCTCCAATCCCCTCTGGTGCAGAATCCGACCGAGGGAAGAGCCAGCCGAGCGCACGCGGGCCGTAAGGTTCAAATTCCCGGAGCAAAGCTGCGGGAATATGAGCCTTACCGACCGACCGGCTTTCCCAATTCCGACCGCACAGAGAGGTTCAATCCCTCATTCTCTACCTTATCATTCGGTTCCTTAAACTCTCGGTCTAAGCAGACTTACAAAATCGCCTCTCTTATCTTAGAAAAATGCACGCCCGATACATGCCCTCCATATACATATATCTATCCGACATACACCCTACGTACAACTAATTAGAGTTACATATAAAAATGTAATTTCGCGCAAGGATCTCTCTGTTCACCTCGCAGGTATTCCTCTGTCTCTCCTTAACGGGTGCTTAATCTATCTGCTCCCATCCGCAGAATGCACCACGTCGATCATAATTTAAATGTACAAAAAACGACTCTCCAGAAAAAAAAAAAATAAGAAAGGGCTGGGGGGCGGGAGAAACGAATAATGTTAATAATATTAGTGATAATTAAAAAAAAAAAATAAAACCTCATAAAAAGAAGAAAATAAATAATTCCACGAACATATTGCCAGCAAATCGACTTGGAATCAAACATATTGCCCTGCGTGGCAGTGCGCGCTCGACCCCCTCAGTCTCGCGGCGGAACAAAGACTAATTGGGTGTAAAAAAATATATGTATATTATATATATATATATGTGTGTATATATATACGTTTATATATATAAATTTGTAGGAAGAGGGGGGGAAAACGTCTTAGATATTGCGGGGCATTATATAAACGGAATTAAAAAATAAATAAGTTACATAATTGATTGCCTATCATAGGGCAGAGCATCCTGGAGGGATCACAGGCAGAGTTAAGGGGAATTCTCCCGGGCCGACCCTTGGAAGTCGGCAGAGAGGTTAGCCCCGGACTTAGCTGCACAATACTAGAAAACATATGAAACGAGGTCCGATGCACAACCCATGCGATTCGCAGACCCCGACCCACAGGTGCATCCGGGATATCTCGAGCACGAGGGTAATAGATAAGAATCGCGCATCCTCGTCTGGATCAGCTGATCGAGAGATATCACGGATGCAAGCGACCGCGAAGAGGGGCCGCACAAACAAGAATTCTTCCTTTACTCCCGTTGTGATCCTAAAGTCGCGAAACGTAATCCTACACTGCGCGATACATATGTATACATATAAAGAAGAATATCGAGTTGTCGGCATTCACAGTAAGGAGAGATCATCGCGGTCTCTTAGTCAAAGAAATATTATATAAAGGAGGTCTGCCGGAGGACGAGGGTGGGTCTCGTCGTCCGCCCGGTAGACCGCAGATTCGATGTTTGATTCCAGAAACGAGGACCGGCCGAGCCGTCGTCGTCGACTCGCCCTGGTTGCCCTCGCCTTCCCTATACACGATTGTCAGTGAGCCTAAGTTAGGTGGGCAGTGGCCGTAGTTCTACAACTAGTTCAAGACTGGCGCGAGGCCCGGCATGGGAAAGACCAGGTCGTGGGTCGAAACTCCTCATGGAAGAGCGAATAAAAAAAAAGAAAAGAAGGAGGAAGAGTGAATTAAAAAAATAAGAAAAAAAATTCCCTATGCCTCTGGCCGGGCGTCGCGCGGTTTTCCTAGGAAATAAACGGTTAAGAAACGCGGGCGTCGTTCCGACCGGGCGAAATCAAGGAGTCCCGATCGCTCGATTCGAATCCGCACGAGATCGTGACCCGCGAGACAGGTCACCGTGGGGAGTCTCGCGGGTCGGCATATTGCACATGCGAAACTCTTGGCACCATCCTACCGACGCGTTTGGCTTTAGACATCTCATAAGGAAATAAAACTCGCCGAGAGAAAAGTACTAAGTCTCGTAAAATGCGCCTCTCACTGATGTACTGTCGTACACTCTGGACTTGCCGGCATAGGTCCGCTAAGGTCTACCGGCGAGGTACAATGTAAAAGCCAACGCGACCTACGCTCGGGACAGGTACAGCGGTACTTGTGCATTTGTTCGTCAGTGTGCCCGTCTCTCAAACTAGGAACTAACGCATTAACCTTAACTACTAGCCTATGATAAATCGTCAAGGCGATGCAGCGCGACCGGGCGATTGGACGTGCGAGGTGGAGCCGAGCATGGACTCCTTCTCAAACTTGATCGCGACCCCTCGTCCGAATCCCTATCCTCTCCGCGCCTGGACCTTCTCCTTCTTTTTTCTAAGTCCACATCTCAATTTTAGGACACAACGTCCGGCCTGCATCGCCTTGATTTGCCCGCGAAAACGGCACCTCTACGTCGCCGATGCAGCGGCATCCTCACCATGGCGGTGCTCGCTGCAGGGCGCGAGAAGGCATCGCATCGGAGTCCGTTGGTCCATTCAGCCAATCCGATTGCCGTGTCCTACATACATATATATGTATATATATATATCCCTTTCCTCTCACACAATTAATACTGCCTAAATATACCATCATAGCGACGCGATGCTATAAAACCGGACGCACGCAGTTCCTCGTTAAAATTAAGTTACTCTTATTATTGCTATATAATTGGGTCAGAGTTAAACAGTATCTGAACACATTGTCTCGTTAGCCGCGTTTAGTCGCCTAATTTTAATGTCATGGAGCCTCGGTTAGGTCCACACCGTGTCTCGAGATGCACCAGGATAAAAAGTGTAGAAATCTGTGACCCTAAAAAAACGAGCCCTCGGGGCTCGCCCTGTATCGAATTCGATTGGACCCGAAGTTGTTAGAAAAATCGATTGGCATCTTGGAACACCTATACGAACATTAATTGTGTATTCACATAGACGATTGCAAGTACAGATGTAGCCCAGATTCCGAAGCCGTGGATGGGTATTGGTCGTTCTCGCTCTCTCTCTTGCACCTAGCGATATACATATATATAAAACTTTGTCTATCGTTGTATATACATATATACCTCTCAATGACGTTCACAAAGCGGTTGATCAACATAAATCGCGCCTATGTAACGTAACTGCCACTCGCCAATGTTAAAAAATCTTACATATCTCAAGTACAACTTTACAGTATCATCACAGTGTTTTGATGTATGCCGCTAATTAATAGACTCTTACTGGTTAATCTCCCGCCTATCGTTCTATCCCGAAAACTCGCCACGTCTTCTGCAAATGACGCGTGGATAGTCAACAGTCATGGCTCGTGGCAGTTTATAAGCAATATTTATGCTACAAACGGTGCCCAAATGGGGACGAGACGGAGCTTCCCGATCGCGACCCACAAAGTGTCGACCACCACCTTACACATTTTTCGTCGAAAAACTTTGACCGAGAACCGCCCGATCGAGAGCTCCACCCGCCCACCGGGGCCCCACAACAGTCATTGCGTACAAAATCATAAGAATTCCATTATCACCGCACTCTCGTAACATGATAAACTCTCTAATTTGTCTTGGACAGGATAAAAATTTAGGACGCGCCCGTCCATAGCCCTCGTTGTCTGGGGAACAGAGCGACGCGCCAGCTAGCACATCGGATATATGAATATATATATATTTATATATAAGTCAATGTGCTACCGAAGAGGCCTAACGTCGAGGGGGAAACGTTCGTTCCCCGGGGAACCGTTTCCCCGCTCGCGGCCGACCGCTTCGGCAAGATGTATGTGTCTAACTACACGATGAAGAACGCAAGAATCAATGAACGGAGGAATAAGTTAAGAGACTCTACGAGGGACTGACATTAATTGGAGACGGACTGCCTCGAGGAGGCGTGCATGGCGAAGTCGACAAGCGGGTTAGTCGGGATGTTGACCATAGGATGCGGGATATTGCTACTGGTCAGGGTAACGCTGGCCGAGGACGCCAGGGTTATGGGCTTGCACACGAGCTGATCGACCTGTTTAAGGGGCACCAGTTTAATCGGCACCTCAGCTTTTAACCTGACAGCTTCCGATATCGGGATCGCCTTTAGTTGCACACTCTTCACCGGTTGTATCATCTTCACGGCCTGTTGCTTGACACTAGAGTGGGAGTTTTGGATGAGCTTGGTGATCTTGCTCTCGCCGACTCCTTGGTTGGAGGACTCGTCATATCCCGAATCCGAGGACGAGTCGCTGAAGGACTTGCTAGTGGGCTTAGGCACCGTTGTCGTGTCGACCGCGGACTCCAAACTGTGGGCCGGACTTGCGGACGCTGAACTGTGGGCTGGACTCGCCGATGCCGAGCTATGCTGAGGACTGCTTCCCAGGATGTTGCTCTGCCTCCGTTGTTGCTGTCTCGCGATGCAGCCTATGCACGGCTTTATCAGCGATGGGTCCACTATCACCTCCCCGTAAGGACCCTTGAATATCGTGCCGCAGCAAATCACCTCCCTGAGGAAATCGAGCGAACGATTAGTGTCGCGCCTTCTAGGCATATAAGAAAAAAGGACAAAGCGGAGCACGGTAGCGCCTCCGGTCAAAAGTTAACTACGGATTTCGTAATTACCTTTTAAAGTAGGACAAGTCGATGAAGCCGTTGTCAGGCAGATGGTCCTTCCCGTCGAATTCTCCTTGTTCCATGGCCAACCTTCTGACGCCAGCAGTGACCTCGTCGCTCCCCGCAGGACTGCCGGCTCTGCTCGAGCCCTTGCTGCCAGCTCCGCCCAGATAGTCTTCTAAAAATTAAAAATGCATTCAATAACACTTTATGAACAGAAATCCACTATCATTGATATCGGTACCAACCGGTCAAATCGTCGCTCATGGCCGGGCTCTGCTCGCGGTCGCGCTCCGGCTTCAAGTAGACGTGCTTCTTCTTCATGATCTTCTCGAGCTTTTCCGGGATGTCCTTCAGCTTCTTTTTATTTTTTGATTTGAACTTCGTCAGCGACTTGATGCCAGGTCCTGCTCGAGCGTCCACAACCTGTGCGGAGGGATCGTTATTTCTCAAGTTCAAACCGAAGATGCAGCGCACAATGAATAAGGCAAATAAATAAATTTCTTAATTAACTACTCACGTGTCTCCAGTTGCGATTGCTCCCAGCTGGCAACTTCTTCCAACGCTTAACCAGAAGGACGCAAGCATTGCAAATCTCCCCTGTCCGCCGTTCCTCCAATTGGAAGCATTCGATAAAATCCTCCTCGTACTTCTTGCTGTCCGTAAACCTCGAACTGAAAGCGGATAATTAATTTTCTTACCATTTGGCAGGAGAACGCTTACAAGCGATGGCGTTTAAATCTCACCTGCTAGATTTAGCTTTGCAGATGCAGCAGCCGGTGCTGGACCGATAAACTTTCGGCTTGTGGAAACTAAACATCTTGTCCTGTGCTACTGTTGTATCTGCAAACAAAATGGCCACCGATTAGTCCTCCGATCTACGCGACCCATTCGCGGACTGTTTCTTGGGAAGACGCATTCGGGTTAATCGCAGTCTGACCGGAAATTTAGATAAGAAAAATTGAGTGAGGTTCCAAAAAGCGCATACCTCCGATTGCCTTGAAACTTCGTATACCGACCTATTTTGACCCACTGATAACGAATACGACAGAAAAAAGAAAAAAATGTATACAACATAAAAGACGTATTTTCTGAAAAGCTAGAATTCTTATCTGAAACTTTTCTCTCTTAAACCTATGCTAATCGAAATAACGTGAAATTTTGCAAAAATTGTTAACAATCATTTTCATCACGAAGATAACACTTGCACCAATTTTCGCAATCCTATTCGTAACCAGCGGGTCAAAATATATTGGGACACGAAGTTTCAAGTTAATCGGAGATACGTGCTTTTCGGAGCTTTATCAGGAAAAGTTTCCACGTCAATATTTACCGGGCAACTTACGCAGCTACTTTGTTTCCTTATCAAATTGCCTGTTGCATGAATGAGAAACCGATTCCCGCAGGCCCCATTGCCTTATCGATCCGGCCGTATAGCAACTATACTTATAATAAAACACAGAGGCCCAGAGATAACGCCGAGTCATTTTTTTTCTCCCTCGCGTGACCGAAGGGATCGTTGCCCGGACGACGAACGACTCACCCTCCGACTGTTTCCTAGATAAGTCTCCTGAACATTAGGATACTCACTTAACAACGTCGTAATACAATCCACGTTAAGATTAATCGGTCTTAAGGTTCCCTACCGTTGTGTAATCTTTTCCTATTTACATCATCCCCGGAAGTTTCACCCCTCGAATCCCTGGACATATCGACCGTCATTCAAGTCACCAAACATATCTCCTCTGGTCCACAACTCGGCGCCATTTTGTAAATCTATGACGAAACGACACTCTAAGGACCTTGTTCTAACTTAAACAGTTTACTTACTAAATCCATGACAATCCGAACCCTCGGGAAGGTAAAGACAAGTCCGTGCAACAGTCATTCAAGGAACCGTTGTATTCCCCGCACGCCGCCATCTTGCGAGCGCCGTGACAACCACTCGGTAAACAAGAAACTCGGTCCAGATGTCCATTACTCGCAATCGTATCCCCGGACGAGAAATCGATAAGATCACGACGACCAAATAAACCCAACCGTGTGCCGAGAAGTGTTACAAAACACACCGGGAAATACGAATCGCGGTACCGCGCGGGGGATAGCAACCGCACGAAAACAAAATGGCCGCCCTCACGTGGGGCTGCCGTTGGGGCGACAAAGCGGACCGCCGTATGCCCCCTCGCGGTCGGGAAAAGAGTCGCGGAAAGTAAAAATAGTCCCCGTCCTGTCACTGCCCATCTTTGTTCCGAATCTCCGTGCCGGGCGCATTGGCAAAGCCGGCCAAGAGAGACCGCCGAGGGACTCCGGGCGATTCGGAATAACGGAGAGCGTACGCGCCGTGACGCACGCACGCACGCTGTCAAAGGGGACGCCCCTAACCCCACTTTTTCTCCGACGCAGCCCCACTTTTGCCGAGCGGACCCCCACGCACGAGTGGCGCGTCACATCGGGACAACGTTGCCGCTCCGTCGACTGTGCGTCTCTCTTCTCTTTCGACACTTTTCGTCCCAGACTCGCGGAGGATCGAATTAATTCGCGGAATTTTATACCTAACCCCAGTCGATTCATTAACACAAAGTCGTTTCGTTTTCGAGCCTGGAGTCAGATCCCCATGAAACCATAGTCGCGCTCCACTCTAAACAACGATAATCCCACCTTTCCATCGCCATGTCGGAGTCCATGGCCTCTTGCCCTCGATAATGATTTAATCATCGTTAAGATCGCGTTAATATCCAAGAATGCTCTGCTCGACCACATGTCACCTAAATCGCCTAATCCCCCTCCGGGGCTGCATCCGCTCACGTAGAGAGGAAGTGGCGGCAGCAGGTGCGAAACCGATCCCGAGCGCAGCGCCCCTGTCGGCGCGGCGGGGAATTAAAGCGCCGTCGCGGCTTCCTACTTTTTGCACGTTGAATTCGGCGGACCGCAGCTGCTCGCACAGCGGTCCTCCCAAAACAAACATGCAAACGCGACATTCCGACATCGACTCGACTGCGGAGAAAAAAGAAAGGAAAAAGAAAGAAAGAAAAAGAAAAAGAAAAGAAATGGGCCTGGAGATCCGGAGGAAACGATTACCAGCGTGATTCAATTATCCGCACGAAACGGGAGCGCCAAGATTCCGCCGAGGAGGGAGAGATTTCTTTTTATCGCCGGGGCTCGCGCGAGATGGATACGAAAATAAAAGCGGTTCCCTCCTACTTTCCTGGGACGCGCTCTAATCGCAGCCGAGCCTTCCGTCGCGTTTCTTGACGCCTCCCCCCCGCCGCCGCGCCGTTGGGATGCGCCCGAAAGATAAAAAAAGGGAGAAAGAAAAAAAAGAAAAAGAGGCAAAACCTCCGGCGCGAGGTTCTTCTTGACGGGAGGGTGCCTTTGCATATATTCCCAGCTGCGCCTGCGCCCATCGACGCATCCTGCGACCGCCCTCGAGAGAAAAAGGACCGCTCGAGGAATTCCCGGCATCCCGTGGAATCTGACCTCCGTAGCTCCTACCGCGTTCAATTAGCGTTTCCTTTACACGAAGGCGCGCGATCCCTTCCTAAGAGAGCAAGTTTCGAAATTCGGCCGTCGGCTCGAGTCGCAGGTTACCGTTGCAGGACGCATTCAGGGCCGACGGGGGGTCGGCGGTCGGAGGGGAAGAGGCAGGGTGCACCGGCGACGTTGCCACGCGTTACGTTGATCGGGTTTAGGTGGAGGCGAGCCCCCTCTACGTATAACGCGATTCAATGACCCGAGTGGACCAGGGTTACGCGTGGTAGGACCACGGGGACGGGGCCCTGGTTAAATGGACCGGGTCAGGACCCGTACCTCCACGGAAACGAAAATGATAATGGACATTTTATCATATTTCCTAATCACATTGGTTAAGCGGGGCGCAGCATTGGAGGTGCACCTAGGTACCTGTCTCACGATATCTATCACCGGGGAATCTGGCTTAGCAGCGGATCGATAAGGAGACTTATCAGGGGGCGTCGAGACTGCAACGATTGCGGAATCGGCGAGAGCCTGATAACGGGGGCCGCGACCCCGGCCGGGGGATAGGACCGCGAAAATGAGAATTTTCGAACTCTAATGCGGACAGGCGATCCAGTATACGCGATTCAATACAAAACGGGGAAATATACCCGCAATATGTGACAATGTACAACAATGCGACTCCTAATACATTGTTTCGCCTCGAGATAAGGAAACCGCGACGTCGGCAAGACCTCATCCGCTCCTCACCTTGGGTCCCCCTTTGTTTTTCGCTATTCTACCCGGTCCCTACGCGGTTAGACACCGAATAAATCGAAAATATTTTCTAAGAGTCGCCGATGCCGAAATTCCCGATAAAGAACCGATGCCGGAATCCCTGATAAAGAGTGGAGGGGAACGCGCCGGGTGCTCCGAATTTAAACGTCGACACCTCGGCCGGCGAGAGTCCCTCGTGGAAACGAGATCGAAAGTTTGTTTTACGAGGTAACGGTGTCATGGACACGGCGCCATACATAATGTATCAGACGAGAGGTGGGATTATCGTCTAGTAAGCGTCTTTCCCCCGCGAGTGGTCGTTAAATAATAAAGGGTTGCGCAACGGAGAAAATTCGCAATTAGATGCCTCACCGTCTGGCGGTCTTTCTCCCGCTTTTCGCGACCTAATCCCCGACTACTCCATTACCCCGCGGGATTTTGCAACGCCTGTATCTCGTAATTACTCGCGGAATTACTCTTAACGCCTCTTTATTTCCTATTTCCACCGTTAAGCGTTCTTCTCCTCCACGAAGAGAAGATTCTCTAAGTCGCGCGAGCCGACGTCGAGGGACCAGAGACTGGGAGTCGCTTCTCGTGATCCTTTTCGAAAATGGAGATTTTACGGCCGGCTCGGGTCCCGGGCTCGGCCTCGCCGTTAAACGGGCGTAATTCGTGTAGCGGAACGACCAGAGGTAGCTGACAAAAAGTCGCCGTTAACCCCGAGGAATGCACTCCGCAAGGCCATCTTGGACCAACTTCTCCGCACAGTTTGTGTTAAACTATGCAAACACCTTGCAGACATTCTGAGATTGTCGTAATTGCATTCGGAATATGGAAAAAAAAAAAATTGGGGGGGTACCTTAAAATTGCAACCTTTTCCGGGGACACGACGCTTCTCAGGGCGTTTCCATGGAAGGCTCGGTTTTCGGCGCGAAGAGAGACCTCTGGAAGAGAACGAAAACTCGGCCTCCTGGAATGACCAACAATCGGGATTAATAAGATCCTCGGTCGTTAAATTTCGTAATATAACAAAGTCCCAAGGACCGCGCGAGGTCGGTTTCGCAATGGAAAAAGGAAATTCGTCCACTTCTTTTTTTTTTTCCCTCCTTCTTTCCTACTTTCTCCGACGAGCCGTCTCTCGGTCTCGGCTGGACCAACCAGGAGGAACGAGCACCGGCGTGTTACATCGGTGAAAGTGGGAGAGAATGTATTACGAATGTGGAACGGCTCGCGAAAGGGTGGCCGCGCGGCATAATTTTATTGGGCATGATTTTCCAGGTTGCATAGCCAGGGAGGATTATCGCGCGTCTCGATAACAAGTGATGCCAACGTGCCCCTGACACCGTTACCCATTGATCCAACTTTCCTCCTCGCTTTTGCAGCCGTTGACCCATTCTTCGAGGCCCATTCTCCGAACGCGACGTCCACCGAAGAAGGCGAGATCGCAACCCAGCAAGATTACGTCAAACGTGACAATTTAATAAAAAAAAAAAAAAAAATATCCCAAAGACTGCGCGATATTTCGGAGTCCTCGGAAGTCAACGGTTCCGTCGACTGGAGGGTATCGGGCCGAGATTAGCCTTGCGAATAAATTAATAAAAATAAATCGAAACAAACAAATAAAAGACCGACCGCGTGACTATCTCGCGGCGACTCGGCCCCGCTTTGGGAATCCGTGCATCGATGGCCTTGCAAGAGTACGGCGAATAAACAAAATAGATAACGTCTACAAAAATAAAACGCCAGCCTGCAGAGGCTCGACGAGAGAATCTCGCTCTTGCCTTCGAACGTCTCGTGGATTCGTGGGAGATTGGTAGAAAAAAGAAAAAAAAGTACTTTTTCCTAAATGCGCACTTTCAGACATAGATGATTTTCGATCGTGGGCTATTTTAACTCCGGCGACGCTCCGATCAGCCGCGAAGTCGCACTCGCCGCGACAATCTGACCTAGATTCGTGAGGGAACGAGTTCCGACGAAAAAGAAAACCAAAGGTGGATTTTCAGAGGCGGATAAGTCTAGGGAAGCTGGCCCGAAAATTTGGGCGATAAGGTTCAGATTCCCCGGTAGAAGTCACGGGAAAATGGCCCTTAGGGTTGAGGACCTACGGTAACCATATATATGATTTTCGAGGGACTCATAAAGTTGGGGCAATAAAACGACCGGCTGCGTAGTTACCTGCCACGTGACCCATTTAACTTCTCAGACCAGATATATGTACGTATTCCGTAGGCCATCGATTTCGAAAATCATCCTCGTTACAGAAAATCTCTTCTAAAAGCGCAACGAGACGTTGGCTAGTCATCCTCCCCGAATTTAGATTAACGAGGAGCGAACGCGCGTTTCGAGAGATCGTCACCCGAAAGTGGAGTAGTGGAACGGTCAGGGATGCGGTTAGATAGTCGGCGTCGGCGTTGCGTATATCAAGAAGGACGTGCGCGAGCGGCGATCGGACATGGCGCGTGGCAAGCACGGTCGCCGCCATTTTCCCGCTCCACCGTCACCCTCCTGCCCCGCCGGCAGCGACACTTTGCACACACGCGACCAGGTCGCCGCCAGCCGGGCCGTCAGGTCCCGGGAATAATGCAAAACCCGGAGGAAATGTCCCCAAACACGTAGACATCCCCTCGCGCGTTACCCCGGGTTAACTCGCGATCTAAGGATCCGTCTTGCTCCCGTAAGAGCTTCGTAAATATCCTGCGCGCCAACGGACAACGCCATGACAGCCGGATACACGGCGTGCCAACACAAACAAGGCCCCCCTCTGTCGGCCATTCGGCGGAGACTCCGTCGACGAGTCGCCGTTCGGCGTCTCACGATGACCGCCCGAAGATTTGGGGGTTAGGTTAAGAATCCGCGGCCACCCCCTCGCCAGGCTCGCGGCTATCCACGCGGTTGTCGCGCTCTTGGCGACGCGCACCTCCGTCCGGCCGAAATCCACCGAGTCACCCCGAGTCAGGTCGCGGTGAAAGTTTCGCCACCGACACCTGACAGAAACTCGAAGAGTTTCCTCGCGGGTGCGATCCTCTTCCTCGGCGGAGGTTCCGACACGACGACGGGGCCTCGCCTCAGGCCCGATTTGTCCCCGTCGACGAAATTCGCTGCGAACGCGCGACTGCACGCCTCGGCCTGGCTCAGGTTCTGGCTCTGCCGAGCGCCCGGAGACGCTTGACATTTCTCGACAGGTTTCTCGCGCGTTTCGCGGTAACCGCGCGTGACAATCCCCCCCGACGCGGCCCGTCCGATGGCCCGTCGGGTCCCACTCGATTCGAGGCGAGTCCGCGCGAAATATCGCGACAAAACGAGGAATTTAGTGACGGCTGAATTGCTTACCTTTTCAATACAGGTGACGGCTGGATTTGAGAGCTCCACTGCGCACGCTCGGCGCGCAGCCTCCGCTCCACGCGGCTGGTCAAGCGAGAGACTGCCGGCGTCGGCGCGATCTCGACCAGTAGTTTTATCAACGAACAGCCTTAAAAATTCTATCCAATATTAGTCACGTCAAGCCTCTGAGTTGATTTACGATGATTTGCCGTGTATCATTCGATTCTACTTGAATTTAAAACGAGTTTCGAATGCGGCTTTGAGTCGCGTGGTCGTTTACTTCCGGCAAACTCGCGGCATTGTTGCTAGCTTGACAGTTCAACGGAATTCCACTATGGCGAGGGGAGGATTGGCTCGACACTTTTGAATTAGAAGTTCATGAGTGGCGATTTTTTTTAGTATCTAGATTATGAGATTTTTCAGCACGAGCGAGCTGCAGAGAAGTTGGATGATCCGCGAAGGAGCGTTATTGCATGAAAGACAGGAAATCGGCCACGAATTATGTGCCCCTACAAGAGAGATGACGTTGCGCGAGAATTTACGTACAGCAACATCTGTGATCGGTAAAACAGACTATGCAATTGTGAACAGAGTTTCGACCCTTTTATTCCATGTTGCATTCTTATGTACTGCACTAAAGATTGCTTCCTATTGGCTGATCATTTCCATCATAGATTTCCTAAATGCGTTTGCAGTTGCAGGTTAAAAAATATACATACATAATTGTTAAACTAGGCAATAATGAAACGACAGTGGTTGAATTTACTGCCCTGTAGTCAGGCTTTTTCAAGTAGGACTTACAGCAGTGAACAATTGGCACACTGTCATTCAGGTATTGAAACTTTAATTTGCACTCGAAGAAACTTTATACCGAATGAAACTAGCGATGAACATTTTTCCACAGGTTTTCCTGAAATATATCATCCAAAGGCTATAGAATCTGGGTGGTATGAAAAATGGGAGAAGAATGAATACTTTACTCCGAAGAAGGGCGATAAGGAACCATTTAAAATTATTTTACCACCGCCAAATGTTACGGGTACATTGCACTTAGGTCATGCTTTAACGGGGACGATTCAAGATGTTCTGGCAAGATGGTAAATTCATTAAAATGGCAAAGATGGTAGTATTCATTAAAAAAATTTTAAATTAAATGACATCACCGCGTTTTATTGTAATCATAGGCATAGGATGAAAAAGCATCCCGTTGTCTGGATACCAGGGTTAGATCATGCTGGAATCGCGACACAGGTCGTTGTTGAAAAAATTCTTCAATCTACACGTGGGGCATCGAGACTCGATATGGGCAGAGAGAAATTTCTCTCGGAAGTGTGGCAATGGAAGGAGCAAAATGAAAATATGATAAAAAAACAATTAAAAACTATGGGATTTACCTTAGACTGGTCTAGAGAATTTTTTACAATGAACAAGGTATTTATGACAGAGCCATTTTTTTAATATGCGATAACAAATTCTAATTGTAGGATCATAATAAAGCAGTTGTCGAGGCATTTATAATGTTACACAAACGAAATATGATATACAGAGATAAGGACATGGTAAACTGGTCCCCTGCTTTACGCAGTGTAATATCTGACATTGAAATTGAAGTTGAACGAATCACCAAGAAAACTTTTCTTGAAATTCCTGGTTACAATAAGAAGATTCCATTTGGTCAAATCGTTGAAGTATTGTACAAAATTAAAGGATCAGGTAAAGTGGTTCATCTTTGTACTGTTCTATTGTCACTACAGTTGGCTAAATAATTTCCTCTTTTACTAGAAAATGAAATCATTGTTGCTACTACAAGACCTGAAAGTATGCTAGGAGATGTAGCTATCGCAGTTCACCCAGATGATGAGAGGTATTCAAAATATGTTGGATGTGAGGTCTGGCATCCTCTTAAAAAATTATACATACCAATAATTGCAGATTCTATAGTAGATCCAGAATTTGGCACTGGTAGGTTTTGAAATGTAGATAGCTACAAACTATAAATAAACACGTCTTTTAATTTTTAGGGGCAGTGAAAATTACTCCAGCTCATGATCGAACGGATTATGCAATTGCCAAGAGACATAATTTGGAAATAATTGATGTCATCGATGAACATGGAAATATTTCCACTGATGATGACAGATTTAAGGTAGTTGCAAAATTTGATTCGTAGTAATAGCAAATTGTTTCAGCTACATTCAATTTCAGGGGTTGCCACGATATGTGGCTAGAGAAAAAATCTTACATGAACTCGCAAACTTAGGAGCTCTGAAACAAATTAGTAATCACGAAATGTTAATACCTAGATGCTCACGTACTGGTGATGTTATCGAAAACCTTTTAAGGGAACAATGGTTTGTCAAATGCAAAAGTATGGCAGAGCGTGCAATGCAAGTTGTCCATGATGGATCTTTAAAAATCGATCCAGCATTTTGTCAGGACAGTTGGTTCGAGTGGCTCAACAATATTAAGTAATCTCCTTATTTCATTAAATTACCTTCTTGCAATTTAAAATCTTGTAACACATATTTTTTTGTACGCAGAGATTGGTGTATTTCGAGACAAATTTGGTGGGGTCACCGTATACCAGCATATAGATATCAATGCGGTACTGATATTAATTGGATAGTGGCACATAACGAAGAGGAAGCAAGGCGAATCTTGACAAGAAATAAAAATGATGCCAAGCTCGAACAAGACACCGATGTCTTAGATACATGGTTCTCCTCAGCATTATTACCTTTTTCGTCCATGGGATGGCCTAATAAGGTGAGAGCATTGTGTTATTTAAAGATTCTACTTCGAAGACGCTAAATTAAACTAATCCTCTTACTTCTTTAGATTTCAGATTATAACGACTATTATCCATTAACAATGATGGAGACTGGAAATGATATAATATTCTTTTGGGTAACCCGAATGGTCATGATGGGACTCGAGTTAACAAATCAATTACCTTTTAAAGTATTGTCATCATTTTATAAATTAATTTGATTCTACTGTACTTTAATTGTCCATTCTAATGTGATTTAGATTTTCTATTCTAATAGGAAATTTTGTTACATGGAGTTCTATGTGATGGCCAAGGGAAAAAAATGTCAAAGAGTCTTGGAAACGTCATTTCACCAGAAAATGTCATTAATGGAATTACTCTAAAGGTTGGTATACATCTTTTCCATCATTCAACTAGAAAACGCTATTATTAATTTTTAATTCCAGGATCTTAATGAGCAAGCGGAGCAGAGTTTTAAAGCAGGCATTCTTAGCCACCACGAATTAAAACGAACATTAGCAGTAAACGCTAAAATGTTTCCCGATGGGATCCTAGATTGCGGGGTTGATGCATTACGATTGACACTTTGTGCTCACAATATTAAAGGTAATCTTTAGCCGTCAAATTATTATAAAAGTTCTAGTGAACTACTTTCATGACTTTTTGCAGAACGACGTATCAATTTCAATATAATAGAATGTGTGAAAAACAAGCACTTTTGCAATAAAATTCTGCAGGCGTGCAAGTATACTTTGCGAGTCACAGATGAATTTGAGGCATCAACAAATTTACACAGTATCGATCTATGGATCTTAAGTCGATTATCACTTATGGTAACGTCAGTGAACAAAGCATTTGCGGAGAGGCATTTCTACCGAGCAGTCTCAGCGATAAAGCAATTTTTATATTATGAATTCTGTGATTTCTATTTGGTAAGAATTATTTTCATTTGTCCACTATAATTTACATGAATGCTATCTAAGATTTATTTTGCAAAGGAAGCAACTAAGGTGGGATTCAAAAGTGATAATTTAGAAATGATGAATGGGCACAGAAATACCTTGGTAAAATGTTTAGAAGTATCCTTACGAATCCTTGCTCCTCTGACACCATATCTTTGTGATGAATTCTATACAAAATTATCACCTAAACTGCCAGGATTTTTATCTCTGCCCTCGTTAACGGAAGCACCTTATCCTGTACCCTCCGAGGTAATAGAGCAAAGTACTACATCTATTTTATCAGTTAAAAGATGGAAATTGATTAAATTCTTTAATAAAATAGTTTGAGGACTTGCGTGATATTTCCTTGGAAGAAAAATTCAATGAGGTTCTTGAAGTGATAAATAGGATGCGGAGTATTTCTGCTGGCATCAATAGGAAATTGAAACCTGAAGGTGAATACATTCAAATAAAAAATATTCTTGATCATATGTTGTGCTTTTTTTACATAATTAATCTTATATTTCCAGTACACATTGTGGTTCATTCTCCAGAAGATAGTCAACTGTATGCGGAACATATAAATGTAATCACAGCAACAACTAAAATAGAAAATATTAAAGTACTAAACAACTGTGAATACGCTGAACCCGAGGAAAGCATACGTGATGATGCAGACACGAGATGTCGTCTTTTCCTAGTATTGGACGTTAGTAATTTCAAAGTAATTCACTACAAATTGAAATATAGCAAACTGTAACAGGTTTATCTTCTGTAGGATAAGGTAGCACTGCAGGAGGCAAAGAAAAAAATAGAAAAGATAAGACTAGAAGCGGGAAACAAATTAAACCGCTTGTTAAAAACAACATCAGTTAAAAAATATTCAGAGGACTCAGAAGACTGTGAACGAGGAAAAGATAAGGAAATGGTAAGATAATTAAATTACACAATATAAAAAGGGTATAATATTTTTTCAACTTTTCAGATAAAATCTTTGGAGGAAGAACTAAAGAGGTTACCTAGAACAGGATGAAAAATCATTAAATAATTATTCGTCATCGTCGTGGTCGTCGTCCTCCTCAGATGTAGTATCTTCATCCGAATCTGAACTACTCGATTCAATCCAGACTTGGGATGATAAATCGTCCTTGATTACAGTTCTCCATTCATCAAGTTTACGGCAGTCTAAAGTACACCTTAATTTTATATTCTGTTGAAAATAATAAAAAAGAAGATCATGATGATATCTTACCAAGACTGTGTAGATCATTAAGAGTGTATTGCCTACTTCCATCCTCTGCCATTCCTCCATATAGATACAGTATTCCATGCTTGAAACATAGTCCAGCATTCATTCTAGGAGATGGCCAATTTTCCTTCGCTTCGCTTTCTTCTACTTTAAGGTCCGAAATTCCAGCAACCGGAATTGAAGTTGATGAATCAACAGTAACCTGTAAAAACATACTAATTATGAAAATATTTAATACAATGTTGTCATTACAGACAAACTGATCTACCGTAAAAATTCCATCCTCGTCGGTTAAAACCATTGGTTCAACCTCTGACGATGTATCCATTTCTTCAGTATTTTCATCCATACTCTCTCCTTCTTTTGGTTTTCTTCTACGAGACCGTGAAGTTGGGTTTCGGGCTCCACTTAATTTTACTGATTGCCATCGATAAAGATCTAGATCTAGAGTCATCATGTCATTATAGAAAGATGTGCCTCGAAGTTCTTCCTCATCATCCTCTTCATCGAAAACACCACCAAACAGATATGCTAAATTTGGCTGGACTAGAGTTGCTGATATACCACAACGAGGTGAAGGCTTAACACCAGTTTGTTTCACAAGCGCCCATTTCCATTTAAGACCGGTTGAATCATTTTCTAAATTAACAATAAATATTTTAATTATAAGGTAAACCTAGTTACATCACATTCCATAAGAATAGCTTACTCTCTGGACTCAGTACAAACATATCTGTATGCACCTCTCCTTTATCTACATCTTTTTTAATTCTCTCTTTGTTATAGCCACCGTACACGAGAATTTTTCCTTCAGGAATTGGTAACATGACACAGCCTGACCGAGGCGTGGGGCAATTTCCTGAAACAAGTTCATTCCCACTGAATAACAATTGAAAAAATAATTATTCAAACATTAAAAACTACATGCTCATTCAGGTACATACCAGTAGTGTCTATTTTATTCCATTTATATGTTTCTAAATTAAAGATGTATAAGTCATTGTAGTACTTGTAGTCTCTGAGATTATCGTGAAATCCTCCAAAGACAAATATCTGCTTTTTTGCGTAGACCATCCTATGTCCGCTCCTCGCTGTAGGTCCACCTGGGGCCCTGAATGATTAAAAAGTGTCAGTAATTAATTTTTAAAATAGAATTAAGAATATTTACAATTACTCCTTACACGACTTTCTCCCATTTTTTGTCTCCCATGTGATAGAGCCACAGGTCTTTATAATGATAAAACTGAGATTCTGAAGGACTAGAAAATTCTCCTCCAAAAACCCACAGTTCACCTTTTTGGGAAGGGACAGCGATCGTTTGATGGCCACACCTTGGAGGTGGTGCTCCTGGTGCTTTTACAACAGTCCATTGCCTTTTATTTAAATTATAAAAAAACATATCTCCATACACAACAGTCTGCAAAAATGAAAACAAACTATATGAATATATAAGTAATATGGATTTGAGAAATTAGTATAAGTTGAGGTAAATCCAATATAAAATACCTTCTGTCCATCAAAAAATTCACCACCCAGCATTATGATTTCATCTTTGAAGGGGTGCGCCGTTATGGTAAAATTCACCCTCCGAGAAGGAGGATCAATTTCCACTTCGACGACGCGTTGCCGACGAGCTTCTTCCTTCTCAATATCAGCAATAACTTTCGCGATATCATCCTATTAATTAATTGATCATAAAAAAATTCGAAAAATAGTAAATAATTGCACACCGTCAAACTAACCTCACCAAGTGCCGCCAGCTCCTTCTTTTGCTTTGCACTCAGCTTCTTCTCTGTTTTTAATGCAGTCTTAACGCTGCCGCTAACTTTCTTCTTATTCTTTTCTTTTTTCCCCATGTTATTATTAACTGACGACTATTTTAAATTAAAAACGTGTTGAGCGATTTAACTTATCGACTTAACCTGACTTCCTCAAAACGTTATTACCCATTTCTGGATGTAGTTCTCTACATGTGCAGATAGGATCACGCATTCACAGATTGTGAGTTTACTCTCTATAGCGTATGCAGTCAATGGCCGTTCGTAGCGTCGTTAAAAAGATTTGTACATAGATTCAGACGTGTAAGAATTTTTTCTTACAATTTATTGCGAAACGATGAATCACTGAACACGGTGGGTTCAATTTGTGAGCTTGCAAACAGACGATCAGCTGGAACTGAAAAGAATTCATTGAGAACCCTTGAAGGTTAACTTTTAATTTAATTGTCCACACCTGCACCATGGCACAGGTTCAAACGTCAAATTTGGACGGTTTACCAATACAGTTTGTCGCTGCGATGCGGACCCTTTTTGATATAATGGATGACCAAAACAGTGGGTTTGTTAAATATGCAGATATCGAGGGTCGTTGGCAGGACGATGGTACGCAAGGTTTACCAAAGGGAGTCCTCGACAGTTTAAAGAAAGTCACCCCCCCAAATGGACTGTTATCTTTTGAAAGGTTCTGTACAGGCTTGAACATGTGTCTACTGCAGATTCAAGCTGAGACAGATTCAAAGAAACAAGAGGGACAGCCTAATCGTCCTCCGTCAGCTCCGATCCTAATTACAGACAATCAGAACAAGCCATCTTGGACGTCACCCAACACTGCTGCGATACGGCCTAATAATGCCATATCTCAGCAGCGTACGTCCAGTATGCCACAGCTTTTAGGTGGACGCAAAGAAGTTGCTCAATTAGAGTCAGAAGTAAGAATTTGTACGGGGTCAAAACTACCTAAAACGTATGGCCCTCCAAAACCACCCAGAACAAATTTGGAGGGGCGTGCTCCCAGTTTAGATAGGAATTTTGATAAATCAGAGATTCGTACGGTACTGCAAAATTGGCAAATGGGCATGATGGGAGATGATAAGGATAAAAGGCAATTAACGGCAGGAAATTATCGCACTGACTCGAGAACTTTGGTGAGACCCACGAGAGCTTTAGGTGACGGCAAGGCAGTCGAGTCACAAAACAATCAAATTGGTCTGCAACCGAAGAAGGTTGTAGGTCGACGCAGAGAACCAAGACGTCACACGTTGCAGAACGGTATAGACTATAATATGGTAAACGACGTTGTTTTCTAGAGTTTTCAATTAGCAATGTGCTTTATTTATAATTTTGGTAGACCTGGGATATGTTTAAATATCACCCCCTATCTGCTTTATTAAATTAGGAACCATGACTTACAATTTTAAATTAACTTAAAAATTGAAAGTCCATCAACTTTTATTTTCAGATGAAGAGAATGAAGCAAATCGAGCAGGAGAAAGATGTATTGCTTCAAGGCTTAGCTGCTGTCGACAAGGCTAGGGAATGGTACTTAAAGCAAATCTCTTCGACTCAAGAAAAAATAAAACATCTAGGACGAATGGGTTCACACGTGGTAGGTTAATACAGAAACTGGTGTATAGAAATGTTTACTTTCATTTTAAAAGTCAATATTTTACACCATCAGGAACAATGGACAGAAGCTCAACAGGAGCGTTTGGAACTACAAAGGGCTCGGGTCCTCGAAGTTAATCGACACTTGGCTACCTTGATAAGTAGTTGGGAACGAGGAGGTCTTCCACTTCACATGAATCTCGCTGTTCTCAGCACACCAGTGTCCACTCAGTTACACCAAGACATGTTATCTCGTCTTAAACAACAAAACCATAGGTTGACCGAGGTCAATATATACAGCTGATAATTTGGATCATTATACTATTAATTTAAATCACGAAAAGTGTGGAATTAATTAAATCATCTTCTTTTCTCGGTACGTAATAAAATGCAGGAAGTGAGTAAAAAAAGTCAGAGAATTGCTCTATTGGAACAAGAGAAAGACAGCCTTGTGAGGGAATTATACAATAGACAGCCAGGACTGGTGCAGACTCGAAGAACAGCGATGGTTCATGAGCAACATGATCAAACGTTCATGTAAGGTACTACCATATCTTTTATTAAGGTTGCAACCTTATCCCCGAAGGTAAACCCCACGCTTATTAAGTTTTAAATAATGTATTAATAAATTGGTGGTTCGTCACATCAACCGTGAACCAGTAAAACTAAAGAAAGTATCAAGTGAACGTCCTTTTGTTTTAGAATATAGCACCAGGGGGATCCAATTCAATCAGCCCGATTCTACAAGAAATGAGGTAACGAAAGTTAATCAGCGCATCAACGCGTTCTGTATTTATTATTCCGTTCATTGTTATCCAAGTAATATAGGTGATTGCATATTTTATAACTGTATAGTATTTCGATATAGTTACGGAACTGAAGGAACGATAATTATGTTAGAGATCTTTAAAGGAGCGCGATACTTTTAGATAATTTACCCACAGTGACGCGTATAGACTCCTCGTAATTAATTAAATGCAAGATATTTATTCCCGGACGGAAGACGATACCGTCACAGGGCGTATTTTCTATCCAAATGTTTCAGATGTTTTATAGATAATTTTTATTCCATAGTATATATAATTTTTCCTCCACGTAGGAGGAAATACTAGGTGATCGATCGAAACTGCCGTTCGAAAAGAAAGTGCCATCGGCGTTCACTGTTGATTTCTCATATCTGTAATTTGTTTTAATAAATTCCACCGCCTTGACATTATCAACTGCGCCAACCCAACTGATAATAAAGTCGAGGCTGTGTTAATAATCACGCAGCTTCCAACCGATTTCATTCCGTGATTGCCGACCTACAATAAGGCAAGCGTGTCAATGTCCCAAGTCCTTACACTCCATGCAGTCGCGTTTTTTATTATCCCACCGAAAACAGAAAGAAAACTAAAAACGTATCGAGTTCAACATTTCAAAGCCGATCTCGCCAAGAGGCAGCGATTTTCAGTTCGATGGCACGAATCGCCTCGACTTTTTAACCGTGCCAAGTGTCAAATGTTATCAGCGCCCTTCGAGACGTGACGCACTGATAAGCGTGCATTTTGGAGAACGACAAATCCGACCGACCCGTGCCTACTTTCTCGCCGTGCCGAATTACCCTTTATCAATTACCTAATTAATTATTAAATAATTACATAAAATTAACGAGACAATCTAGTGAAATTTATAAAAAGGATTGTCGCCCTCTGTTCGCACCGATGCCAAAATATGTCTAAAAGAGTGGTATCCTTGCACCTTTTTAAGGCAAAATGGAAAACAACGCACTCGACGTTTCTTGCAAATTTTAAAAGCAAAATAGAAAAAAAAAAAACAAAAAACGCACTTGACGTTCCTTGCACTTTTAAGGCAAAATGAAAAAGAACGCACTCGACGTTTCTCGCAAATTTTAAAAGCAAAATAGAAAAAGAAAAAAAAACAAAAAACGCACTTAACGTTCCTTGCACTTTTAAGGCAAAATGGAAAAGAACGCACTCGACGCCACTGGGGTCGCAAGTGCAATATGCCTCGGCCGAGGGAGGGAAGGAATTTATCCGTGCCCTTCGTCGTCCAAAGTGGCGTTTCTCCTCGGATTTATCGAGGCCCGTTCTGGTCGACAGCTGAGCCGAGTTTTAGCTTCTACCCCACGCACGGTCTGGTGGGGTAAAAGTGCTCAAGGGGGTACTTGTCCCGTTAGGACTCTCTGCCACTTCGGCTATTCGGTCTTCAGTTTCGCTTCGGCTCTGCTCCGAGCATCTCTCGCAGCTCCGCTCTGCGTCGCTGCCTCGTCTTGCTAATTATCACTTTTTTTTTTTTCCTTCAATTATTTCTACTCCACCGACATCGCGCCTTACCGCCTTCGCCAAAATGAAGGCGCATCTCGTGCTCGGCCTCGTCCTCGCCACGTTGGGTATGTCCTCTCCTATTTAATTAACAAAAAAAATTCCCCCTCTCCCGTTACGGCGGTCGCTAATTAAATAATTAGACGGTTAAATTCACCCCCCGCAACGAAGATTCCTCTGAAAATCGTTCGACGTTTCAAACTGTTCGGAAATCCCGAAATAAACCCTCGCTCTTTTCATCTAACGATTAGAGCAGTCGATTGCTAAATCGATGAATAAATATAATTCGATAATAAAAAAATATTAAATAAAAAATTAAATGGTCGGTAAGTCGCCTTTTGTTCGGATTACCCGAAAGGTGAATACCACCGAGGATCCGATGTCGCTCTTATCGTGGGATGTTATCCGTTAAAAAAAAAGTGGGAAAAGTGCAGCGAGTGCATCCTGCGCGTCCTCTCACATTTCGAGCTCTAATTCCCAGTCGCGGGATTATTTAATATTCGATAAAGGGAATCTAAACTTATCAATGCTCACCCATTGTCCGGATTACCCGAAAGGTGAATACCACCGAGAGCTCGATATCGCTCTTATCAGCGGTCATTATCAATTAAAAGCGAGTGGGAAGTGCAGCGAGTGCATCCGGCGCGTTATCTCCCCGGGCGAATCAAGCCCTAGAGGATGCCTTCTGCATAATGCACTGGTGCAGTTACACTTGATAAATAAAGGCGAGTATTGAACCGTCGGATGCAGGTCTTACGAGAGCTTGCGACCTGGACCAGATGGGCTACGGATGCAGAATATACAACGCGCAATGCAGCTGCGGGTACGGATGCAGGTCCGAGTTCAGATACGAGTCGAACGAGGAGTGCAGACTCTCGCTAAGAGGTGATACACATCGACACGGCATACACCCGGGTCGGCAATTTAATATCGCATTTTCTTCCTCTTCCAGGAGGTCGTCATGACATCTGCTACCGATCGAATCCCTGTCTGAACGGAGGCTCCTGTCTGCAGATCTCGCAAGACCCGGGGTACAAGTGCCGGTGCGAGGGGACCGGATTTTACGGAACAAGATGCGAGAGAAGTCGGTCCAAGCCCAGTCGAATTATCCAAAAAGTCGGGTCTTCCCGTCTACCCCTCTACCCCGTTAATTCTAAACACCGCGCCTATTTTTACAGCATGCCCAGGAGCGAACAATCTCCGTTTCCGAGGACCCTTCCCCTACGAGTGCGTGGTGATCTGATTCCCACGAGCCCAGGACCATTGGACCTCGACGCACTCGTTCGGCCACCCCTGGCAGGATTTCTACCAATTTTTGTACATAATAAATCGCCAGACACCGTACGAACAATGCATTCTACGTACCCCATACCAAAACACGTTTCCATTCCTTTATAATATATCTTAATAATTTCTTTTTTCTTTCTCCTTATTTAAAAAAAAAAGCGTCAGAGATGAGAAACATAACTACCGTATACTTCGACCGCAAAACCAGAACGAAAAGGCCTACGTAATTACCTCCATTAGAGTAACGTACTGCACACTCGTTAATAATAATAAGGGGTGATCGTGAGATGCTTTCAGTGTTTATTCACCAATAGTTTTACAGTACGTATGCATACGATGTGTCGGATCTATGGGTCTTATGACAAGCGCTTAGTTTGTATCGTGCTTGTGTTTTACGTATTACGTGATTATGTTCCTCCTCCCTCTATCGCCTAAGTAATGCCACGTGTACATACCGCCCACACACAAACGATGGCAAATTTACAAAAAACCCGCTCCTTCGTCCTCCGTTCCCCCATAAGTCGTCGCCGTCCTCGTCTCCTTCGTTTCCTCCGTTAACGCGAGAAATCGATTCGTCCTCGGCTCTCTCTCTCTCCTCGTTTCGTTATCACCCTTGCCACTTCCACCGTATCCAGTAATACTAATTTGATTTGACAACACGAGACTGCGTCAGGAACTTAACGATATAATATATATATATATTTATATTTTTGTCTTGTTTGTGTTGCTTTCTTTTCTTCTTTTTTTTTTTTTCTTCATATATATATATATATTATCTAGGACAAACAGTTGGCCAGTTGTAACTCTTTTTTACAAGTTCATAGACAATCGTTAACAGAGTGCGACGCCATACAAAAATTTCCCGAGAGCAGGGCGTATACATATATATATTTATATCAATATATATATGTATATAAATATATATGTATACAGATGAATATCGTACATATACTCGCACACTTGTGCCACCGGCTCCCTACCCACGCGGAGGCATTAAAAAAAAAAAGAAAAAAAAAAAGAGTTCAAGATTCCGCATAGCTCTCCGAAGGAAATTCCTCCTCCCGCCGACCGGTCGCGCCCCGATAAAGAATCCCCATAAAAATATCGTGAGCACGCCCTCGTCCCTTTCTCCCATCCCTCCCTATGGGTTCCGAGCGAGAGACGTGAGAAATTAACGCGAGGATTGTATCAACATGTAAGTATATTTTTATCAAGACAGACAGGACATCGTCTCAGAGAACGTACAAACAGGCAGGTGTCCGGCATTGCGGCCTATCATTCGATTCACGAGGGTGCCCCATCGCGATTCGAGTCGCCATGGCGATTGCAATTCCTTTTTCCGCATCCCATGCACCGACCGAAAGCATCGCGAGGGCCCGACCGCGTCGGTTTTGACAGCTACAGGGACGACCACGTGACAAGGACCACGTGGCGCCCGCCAATTAAAAGTCCCAATGTTCACATTTAACCATTAGTTTATACAGTTGCAAAAATCATTGAAATAAAGGGGGGGGGAGGGATCAATGAGGGGAGGGGGTATATGTATGCAAACGACGGCTGCGTCGTCGCGTCGCCGAATGGCCCAGGTTCGCGCAGGAGAGAGGCGACCGATCTCAATTGACGCGACCACCCCGGCAATTTCCCTATTAATTGATCGTTCGCCCGTTCGATTGCCATATTCCGATTAAACCCCCGCAATAAAATCGCAAGCCCCGATCGGCATTACCCGGCCGCGGAGAAGCTAATACACCTGATTAACGAACAACTGCCGCGCTCGCGCGAACTTCGCGCCCTCCCTAAAACATTTCCGCGAGAACCCTCTCCGCCGATATTTCCACCCTCCTCCTTCAGCCGACAATTAATTATTATCGTTAATTTAATATTACTCGTTATAATCCCGCGTCGCTCGTAATCCCGGGCGATTTGGCATGTGTACGTTAATTTCTTTCCGCGTTCCTTGCCTCCCCTCTCGAGTACCTGTGTGTCCGTGTGAGTGTGGGTGTATGGAGCGTGTGCTCGTGTAGGTGTGCGCGTCGCGCCTCGTGGCGAGGTCACGGCGAGTCGAGTCGAGGACCGAGAGAAAGTCGGGGCTGCGACTCCGCTGCTGCCGGGGGTCGTCACTCCTGGATGGACCCGGGCGTGTGCTGGGACCTCTCCTGGGTGAAGCCGCGCGTCCCGTCCGGGCCCTTCGGCTGTCTGACCACGGTCAGCTTGGGACCCGAGTCCTCCTGGGATATGGTGCGCAGTCGGCTTATCAAGCGCTCAGGCCGTTGTTGCACCGCGTCGCTGAAATGCACACGGGACGATTAAGGTTAAGCTCGAGAGTAAGCCGACGTCTTCCAGTTCCCGGGTGAATTTTGACTCTAGGAGACTTCACCTGAGGCGGGTGACGTTGCACGCCGAGGACTTGCCAGTGCGCTGATTCGTTACCAGGACGAACTCGACCTGGTCCCCGGGCACGAGGGTAGCATGGTCGCGAACTTCGCTCATGTGGAAGAAGAGCTTCTTCCCCTCGTCGACCTCGTACGCGAGGAAGCCGAAGGGGCCCTTTACCGCGTCCACGGTGGCCCTGCGTTTCTTCCTCACGACGACGATGTTGCACGCGTGACCGGCCGAGTCGATCTGGAACTGCACCGGGTCGCCGACCTGGAGGAGGTCGCGCTTGTTCGCCAGGCCCATGATGCCGAACTCGTACTCGGACGTCTCCTCTTCCTCGGCGGTGGGGTTTATCTTGATCAGCCCGGCGTATTCGGCCTGCTCGGGGTTGAAGCTGCCCAGGGGCCTGAGCACGATTCCATCGAGGACCTCGCTGACGGGAGTCGGCCTCGGGATGCTTCCCCGAGGGACCAGACGCACGTGTTCGGCGGCGATGCATCCGCCAGTGGAGCGACCACTACCCGAGCCCACGGTGCACTCCACGTCCGCTCCCAGCTCCAGGGTGGACGCGTCGCCCTCGAAGGTACTGGTGAACGTGAAAAGAGCGATTAGATCTCCTCTAAACACCCGCGACAACGTTCAATGTTCACCTTTACCTGAAGTGGAAAAATATTTCTTTGTCATGATTCACGGTCTCGATGAAGCCGAAGCCGTCCTTCAGGGTGGCGATGAAGCCCTGGTAGGTCTGGCTGTTGGACTTTTTGTTGCCGGTATTCGGAGGCTTCTCGCCCGAGGCGTCGAGCAGAGATATGTCGACCGCCACCAACTCCTTGTTCCGTTTCACCTGGCAGATGCTGAACTGGACCTGGAAAACGACCTCGACGTCTGATACCCGCGACAGAACTTAAGGAATACAAGGGATAAGACCCCCAACCCCACCTTGTCTCCTAACTTAGGGATGTTCTTCGAGTCGCAGTCCTTCGCGAAGAAGATAATGTTTTTCGGCTGGCCGTACTTGAAGTAGCCCAGAAGTCCGGGCTCCATGCCAGAGACCTCTTGGATGACGTTGCCCTCGATGTTGGCGTCGATCACCGTCTCGAATTGGACCGTGCCGGATGGTAGGTGCTTAAGCCTGATCGCGCTCTGCCTCGTGTTGGAGAACGACGAGGAAGGGTCCTGGACGACCGTGAACTCAACCTCGTCGTTCACGCTGATTTCTCGGTCCACGTCCAGAACCTCGTTAAAGTGGAAGAAGAGTCGAGTATCCCGGTCGACGCATCTGATGAAGCCGAATCCGTCCTTCAGGGTGGCGATTATGCCCTGTTCCCGCCTCTCTCCGGAAACAGTGAACGATTCCGGCAGCAGGGAGATCTCCGTCGCCCTCTTCAGCTGATCTCTCGTATCCGTAGCGATGCGGAACTGCACCCAGTCGCCGTGTCTGAGCAGTAGACGTTACAACAATTAATTACAAAGCGCTTCGCCCCCAGCGACCGATCGCGTCTTCGATACCAACCTGAGTGTGAAGTCTCCCTTCTGATCCTTGTCGCCGAAGGGCACCTCGACCTCGGAGTGATCCGGCGCTCTGTATCGAATCCTTCCGGGAAGAGGATCGCTCTGATGACGAGGCACGGTGCCTCTCTCCAGGGGCTTCAAAACCTGGCCCTTGACTACTTCGTTGCTGACCTCCTCGAATACGACGGATCCCGGAGGTAGTTTTGTGATGTTGCAGGCGACCTCCTTGCCCTAGAAGTGACATCGCTAAATTGCACCATCCTTATAAAACCTGCGATAATTAAATAACTCATCCATCGACCAGGATGGCGATTCTCCTACGTTTCTCGTTTGTATTATGAACTCGACGTCGTCTCCTAACTTCAATTCCTCCTTGACGGATTTCGTTTCGCTGAAGTGGAAGAATATCTCCTTGACGACATCGGCGCGCTCGATGAAGCCAAAGTTCTCCTTCATGGAACATATCACGCCGCGATAACGCACCGGGTGGACCGGGTTCTCGAGTCTCACGTGACAGGCGCCTAAGTTTCCACTACAATTAACGGGACGAACGTTAGACCTCTTAGAGATTTTAGCGTCTCTTCTTAAACCGAAAAGAAGACTCTGTCGTACAACTTACCGTTGATTCGTAGCAATTTGAAAAGATACTCTATCACCGGCACGTAGAGTGACGTTCCCTTCGACATCGTCTTTGGTATAAGGCAGGAAGAAACACTCGCCTCTGTTCTCGTAGCTGATCCGGCCTTGGGAATCGCCATTAGCTTGCAATTCCGTCGTCACGTTGCCGGTGACCCTTTCTTCACTTAGTACCTGGAACGAATCAGTGATAAATGATAATGAAGAAATATCTAATCGATTCAAATAATACTTACTACGTCAGGAGCAATCTTGCTGACGATGCTAGCGATGGGCTTTCCTGTTCTCCTGTCGTAAGTCATCTCAAACTCGACAGGGTCGCCAATTTTTAGGTGCTCGATGGTCCCATGAAATTGGCTAAAATGGAAGAAGAGCCTCGCTTGTCGTTCGCAGCATTGAATGAATCCATAAGAATGCTGAGAATATGATGAATAAACGATTATTTAGTTTCTATAATTAACAGGGATCGGCTGGAGGATGAGATACGCGTAGGAGGTACTCACCAGTAATTTTTCAATGATTCCAGTTTCCCGAGTTCCTTGATTAGTAGATTGATCTTGATAAGAAGAATTATTAGTGGCTGGTTCTCCCGTGTACCCAGCATTTCCTTCCATGGTGTTGAAAGTACCGATGGGAAACCTCGCCGAGCCGTTTCGAGGCGAAGTTTGCGTAGCTGGATATCCACCGTAGCCGGTGGAATTTTTTCTGCATCCCGGTGGCGAGCCCATGTAGTGATCTCCACTGAAGTTGGTACCGTTTCGATAGCTACCTGCGGACTGGTGGTTCCCAGAGGCAGTCTTAGGCTTCGGAATGGCCATGGGCTCGTAGTCAAGTATTGCCGGATCGGAGTTCATGATTGGCGGCTGGATTGTTTTCCACTGAGGATTATTGGACATCGCTTGAAATTAGTTGACTGGTGTTAAACTGTAATTTTGCTGGTGCCGTCACTTTGGGTTGTCCCTCGATTAATTAATTCCTTTAATCTTGACTTCCACCTCTCTCTCTTTGTCCTCTTCTTGCAATATATATACTTATATTTAGAGATTTTTAGTCTTTTCAATTATTTAAGTGTTAACATAGATATCACAGAATGGTTCTTGGTACCTTATTTATCTTCGTTTGCTATTTAGACGTTACGAGAGAACTTAACGAAGAAGGGAGGCAAGGCTCTTTTTCCAGTGGCACGCTCCGATGCAAGCCTTGTCCAGAAAGCAGGAGGGAAGGTGGCGGATAAAGGTATTTTTCTCAATACGTATTGTATGGATCACTTCGTCGAAAAGCACCGAAGCTCTATTGCGCGCAAACTTGGCACTCTCTCAAGGTGGAAGCACTTATCCCATCGACCGATCGAGGAGGCGCACTCTTACCGGCTGTGATCGCACTGACCGTACCGTCTTCCCAACTCCTAATCTCTTTTTGCTGTAATGCTTCTTAGCGTAGACGGCGCACAAGTACAAACGTTACAGCTAATGTCGTTACTACAAATCGATGCATGTACAAAATTCTTAGCACGTCATATACCATTAATACTTTCCGTACATGTATGCGTTAATAATATATATATTGTAACAACTGCATGTGTTGATAATTACTCAATTTAGCAGGCGCACTTCTTCAAGAACAACCGTGTTTTCCTTAAACATCAGTCATCCTTTATAAAAGGAATAAATCGATAACATTGGAGATTTAAAGGATAAGTGTTGGCTTGAAAGATCCTCAGATGTCTTCAATGCGTGCTGAGTGTGGTTGTGTGTCGTTCCAATAATCCTATGTTATTGTTTTCTTCTTCAGCTTTTAAATGTGGAATTTACAGTGAGCGTTGGTTTCAAAAATGTCCTAAACTAACAATTACACAAGCTGAAATCAAGAAAGGAGTAACATTAGTTAATAGAAATAGACCCATAAAAAAATGTGTACATCATAACGATTAAAAGTTTCGGATGGAGCAGGCCATTTCTATGCGGATATAACTTCTCCAATTTCTTTCGCGATCTCTATCTTTTGCACCCTTCTCCCCGAGCTCGATTATTACCAAGGACGTAATCTTTTCCAATCTTTGACCAATCGCTTAAGTCTTTAACTCAGCACGGTTAACGAATCGAGTCATATTGCAAGCAAAGGACAAAAGTTCTTCATATCATCCAGAAAAAATATCCAGTAAAAAAAAATGAGATATTATTTCATCAAAGCTCGAATTACTTCATACCCAGCCCATTACTTCGATTTTCCGAGCAATACTCCGTACTAACAGAAGGAGAAACGAAAAAATTCAAGTGGATCCAAAGAGTTTCTCGGATCGACAGATTGATGAGAGTTAGCCTAACCGATGGCTGAAAATTGGAACACTCGTGTCGGTGTATCCTGGGAATTTGGAACGCGATAAAAGTAGGCCAAAAGAAAATTCGGTTTCCTCACGAGGCGAGAAAATGCCCGTTGTAGCAATTCGACGGCCGGGCAGAGTCTTAAGTATAACGTATTTCTTTCCGGTTTTTTTTCTCCCCCCAAATGTGCCGCAAGGTATTGTGTGTGGCCAGTCAGTTACGAGTTCCAATTTTGCGAGAGCGCCCTATATCTCGAGCTTCTTGCCGAGTTCCCGGATACCCTCAAGTCCCCAGCTGACCCGCGAATTGATCCCACCTTCCAAATCATGAAATTAATCCACGCTCCGAGCCTAAACTCGCGATCCTACGTTACTACGAACTTTTGGAAAACTCACCACGACACAGCACAGCACTGACGACATGCCGCCATGTTGAATGTCAACATTCGGACTCGCATCGCTCGCACACAAAACAAGAACACCGCCACTGCCTTCTAGACCACGTGAGCGCCGCCATCTTGTTGTAAAGTGACGCCATTTTTAACCGTTCTCCTTGATTTATCCGTCAAGAGGAGATTTCTGTAGAAATTCAATCATTGCGAAACGACTTTCCTGATAAAGGAAACTTTATTCGACTACTCTGAAAAACATGCATTGGTATGTATACGTTAAGTGATGGAAATTTTAATTTAGGAGGAAACGAATCTTTGTCCAGAGCGCCATCTCAGCCTCAAATCGCCATTTTGGTGGACTCCCTAGTTTATTTTACACCGACGTATCTTTATTAATGTAATTTCGGGAAAATGATGAAATCGACAATAATCGTTGCTCGTAAATGTTCCAACAAAAGATTGAATATAAAAACATCGAATTATAGTGATTTACGGGTTAAGTGCGGTGATTTTTTTCCGTCTGCCATGCTGCTCGTAAATTCTGGTAATTTTAAAATATACATGACGAACGTTACTCGCACAGAATATAATTGATTTCCTTGATGTGTGTATTTAAGAAAGGTTGCATTCGATTAAACTTTCTCAATAAAAGTCTACAGTAATCGTATATCTCTTGTATTGTCAATAAAATAGGTTATAGTTAATGTAAGGTACAAGATGTGTTAATAACTAGGTACATGTTTGACGTCACATATATCTTCTCATTAAACTTTATTGTAAAATTCAATATCTATATTATAATTATGCACTGTTACTGTTTTTGTGCTGTGTTATATTAAATGAGAATTACATACTTTGCAAAACCTATTTGAAACATCAGTCAGAAAATTAATTCATAGTAACCATGAATAAAAAGTAGATAATTTGTACCCAAGGCAGAGACAACCTGCTGTCATAGCAGAAAATTGTTAGTTACTTGAGACTGATAAATAGATATTCTCAAATCTGTGACATTTGCCTATTACTTTAAAATCCATTCTTGTTAAAATACATTTATGCAAGTTCTCCATAGAGACAATCACAAAATTAATTAGACTCTTATTGCCATCGCAGATCAATAATATTAGTATATAAAGACACTCTTCCCAATTGGTTATCAGTTAATTATAATTTACAATTTTAGTTTGTTCGGCAATGGTGTCGGTAGTGTGACTATTATTAAGTATTTAGTTTAGGTGTTGCTTCACTGTTTGGTGTTCTTGAATGGATACCTAAATAAGCTAAACGATGCCAACGCAGATCATCTGGATCTGGAGTAGGTGGAGCCGTTACGCATTCAAGACTTAATTGCAGAGCTTTTCTCAATTCGTCGTCGTCGTCAGGATCATCCAAATTAATGGATTGCGGAATTGTTTTGTTATCTAAGTCCAACCTTAACTTCAACGACTCATCTATGTTCTCGTTATCTTGCAAGCTCAATTGAACGGCTCGTTGAAGTTCTAACCTCTCTTCTTCATCTTCGTCATCCAGATCACGTCCCTCGACTCTTATAGGAATTATTCTTTCTCTTGGCCTATCCGATATCGTAATCACTTGCTTGCCATAGCTTGTAGATGCTTCACTTGGAAAAGACATTTTACTGGAAATTGACGGTACAGCAGGTATATCTGCAGAGAACGGCATTTTAACTTGACATAGCGCTCGAGCTGCTTCAAAGATTTTAGATTGTTCTTCTTCGAGGGTACCTAATCTGAAACCCTTGGATGTACCCGCACCTCCCCCTGTGCTAACCTTTGTCTTTGGAACATTAGTTACCGGATGTTTTAGGAGAATATCATCTGATGGACATTGAGGAAAGGTTCCAATGACTATGAAGATCGAGTAACCTATGAAATTGAAAAATATATCAGGCTTCGTTCTTTAAGGAATCAATGTATAATAATTCAACCATCAAGAAAATACCTTCTTGCAATAATTGAGCCAGGTACATTGCGAGATATGTATCCGATATCAGCTCAGGTCCACTGAGCATAGAATTTAAATTAAACCACTGATTTCCAAGTTTTCTAATCGTAAACCAATGACCCTTGTAATTACATATGTACGCCTTCATAGCCCTAAATTCAAAATCAATGTCAAATATGCAACAATATTATTGGCGCTGAAATAATCACATTAATTATTAATATAGATTAAGACGTTGCTTTGCTGTTTACATCGACTACAGAATAAGTTTCTCATTTCATACTAAAACTGCTACTTGTTACTAACGTGTACTACCATACATCCAATTGAAACAAAATAGATATAAGCAAAACATTTGTAACCAGCAGTCATAACGTCATTATTAGTTAATTGGGTGTTGAATAATAACCTACGAAGGTTCGTTTTGAGCCATTAATGCAGTGGGTTCGGTGCTATTATACGGAATCAACTCTAGTCCCCACACTTTCAGTGCGCTGCTAATAACTTGTACAGAGAAATACCCACTGTCGTCCATGTTCCCAGATGGTTGCTGTACATGAATTCAATACGATTATAAATTACCTGGGCCATGCCGTTTCGATACTGCATCGGTATCAAGCAACTTACCTTAAGGAAGAGCTTGTAGTCTTCGCTATCTATACCCGACTCGGCCATCCTTATCCTCTCTTCCTCGTCCATTTGCAGGGCTAGATTCGCAAGGTCTACCGCATTGAAATATGGTCCCTGGAGAAGAGCGTTCAAGCAATGTTGAGCGCACAAATAGCCCTCTTGCTGAAATTGCGATTTAAGGTAAAGATTTGAGCCATAACAGAACCAGTGACCCAGTGATCTCTGATCATTCCTCACAGAACTTACGGTCCTACCTTCTCATGAAATATGCTATCCATCTCCAAATTTCCTGATGTCAGGCGATAAAATGAAGTACTCCCTTTACGATTCCGGGCCGAGAGGATTTACCTCGACAGCAAACGTCATTCACAAAAATATTTGTCAGTTGCAAACATAAATGCAACTTAATACATAGATAGGAAGGTAACTAGGTTATGCGTTTATGCTGCACTTAACGGCGTAAAAAAAGGAATTATCCTAGGATTCGCGAAGGAATGATTCGATTGGTTGAGAGTGACTGGAGATGGATTCGGATTGGCGGGGCATTGGAATTATTGGAAACTCTTCATAATACACATCCGTCTACGATTTCATTAACGGCGATAGTGGCGATCTCTGATATAGTGAAAATGGCGTCGCGGGATAGTAGTTCAACTTTTCGCCTACGTGTGCCGCATTTCGTGGCGAGCAGTGGCGAGCACCCATAGAAAGGTGGCGCAAAAGGTGGAAAAGATGGCGACGGCGTAGAGGTGATTGTTACGCGTGTGTCAGTGAATTCGGTAAGGGATTTTAAAAACCCACGTGAACGCGGTAGGTCCTTCAATATGAAATCGAACCGCTTGATGTATGGGTCGGTTATATTTGCGACGCGTATCACGAGATTTTCACGAATTCACCGTGCTTCGGCGAGCAATCCGAGGTGAAAGAGTCGCGCGACTTCAAAACTCGCGTTTGCTCCGTCCAGCCATTTTACGAAGCCCCTTTTATAAACATCGCAATCGGTGGCGCGTTTCGTGGGGAATTCGGTCCGATCTTTGCGCTTATCATTTTGAACTGGTATTTGACACTTTGCGGGAGATACAAACGACCGCAGGTGCAACTTTACCAGCACTTCGAAGTACCCAAAGAGTGATGAATTCGCATCGATGTAAAGTGTAGCCAGCGCGCGGATTGTCTGTTTTAGCACTGAAACGAATTCCGATCCTCTGAGTCTCGTAACTCTGCGATGCTCGTTCGTATTTCCACTCTTATTTTGTAAATGGTCTGGTGCTTCGATGCCCTTTTTAGGTTACGACGAATGTGGGTCATTTGCTGGAGAATTGTTACGGTTTTGGAACCTGCGTTCTCTGGGTCTAGTCACTTCCTGAAACTCCTTGGAATGTCGTATTCAAGGACAGATTTTTTATTTTGTCTATCGATGTGGGGTATTAGTGGGACATCTGCATTGAAAACGTTATTAATGTAAAAGTTTGGTTAAGTCGTTAGATCATAGCTTAGCTAACTTTATATACCTTGATTATGATTCAAGCTTTGAGGTATGATCATTGGTATAATGATATTGCTGAAACTCTTGTATTTTAATTTATGGTCATTGTAACTAATTATCTCATTCAGTACCATAAAAACTGTGGTATTCCCATTCATCAAACGATAGTTTCGTAGGTTTATAATCAATAACATTCTGCTGGATTTCTTATCATTTTAGAATTAAATGCTTTATTTTTCAGATTGGAGTCCAGTGCATACAAGGATTGAATCGGTTTTTTTAACATCAATTTATTCTAGAAAGGAAGGAAAAACAATAAAGCAGTAAGTAAGCTCTGAAAAATGAGGAAATAAAATTGAATTGTTATTTGCGGGCTGTAAGATGGTGACCAGTGCGATGACTTAAGCTTTCACTCTGGTATAAGAAGCTCTTTGGGTCGGTCTGAGTCTTAAATAGTATTGGCAGTGACCTGTGGAGAATGTTTAGTGCCTTTATAAATCTGGCTAACTCATATTTATTTTGTCATCCATAAAAAGTATGACGCAATGTTAATAATATCGTTGTGATTAAGTAATTGTAAAATTGGTAAAGAATAATGCGTATTTAGGAGAGTATAAGAAAGAGTAAAGTCCCTAGAAAGAAGGGGAAAAGAGGGGTTGAGCTCAGCGAGGAGAGCCACTTTCCGAATCTTGGTTTAGACTATCTAAATATAGCCACAGGCTGTATAGACTTTCCATCCTATGCCGTGCTACAGAGAACAGCATCCTGCCTCGTTCTCTTGATTCGCCATGGCAAGCTGCCAAATTTCCCTCAAGCCTCCTAAAAATTGTCAATAATTTTTGATTGGCATAAATTAACAATTATCTACTCTTGTTTTACAGACAATGGTGTGTATGGCCAGTGAAAGCAGCGTGCCCTGCATAATTACCGACCTCAGCAACAAGGCCAAAAAAAAGATAGAGAAGATAAAAAAAGAAATAATGCTATATCCATCGATGAAAGTCGCTGATATTTTTCAGCACGTTGTAATGCAGTATTCGTATCTACCAGATGACTTTTTCTTAATAATGAGGGGTACCGAAAAAGGACCGGTCAGTATATAAATAACTGCAACACTGACAACATGCAGCAGTTTGTAATGCATGTTTTTTTTGTTCAATAGGTGGAATTGGATGAAGTAAAGGACAAAACACTACAAGATATTGGAGTAGATTTTTCTGGCAATACGAGCTATGGAATGTTCATCATGGATGTTTTGGGAACTGCATTGCCTACATCTAGACCTGCGGTAACAGGCCCAGAAGCTGAAGATGATCTTATGTTGGGCACTTCGGCAAGTCCTACTTCATTGCATCAAACTCACTATGACTGCCCTCTAGCTGATGTAGACACGATGGACGAATCCGGGGATTTCAAATTCCTTCAGAGAAGTGTCAGTAAACGTGAAACGAGTACGTTTATTACAATCACGTGAATTTTTTTTAATTGCTGCACTTGTAGCTCCTGATCTATTCTTTGACACTTTTTTTTTAAGAGATCGTATTAAAAATTTTCAGATTACGTGGGCCTGGTTAATCAAGCTATGACGTGCTACCTAAATAGTTTACTGCAAACATTGTACATGACTCCAGAATTCAGAAATGCTCTATACAACTGGGAGTACGTTGAAAGTTCAGAAAAGGACGAAGCTAAGAGCATGCCTTACCAAATGCAGAAGTTATTCCTGAATTTGCAAGTAATACAGAAATTATTTGCTCTCACAGAAATCTAATTGCAGGCTAGAGTCTTGAGTTTGGGATATACTGAGAGCATTGTTTCCTTTTAACAGACATCGACAAAGTCAGCTATCGAAACAACGTCATTGACGAAAAGCTTTGGCTGGGACTCTACCGAAGCATGGCAGCAACACGACATTCAAGAACTGTGTCGGGTGATGTTCGATGCATTAGAGCAAAAATTTAAGAACACAGAACAAGCGGATCTCATCAACAGGCTGTACGAAGGTAAAGCTACCGTAGATCTATTAAGGGTAAGCAACCGAATAATAATATTTGGATATTAACAGGGAAGATGATAGACTACGTAAAATGTTTGGAGTGTGGTACTGAAAAATCTAGGGAGGATACTTTCCTTGACATCCCTCTACCACTAAGGCCTTTTGGTAGCTCCGTAGCTTACAACAGTGTGGTAAAGTGCCTTGACATATAACGTTCCATAAATATTTTCAACAATTACTTGGACACAGCACGCTAATTGACGATTCCCTGTAGGAGGAAGCCCTCAGAGCGTTTGTTCAACCAGAAACTCTCGACGGTAATAATCAGTACTTCTGCGAGAAATGCAACAAAAAATGTGACGCCCACAAGGGCTTGAAATTCACCAAGTTCCCTTATCTATTGACTCTCCACCTGAAGCGTTTCGACTTCGACTACAATACCTTCCACAGAATCAAACTCAACGACAAGTAAGTCCACTCGGTATTTTTAAAACAACTTCCCGTTTTTAACAATTAAATTGTGCGCAGCGATTGATGTATTCCTTCGGCAGGGTGACATTTCCTGATATCCTGAATTTAAACTCCTTCATCACATCATCGACGAGCCTGGAGTCACCTGGAGGTGACGAAGACATGGGCTTAGGCGTTAAATGCGACGATAGTTCAACCACCGATAGTGGAACCTTAGACGACGAATGTCCTCCTTGTGAAAATAGCATGTCTAACGGCAATCACTCGATTGGTCACGATCAGGACGACGATGAAGGTATCTTGTGTCCTATCCGTATTTTTATTTTATTATTATTTTTTTTTAATAGAATTAAAATAGAAATCGAATATCCACGTAATGCGGCTGTCACCTTAGGAATAGACATGAGCAATGGTGGTCCGTCCACGTCTACCTGCACCACTCACAGTTACGAAAGTGAAAAGAATCGTGGAAATCGCTCCGGCGGACAGGGTCCCTATAATTACGAGCTCTTCTCGATCATGATACACAGCGGCAGCGCTAGTGGAGGTCATTACTATGCTTACATTAAAGACTTCAAGACTCAAGAGTGGCTGTGCTTTAACGATCAGAGCGTTACTTGGGTGAGGATTAGGAATATCTATCAAGCGGGAGTTTCGAGGACAGAAGAGGAAGAGGAAGCACTTGTATGAGATTTTTTTCCTCTCCTTGCAGATCACTCACGACGACATTCAGAAGACTTATGGAGGCGGGCCTGTAAGGGCGTATTACAGCGGTGCTTATAGCAGCAGCACCAACGCGTACATGTTGATGTATCGGCAAATCGATCAGTGTCGTAACGCCCTGCCGATGCAGGCAAAAGACTTCCCGAAACATATTCAAGTAAATGCGGAACCCTCGGAGCGGTCCACGGACCTGGACTCTGATTTCTGTTAACTGCAACCAATTACTAATTTTTAGGAACTCCTAAAGAAGATGAAGGACAACGAGGAGTACGACCGGAGGAATCGAGAGAAGCATACGACGATGTACAAAATGAACGTCTATTGTCGTCACCCGCGAGATGGTAAAATGGTAGACGTCAAGTTCCACGTGTGGACCCACACGTGGGCTGCGGCCACGGAGAAGGCCTACAAGAAACTCGACCTGGAGGATGTAGTCAGCCTGGACCGTTGCAGACTGGTCGCTTATAATCACGCCAACGATCTGATAGAGTGTAGTCTGGACGGTATGGAGGACTTCATGGTCGACGAGATCTGCGGCAACCACTTCCGCTCCGAATATCTCCTCGAGATCAGGAAGAAGGACGAGAAGTTCGAAAAGTACACGCTGGGCGGTGAGTTCGTTAACGAGAAACTCTGAAAATTAGGCGAGGTTTGAGGTGAAACGGTCCCTTGTTGGGTTTCGACAGGAGTCGCGACCAAGGTGTTCGTCGTGGACGTCGCCAAGAAGGAAGTGGTCGACGAGGCGATCAGCGTGCGTGGCTTCTTCCTGCAAACGGTGAGGGAGTACAAGGAACAGGTCGGCAAGGTCGTCAACATGGATCCGAAGCAGATGAAGATGGTGCTGCTGAGATGCTCGAGCTACCAGGCGGTGCTAATCGACAAGGACGACAACACCCTGGAGGACGAGCACATTCAGAATCGCGACAAGGTGTTCGTTGCCACGGCTTTCGACGTCGATCCCACGAAGCCCTTCCTCGAGTCGACACTTCACAATATTGCCATAAACTTTAACTACGTGATATCGGTGCATGTCGTTCTACCGGACACAAGTGAGGGTAAGCTCTTCGGGTCGAATGAGGTAGAAGCGTTTGCTTTAAGATTAATCACTCGGCCCTGCCACCTAATGTGACATTATCGAACCCGTAGAAACCTTGAAAGACCTGAACATACCACCGCTGGAGACGAACGAGGAGGAGGAGAGGGACAAGGAAAAGGAACCGGATAACGAGAACGAAAAGAAGAAGGACAAGGAGCCGGAAAGCGAGGTGTTGGCCAATTGCGGCCCCACTAAAATAACCATCACCGTGCCACCTAGCGCAATCGTTAAGGCCACTTTACCTACGAAAGACGCGAAGAGTGCCGAGGAAACAGTCCCGAGGAATCCCAGCCCACAACCCGTGGATAACGAGGAGTGGAGGGAATGGATGGGACCGGAACAAAGCAACAGCGAGGACAGCAGTCTCAGCGATAGCGACAGGACTCTTGTGGGAGATGCTCCGGACACCGAGAATCCTCACACAATGGCGCTGACCCCTGAAACCATCTTCTACAGTCCGGAGGCCTCTCAGCCCGAGGTTTTCTATTTCAAGGCCATCCCGTACACGGATAACGGCCAAAAGCGTAAGAAGACGAGCTAGGATGCGTTATTCGGCTTACAGGAACGACCCTAACGTTCGATTTGATTTTCCTCAGTGCTGAGGGTACTGGTCGACAAGAGGATGCAGCTGAACACGTTGAAGAAGTGCCTGGAACCGTTCGTCGGGGTCTCGTCCAAGTACTTCAAGGTCTACTTTCAGTCGAACGAGTATGACGGGTGGGAGTGCGACCACTTTAATAGCTGCATAGCCTTCTGCGAGGACGCGGAAAGGATCCTCCTGAAGCTCGGCAAGCCGCTGCGAAACGGAGACTTCAAAGTCGATATCTACCAATTGTTCGTCGACAGACTCGAGGTTCGGACCGTTCACTGCTAAGATAATTCCCCTTTGACGTGCGTTTATTAATTTTCTTTCTGTTTTTGTCGACACTGAGACGTCACTCTTAACGTTTTGCAGCCGTTCAAATTCCTTTACGAATGGATCGGCTCGAAGGAAACGACCGGGGCTCAGGCGAAGAAGGAAATCCTGGCCGATCTGAAGAAACAGTTCAACATAGATATACCTTACGAGAGGTGTCGACTGAGAAAGAAGAAGAACAAGACGATGTCGCAGGTCTTCCTGGCCGATCAGAAGCTCGAGGACCTGATGAACCTCACGTATCCGCCGAGCGACTTGGTCGTGCAGGAACTACCCGACGTGGACACCGTCACCAGCCCCGAACAGATAGTCATGTTCGTGCGGAGGTGGTCGTACTGGAAGACGCAGCTTGGCCCGTACCAGGAGATCGTCCTGGAAGAGAAGTCCATAGAGAGTCTGAAGGAGGCGGTAATTTATCCTCGATTTTCGCGAAAACCCTCGACATAGACCGAACGGCTTTTGACTCGTTTCCTTGGACGTTTCCTCCACAGATGTCCGCGATAACGGATATACCGCCCCAGTACCTCGAGATCGCGAAGGCGAAGAGGTCATTGCCCTGCATAATCGCTACGAGGAAGATACACGAGGCCCTCCCGTGGTATCTACAGAGCACGGTGAAGAAACTGTGGCTCATGCACCTGGAGAACGGTTACGTCCTGTTTTACAGGTGCGTGGACGTGGGCGAGGAAGAGAGGAGACCCTGTCGCTTGACCTTCCTTTGGGGGAGAGATAACATATTTCTCGTCCTTTTCAGGGATTCCAGGGAAGAGCCGAAGCCAATCAGCGTCGACGACCTGACGGAGATCGGCAACAAGGAGGGCTCTTCTTGCCTGACCCTGTCCTCGCTCTCCGGGTACAGCCCACGGCGGGAGAAGGCCCTGAAGATACACCTCGACACCAAATGATTCGGTCACCTAGATCCGATTAGCTTGGAACCACCCTGCCGATAAGCAGCCGTAACGTTCACTTAGGTAACAAAATCGTTTGACGAGATAACAAATTCGATACCCTCGGAGCCTAGGTAAAAGACGCGGTACGAATGCCAAGCCCGTTCACATCACGACGATACGGAGGCGCGGCGACGATTAACCCTTTCGATGCCAGTCCACCACCGAAACGATTAGAGACCACACTTTGTTACCGATATACAGCACGAATCGCTTGTCAGTCGGCTGCGCTTTCCCCTCTGTCACCCCCGGCGCCATTATCCCGTTTCTCTCATCCGAGCGTCGAAGGAGGAAGGGGAAAAAGGAAGACGCCCAAGAGGCCGGAGGCGAAGGCACACCCCGAAGAACCAACAGCGAAGGGCTACATGACCAAAGAGGCATTCAAGGTTTCCTGGCTGGAAGGCTCGACCGGAATCACGCCTTGGATACGCGGCTCTAGGATTAAGTGCGAGGCAATTTCGAGATGGGCCCTTCGGTGTTCGACGTCGCGCTCCCCGATCGGTCCCTCGGCCGAGGGTGCGGTTCGTGCAGGCGGTCCGGCGATGCCACGGTGTAAATTCGCGGGAAAGAAAAAGAAAAAAAAAAATATATCGAAAACCTAGGAAAATTTATTCGATATCCTTGCACGGTATCGCACCCGCGGAACGTATCCGTTTCACGTATCGTAACCCATTGAAAAACCCCACCCGTCCCGAACGGCCGTTCCTCGAGTAGGGACGCGACGGGTCGAATATCTCGACTAGTTAGCGCACCTGTCGGTACGAATAAAATGCGAATTACTGTAGCAAGTGCGAGAATGTCTTATATACTCGTACCGAGGTATCAGCCGCGCGTTACTCGTCCACTCTAGGCGTTACTCGAGTCGCTTAACTCGCCACCTCGCCGCAGACTTTGCTCTTGTATAAGAACCTATTCTTTATTTCTTTCGGCGATTCCTCGTCTCGCGTCCAGACTCGGATTCGCGTTTTTTCATCCGAGTTAGGGCTATGTCAAGGCACTCGACTCGTCGCGTCGCTATTAAGGAACGCCGCGCCGTTTCAAATCGTGTTTTTCGCAGAGCTGGACAGAATCTCTCTTCGGATGTATTAACCTGGTGTCCCGCGGTTTCGCCCAGCTCTGCCTCCATGTCAATCCCCCGTGTCCCTCCGGTTTTCTCGCAGGAATTCTCCCGAGATAATGGCTTCTTTAACCGGCCGAGGTACCGCCGACTCGCTGTGCTCATTACGTGCCTCGAAACCTCGGAAACGGGCGCCGTTACATTTAGAACGGGTCTGGCCCTTGCATTTATATTACATCGGCTATTCGACTCGGCATTTCTTATTGATTCCATTTAATCGAGAGCGCGGAAACGGGAGGGTTTAACGGAAATTATCGGACCCTCGTGTTGAATGTAGTTTTACAACGGAAGTCGCCACGCGAGATCCTCCTGCGAGAAGCGAACCCCCTCGGATCCTCGGTTCTTCTTTCCTTTCCGGTTTTTCTAGTGACCCCCTTATGCGCGATCCGCAATAAACTTACCCTATTATTATTATTATTATTATTATTATTATTATTACTACTATTGTCATTATCATTATTATATATCGTATTTGTACATTATATTTATTGCACGTTTGTTATACGAAGGCCGAAGCCTGGATCGAATGCCGGCCTTCCCTAGGTTGATTCGATTTCCTCGTGGGAATGTTTTAAGGCTGCAGGTCCACATTGTGCTCGAATTGGCCCTTTTGGATGCGTTTACTTATTGCTGTTTTCTTTTACTTAATCGCTGAAAGTTTAAGGAGGGAAATCCAATTGGAAGCCGATGGTTGGTCGCGAAACGGTGGTCGCTCGCTACGAACACCGGCTTTCCGTGACTAGCGTTTACACAATGTCGACGAGCCAATTCTCCCTTTCTTTCTCCCCTCTTTCTCTCTTACCTTTCTATGTTTATCTATCTCCCCCCCCCCCTCTGTCTCTCTCTCTCTCTCTCTGTATCATACACTGTAGTTATGAAACAAATTATATTTATAATAATTAACAACGGAATTATTGGACTGATGGAACATGTCTTCATTATTGCGCTCGCGTTGGCTCGGCATAACCTCACTTTCGTGTCCCTTTCGAGGATTCGACACTGTAAAATAGGAAGATTGGTTAATGGAAGGTCGATTAACTTTAATGTTTGGAGTAATTATCGGTATGTTGGGAGATGGAGGGTAATCGAAATGTTGGCGGAGGGAAGTTTAAGTTTTCCCGCGCTTGGAAGGTTGGTCGGGCGTGCGGGCCAGTCTATTGTGTCATCGTTCGGTAGTCGGTCGGAGACCAGGTCGTCTCTCTCTCGCACGTGTTTCAGCAATGAGTGCGAGAGAGACGCTCTTATGCGAGAATGACTCGTGGTCTCTCGACTTCTCCCTTTCCTCGGCCCTGAGATATATTTCAAAGGACTAAACAGGGGAAAGGATTGTCGCCATCTCGCGGAGAGCCTCTCAAACTGTTGGATAAGATTAGCACTAATTGCAAATACTTTCCCCGTGAACCCATGTGTAACGTTGGTAATGCTTGTGTACCTGAGTGCTTGTACTTCTTGTAATATATGTGAATAAATAAATCCAACAACTCGTTCCCTTTGACGCGTTTACTTCGGCGTAACTCGACGTGATTTCTGTGTTGTCGGTGCATGGTAACGGGGGGAATAAAGGGTTCAGGTTTAGGACTTGTGCCACCTCTTTTCTCTTTCTATATCCCTGTTGCCGAGCTCGAGTCCGGCCGAATTTCCGAGCGATCAGCAACGACGCTTCGTGCCACCTCCCCGGGTGTTCTGGGTTCCTGGTTGAGGGCTGAATTTTCGCCCGAATTCCTAAATTCAAGGATGTCAGCAATGTCAGGGTCCGCATTGCCGGCTCGACGTCAGCCTCTCTGGCGAAAATCGAACCCGTTGACGGGAACGCAGAAGGACGAAGAAGTGGCACGAAGCGGTCCCCTCGTTAGCGCGGATCCTAACCTAATAGTCACACTATCGATAAAGTAGTGATCGACTTTACGGGAATGAAAATCCAGCTCGGTAACAGGGATATAGAACGAGAACAGAGGTGGCACGAACGTCACCTCGTTAGCACGGAACTTCACCTCAAAGTTTATCATTGTTATGTTAATGGTAAGGTAGAGATTGACTTAAGGGGGCGAAAAGCGAGCCCCGTGGCAGGGATAAAGGACGAGCGAGGAGGTGGCACAGGGTCCTCATCCTGGATACTCGGTTATCGAGAAACGGAGAGGTACAGAGAAATCATCGAGGATTCCGAAGCGAATTCCGGAAGATCCTGTTAGTTCGGATAAGCGAAACGAGCTATGGAGGGTAAATGAGTCAATCGGAGCGAGCACCCCGGCGAACGGATCTTCCGCTTATGGTACGTCCCAGTTAAGTAAACGGGAAAAAAAGGCTCGCTTCCGCGAGAGATAGGCGCGATATCGTCTTGCCTTTTTTTTTTCTTCTTTCCGAGCACGTCGCCGACGGTTTCGGAGAACGGTGAAAGCAAAAGCGGAAACGGGGTACAACGCACGGAGACAATCCTGGGAGAAGTTCGCCTCGCGGTATCTCTCGCCATTTTGTCGCCGCGCTCGGTCGGGCGGACGCCGCCGATCTCGGGGGCCCACAACGCGTTATTACTCCGATTGCGACGCCTTTCTTGCACGGCCATTATCCCCGTAGAAAGTACCCGCGATCCTCGCCGTTCAGGCGAAAAATCGAGCGATACGCCGGCGCGGAGAACCGAGGAGAAACTCTCAAATATCCGGACACGTAGCGCAAGCCGCTTCCGGGTGGTTTCGCGGCGGCCATCTTGGATGCGCCGAAAGGCCCGGAGGAAGACGCCCAGTCTCCTTTCTTTCTCTCTCGATATTTCGGAAACAGCGGGGAAAAAGAGGTCACCTGGCATCGGTCGAACCGAGTTTCTGGCCGATAACCGAGCGCACTCGCCCTGGTTCGCCGATTCTTGGAGAAAGCGTCCTCGCGTCTCGCAGGCGTCGCTCGGAAATTCGCCCGGCGTCGCTCGCTTACATTGCCACGACGATTGTTAGGAGAGCAATACCGTCGCCGGTTCGCCGAAACCACGGGACGGACGTCCGAAGGCGATGGACGCGTCGCGATAAAGCTCGTGCCACATACTCGCCCGTGGAAACCGTGACCTAGAAGACCCCGAAGAGGGTCACCTCGACGCGTGTCTAATTCTCCTCCTACAAGTCCGAGGATAGTTATATCTAACTGCCGGGGACTTTGCGATCGTCCCTAGCGAGTGGCTAGGTCATTTCCTCCCGTGGAAGATGCCGGAGGAATAATTAGAGGCCCCGAAAGAAGGCGAAACCGCGAGGCGCGCGATCCAAGATGGCGGCTCCCAGGGAAGGGACGCCGAGCGCAAATTCCCGCGGTTTTTAAGTAAATCCCAACGCGTAGCTGCTTTCGAGAGGTCGATTATTGTTAATCGGCGTGCACGGGATCGTCCGATGAGTCCTCGGGCCCCCAAGAGCCGTTAATTTCTCCGGGACGAGCGAAATATCGCGCCGCCGCTCTCGCGGAGAGAAAGCCGATGACGAAGAGGCGGACAACCTCGTCGATCCGACATTCCCGGGGTCGAAATCATTCCCCGGGGCGTCGGGAAGTCGGAAGTGCGACGCCTCGGGCCTCGGGATACCGGAAACGCGATGTCCAGCCCAGCTTATCGTCCAGAATTGCTGATTTTAATCGTCCGAATCGATCGAACCGCTCCATCGACTCGGCCGACTGCAATGGCTCTCCGTCAAGCGGTACGAGAAAAACGGAGAGGGGAGGAATTTAAGAGAGATCACAAGCACAGGGGAAACCTTCGAATTATCCACCGGAGGTAAACACGGCGACTCGTTAACTATTCTCGGTGAAAGTCGCGCCGAAGCCGAGAGGTCTGATACGGCGTCGCGATAGTCCTGCCCTTGCCGCGACCCGGTCGCCATTTTGTCGCGACTCCGACCACTAAACATTATCCCAGGCCCTTACGACCGCGTTTCCTCGTGTCAACTCCACTTTTCCCCGCGAAAGAGAAACCCGCTAATTGAATTAGGAAAGGGCTCGGTGACTTTCCCTGGCTGAACTAAACTGGCCGCGTAATTACACGGTCTCTTTCCGGCTAATAAATCGAGACGCCTCGACACTTGTACCCTGCGATTAGACCCGATCACCGGTACTCCACATATCTTACGCCCATACAGAACTACCGCCTATTACGGTATCGAACTGCTTGATTTTCATTTCCCACGGGGAAATACGCAGAATCGTCCAGTGATTTTAAAATCCGCTCGGTTAAGTCGAGCTCTTTTCCATTATATCCACGTATGTTACATCCGTACCGACTTATCGCAGCGTATTTATCGTTACGTGTGAACGCCCCTTTATACGTTAAACGAATTGTCAGGGCGTGGAGAGGGACCATTATCGATAAGTCGGCCGAAAGTCTCGACTGTGTCGTCGAGGTATACCGGCCGCCTCCCTGACCTACATACCTTGGCCGTGGCGCGACATAATCCGTAGAACGAGTCATACGAGTACGAGATAAGCTCGTGAGAAAACACGGTAAGACTGGAAAAAAAAAGAAAAAAATAGAAACCGTGCCTTGCTGCCAGTCAAGAGCGATTACAATGGTTCTCGAGAATGACTGGAAGCTTCGAAAGTCGAGATGACGCGAGCGACTCGATGATGGCTTCTCGCGTCATCGCCTGTGCAGCTCGGGGAGCGTCGAAGTCTCCGCGGCGCGTCGACCTCTCCTCGCGTTTTTACCTCTTTTTCTCGATTTTCCCCCCCGTCCCGGTTGCGCAATCGACTCGTTAGTTTTATTATCACCTCCGAGGGTATAGATATGGGTACAAGACCGCACATTTGGCGCGTCAGAGAGCCGAGAACCTCGAAGAGGGACGCGTAACGCGGGTTAATGGCCCTCAAGTGACGCCGTTAGGCGATCGGCTGACCATATCGGCGACATCGGGCCGATTTACATGCACCTCGGCGACCTGGCCTCGAATCTTTTCGGGTCGCCGATCGCGAGCGGAGCTGCGCCGCCGATTGCTCCTTAAAGTCCTAAGTGCATCTTGGATGAGATCAATGGATGGTCTTGAAAAGAGGTCCTTTAGATTTCTGCGGATGTAGGGGATTTTCCTATCGGTCGTCGCCGTTCCCACGCCCTTGTCCCAGAAATCCCAGGAAGGTCTTCCGTCGCGAGTGATCCCATTACTCTCTTCAGCGTGCAAATTAATAGTCACGCTACGTCGAAGTAATGTCGGGGTCGGTCCCAGCACTCCTGGTTCTTTTCCCCGGTCCATCGGCGATCGGCCTGGGGAACGTGTTTTCTTCCCTGGCTCGCGTTTCTGCGGCCAAGGCGCGTTTAAACCAGTGCGTGAGAAACGCACCTCCGTGGACATTCCGCGGATGTGCATCTGGCGAGCGAAGGTCGAAAGTGATTAGACATTTTCTTTTTCCTTGATTAAGCGACGCCGATCGGCGAGTCCTTCTTCGGGAGCTTCCATGGTGCTTCTCTTCGGATGGTAATTGAACCTTGAAGAGTCCTCATTAAACCCTGTAATATATACAATACCAGCCAGAGAGTTACCCGAATGACATCGAATTTTCCTTCCGTTGCTGCAATGTCGGGACGCTTCTGTCTACGCTGAAGAGTGCTTCCCCTTTTCTACCTGTACAGCGACTTGTAGAAAAGCCACGGTGCAATTAACTCGTATAAGGAAGTCTGTCGCGAGGGCTCGTTGATCCGGTTTAGGGTGTCACGGTTCGCCGCTCGTCGTGTATGTACTCTGGCTCCCTTCTACCCGGTGGTTCCCCTTTTCAGGGGCCTCTTCAGGGTCTTCCTTGCCGCAGGAAGCGCCCCGCAGGATGTCTGCACCCCGAAAAACTCCTTGGTACCCATTGTCACGGCCAATACTTAGTCCCCTTTCCCTGGAATAAAAAGCTCCCTATCACCGCATTCCACGGGTTTAGGATCAGAGTCTTCAGGGTCTCGGGGCGAAAATTCGATCGTTTCGGAACCAGGCCCCGTAGGACGTCTTCGGCCTGGCTCGAGGCAAGGTGGAACTCGGTTGGCCTGAATTCCAGGGTAACTCGAAGGCAGACGACGCTAGTCACAGAGCCGCAGCCTCGTTCCTGGCAACCGGCACACGCTGCCGCGGACCCCGAAGAGAGCGGCCAGTCGGAGGTGGGGGACAGCGAACAGGTACAACACCTGGATGACTTCCTGCCGCCTCGAAGCGAGTCAGTCTCGCAGAGGGTACGGTTCGCGTCGGACGAGAACTCCGGACGAGAGTCGGAATCGGTGTCGCGAGGTGGTCTCTTCGAGATCCTCTTCAGGGTCCTCCTCGAGGTGAACGGAAGGAAACTCCGGCTGAAGGACTTGGAAAGTGGCCGATAGAAGAAAGGAACCACTTCCGGTCCCGGAAGTTCGGTGCTCGACAAGGGGGACTTCCGAAACTGAGTGCGTGACCTGGGCCAGGTGCACCCAGGGGTGGACCAGGTGGACCAGGGCAGGCAGCCCTGGGGTGCGCCGGAGATGGATCGTCCGAGGACTCTGCTCGTGCTCTCGCTCGCCCTGCTCTTCTGTCCTGCGCAAGGTCGGTCGATGATTCTGTACCTCTCGTTTCCTTTTTACTTCAATTTCCTTTTTAAGCATCTACCCTCCACCAGGTTCTGCAAAGTAGGGAAAAAAATCAGCACCTTCGTGGTTTCTTTTCCTGGCGGGAAACCGTTTCGGGTGAGTCTCGATCCGGTGACCTCATCCCGTGATAATCGAAGACTCGGATTACACCGGGATCGATCGTATCGAATGTCGATATCGCGTGCCCACCTGTGCAACGAGCGCAGGGAACAGGTGCACCGAGAGTCACTTCCTCGCGGTTGTGTCATCGCCCTTGTTATTCCATCCGCAGATCCTCCAGGGACTTGGCGCAGAAATCCCGACCGTGTTACCTTTCTACGAGTCAATTAAAAGTATCCAATAATTAGGATATCAATTTTTACCCTTATTAAACCAGAGTGGATTAATGTTTTTAAGGGGGAACCCCTTCGTTATACTACTTACTTGTTCGGGGCAATAGGTCCTCGCCAGAAGTGTAAGCCCTGAAGACAATACCGTGCCTAATTAACCAGACTCCTAATTCCCACGACACCATAAGGTAACCGGGAACCTATAGATGCATTCGGTCGTCCTCTCTTCGCCTACTTTCGCCCCGATTATCCGAACTCAAGGAGCCCATCTACGTGGGCGGACGTTGGACGGCGTTCCTTCTCTGGAATGAAATTCTCCAATTAATGCCATTTCTACCGGTCATTTGTTTATCGGGGAAAGTGGAGTAGGGCGTGGGCCAGGGTATAGAAACGGATTAACGAGCCGTGCGTGTACCAGGTCGTTCGGTACCGGTACCAGAACTCGATGACCCGATACACGCGTACTTGTACGAGTTTTGGCCTCGGCAAATGCACAACGGTAGAATCTCGAGAACTCGTCGTGTCCACTCTAGCGGCCCACATTAGACGCCATTTTCGTACGTGCATCGGCAGTCCTGACCTACATGCACGTACTCTTTCCCAAGTTGACCGACAACCAAGAAAATTTCCGTTCTGCGATTCCTGCATTTCCCCCCTTTTTTCTAATACACAGAAAATAGCGACATCTCTTTCCGACCCTTTCGGTCCCAGTTTTCGCCTATATACGCGACCTACATAACCTGCAAAACGCGGGAACGACGAAAGAACGCCTTCCTTCATCCTCGAGATAACAGAAATTATTCCGCGGGTCTTGCCGGGTATTTAATATTTTCTTCAGAGTCTTCCCGCTAGACAGTTAATGTAGTAATGGTATGACAGGTTTAATATTCCAGGGATAGATGGTAATAATTTTTTGAAGCGAAAGAACCGAGCGAGGGCGGATCCGCGCGTCCTCCGGCGTGATCCAAAATGGCGGCGCTCCTTCGCGGTGTACCGCGCGTTACCGTTGCGCGATAAGCAGTTCCGGCGAACCGGAGGAAATCGTTCGAACTCCCTTCGAAGTTGTCGGGTGTATCGTCCATTATGCGCTCGTTACGGTAACGCGAACGGTAATCGCGAATGGGAACGCCATTTTCTCGCGGAATTACGAGCGCGAATCTGACTAAGAATCGTTTCCTCGGTTCCGAGAAGAATAGTCCCCCGCTGGTCCCAGCGAGGGGTTCCCAGAAGAAGAGGAGCCACGGAACGATTATCCGACGAATAACATTAACGCGATTAATCGTTCCGACCTTCTCGGGTGGTTCTTCGCCGACATTTCCCGCGGCGCGTCGAACTCCCCGGGGAACGCCGCCATTTCCTTTCGGCGTCGCCTCCGACCTCCGTTTTCCTTTTCCGGGGCGACTGGCGCGATGAATATGTTAATCGAATAGTTGGAACCGTTATTCTCGAGGCCCGCGAGCGCCATGCCGGCCTATTCTGGCGGGAACCGTTCGCGAACCGAATTTCTCCAACGGTTAATCGTTAAGAGTCCCCCGAGAAACCGCTGACGGATCGGCGCGGCCATTTTCCCTTTTCCCGATGGTATCGCGCCCCCCCGTGAAAATTTCTCCCTCGCGATTTCTCCTCCCCGGGGATTCCTGGCCGTCTCGTCGGGCACGTATCCGCATAAATCACGGGGAAAAGTCCGACTTTCCCGATTTGGCGAGCGGCAAGCCTCCTACATCTGTTCGGCCGTCTCGCACCTGCCGTCGAGTCGTTCGTCATAGAGACGGAAGGTGCGAGATCTTAACCGTAAACCCCGCAGGGGTGAAGTCTCTTGACTCCTGTTCGAGAGCACCGTTAAAAGAGTTCTCCAAACCCATACCTTTTGACAATGCTCGTTCCTTTTCAACTCTCTTCGGGAGAACGGAGAGCGCCGTTCGCGGAATTGCGAAACCGCCGCTCCCTCGGCTTGGTTAGGAAATCCGACGCGTGGACAGGAAAGTAAAATGGAAACGGGAAGGAAAAAAAAGAGGCGCCCAGAAAAGTCCACTGTTATGTAAATCCAGGAAGCGAGAGGGATCCACGCGTCCTCGAGGACGTGACTCGCGTGCCCAAGAGGACTTCTTCGGCGCCACCGAAGACCCGCAAAACCGAGTCCTTGCAAATGGCCGACGGTCCCCTCTCCGTTTGAACTCTCATCCTGAAAATTCGCGGAAACGGCGCAAGCTTTCGCAAGCCGGGGAAATTTCGCCCCGAATTAGCGAGTCAACCTGCGTGTCTTCGGCGTCTGCACGCACCGCGTCCTCGACTTCCTAGGGACGTTGCGTCGCGTGGCCAGGACGCGAATCGGCCGGCTTATCATTTCCTCCGGATCGATTTTGCGTGCCTCCGGCTTTTTTCTTTTTCCCCCGGAGTCCGTTGAATTTCAATGTTCGACCTCGCGGTTTTAAAATCCCCTGAGAGATGACGAAGAGTCCTGAATTCCAGGGAACGAGGGCGGAGGATGCGGCTACCCGGGCGCCCCTGCCCACAGTAGCGTCAGGTTCACGGGAGGAGGCATCGAGGACGTCATCGACGAGCAGGAAGCCTTGCCGAAGGACACCACCCTGCCGGAAGGCACGGTGGCGACGTATTCCTGTGAAAGAGGCTTCGAGCTTCTGGGACCAGCGCGCAGACAGTGCAACCAAGATGGCGTCTGGGTGCCCGAAGGAGTTCCCTTCTGCGGTAAGTCCCTTCCGTCGCCCCTAGAAATATAAACACTCATATATTATTAATCCCAGCATAAAATATAAGATATAGGGTTCTAGCGTTAAGAAATGCCAAAGGACCCCTTTCGTCCGAGATTTTTTTCACCCTGGCGATCGTCGACTCGAGGTCCGATCGATCTCGAATTTTATTCGACTTTCCGCGAGAACGGGCCGCACCGGGAAGTGGGCGATATTTAACTGCGCGGAAAGACTTTCCGGGGGACGCTTTCGTTTCTTCTGGGACACTGTTCAATGACTTGGGATGACGAGATGGATTTCGGAGCAGAGCGCGGTGACCTCGAGTCCTGGTACCAAGATGGCGTCTAGGACAGGCTAGGCTCCTAGTCGCGGACCTCGACCCAGAATGCCTCCGATTTTAAGAGCTGTTTACCATGTTTAATCGAGCGACGGTGTCGGAAATCGGAAGGGAGCGGCCGGAGGCATCTCCCAGGAATGCGCGACGCGGTTCCGAAGGCCTTGGGCGGTCTCTCAGGTGGTAACGCCGGTAACGCGCAGGTAACACACTGGTAACGCCGACAGGTTCGGACTTAACGGTGCAGTGCCCCCACCGAGTGGGCACTGCCAGCCGATTTCGTCTTCCTCGGTCAAGGACACCCGGAATCGGGTCGTGGGGCCCGGAATTGAGTCCCTCGAAACACTTGACGGGGTCCAAAAGGATCGGTCCAGAGGGAGGAGTAAAAAACCTGGGAACGTTCCGAGACGACTCCAATGCTCCTTCGTATAAAAATACCGATACGATACGAATACAATAAATAATAACGATGAATCGGTAACGCGAGCCTCGGTGGTTTTGCGCTAGAATTTCACACCGAGTAAAGGTACGGGGAAGAAATCGCCGATTCGCGGGATCCGAGATAAACCTCGAGATCAATCCTTTTCCCGGGAATCAATTGGCGTGAAACGCGGGATTTAAATTTCCACGGATCGCCGCGGTTGTTTCTAGAAACTTGGTCCTCTCTCCGGCTAATGGTAACCCACTCGGCGATGATTTCCTCGCCGCAAAAGTAGGTGTCCCGAGATCGTCGCAATTACCGGGACAGCAATCGGTAGGAAGCATCGGTCCGCGCGGGAGAAACGCCGGGATTTACTCGCCCGAGGATCGTAAACTCTCGGAGGCGAGCGAGCCGATCGCAGGGACGATGGATCGATGATCGATGGATTTATCGCCGATCCGGCGAGAGTCTTTCGTAGATTTCAAGGGGAAGCGTCGAAACCTCGACGGAGACGACGTGCTTCCATGCAGCCCGGTCATGGATCGGCGATCTCGGCGACCGAAATTCTCCGGTGGCGATCGAATGTCTCTTTGGATCGATCCTGACCTAGATCCCCCGACGTGGATCCTTCCCATCGTGCCGAGATCTTCGGACTCAGCTGATCGGGCATCTTTCTCAGGAAAGAACGAGCTCGATCGGCGCCGATCCTGACCCACTGTCCTTTTTATGCCGTCGACACGTGCCGTTAAAGTCTCCGGTAACGACGCCCATAAAGATGGCAATGCCCGTAACGATAAATCATTGCGATGAATCCGTGCAAACCGATCTCTAGAAATTTAATCGTTGGACGGATGCTGTAGGAAGGTCTCGAGTTAATTCCGTGTAACCATCTTAACGAAGAATCGAGAATTTAACTCGCCTTTGCCTCGAATCTTCGTTCTTGAGATGCAGAGATATCGCTTGTGCAGGCATTTGAATCTCGAAAAAAAGAAATATCCCCCCGGTGCAGGCGTTGAAATCTCCAATAAGAATCCTCGCTTGTGCAGGCGTTCGAATCTCCGAGAATCCCCGCCTATGCAGGCATTCGAGTCTCCGCATGACGTCCACTCCTTCCTCCAGGGAACCGGCAAATAGGTCGCCCTCGTATTTACGCCCTGCAACGTGGAAAACAAGGGGATCATTGTCGGAAAATAGGTTACAAGTTAAAAGGAACACAACGTAGGGATTCATGCCCGACCCTATCTCTCCTCCGAAGCGTCCTCGGTGGATTGGATTCGGAAGGGAAACTCGAAGGTTTGGGAGCTAGTTGGCTAAAAGTAGGACGGCCAGACACGCTTCGTTCGCCGAGAGAACTCTGTCTCTTCGAGGGCTCCGAGTTTGGGTTTGAGCACGAGACGATTGCCCGGCTGTTGGGGAAACAAAAGGAAACAGAGCGCGTACCATGTCGGAAACGGAAGCGCGCTTCCATCCGAAAACTCGAACTAATGCCCGAACGACGCCAAGTCGCCTCCGGTCGAACGTCCCGATGGCGAGGAGCGACGAATTCGCGTCATTACCCCGCTAATGACGAAGAAACGGTACAATGATGTACTCCTAGACGCAAAGGGATGATTAACGGAGAAGCGTCTCCGCCGGCGAGCAAACAGGTGGACGGGGGACCAGTCGTTTCTGCGAGGTCACGGAGACGCGGAAGCGCCGCAGACGACTCCTTTTTTCGAGAGAACTCGTCGACCAGTCGAGTCTTCGGAACGCGTCCTAGACGTCTAGGGACCACCCTCGAAGATGACCCAGAGAGGCCTCTGAATTCTTCCCAGGATCCCCCTCCAATCTCCACCTTCCTCCGAATGTGGAAATAAAATTTCATTAATACAAATCCAGATTAATCCCCGTTTCTGGGAACTTTTACACCTATTACACATACGTATCATATCGCAAGAGCCCGTTAGAAAACGTTTACCGTTTCCTCGTTCTCCCTGGGCGGTAAAGAAGAGGAGATTAAGAATAAAAATGGCCAGGCCCAACGGGCAATCCTCCTCGCGAACGGCGGCCATTACGAGTCTCAAGAGACGATACGCTTAACATAAAATCCCCATTCGACGATTCCAGCAATAAAAAGTCCAACTAATTAGGACTCGGCAAAAAATGGTCCCGCAAAGACGGCAATTAGAATTATTCCGGGGCGTTGGAGGATTTCCTTTCACGGCTGCGTGGCGCCGGTAATTCGCACGTCCAGAGTCCCCGAAGAGATCGATCCCCTCCGTTTCTCTTTGTACGTTTTCTCGCGATTAGTCTTCCGCGTAGAGACGACTCCTCGGGGATGAATCATCTCGTGGCACCGGGAACGCTCATTCCCCATAGTGGGTCTCCCTAGCGGGAGCGTTTCTGACCTCACCGTCGTAAATTCACGGCTCTAGTCCTCGATTTGCGGTATTAGCATACATCTTTGTCGCGACGCCGCGTAAACGGTCCTCCCTTAATGGGTCCCGTCCATCCCGGTCGGGAAAGTCGATTCGATGCGAATCGCCGGGACGAATGGGGGAGAATATTAAACGGCGACGTGCGCCGAAGCGATCGCGCATTATAACAGTACACGCAGCACGCGATACGTGCGTAGCATAAGTATCGAATGAGTACGCGCAGCGCGTGCGTACTTTCATGAAGAGCCTTACGTAGGAATCCCATTATGCCTTGATTTTGCATCGCCGGTAGATGCGCGACGGCGCCGCCATTACGCCTAACGACGAGCGGAGCTTTCTTCACGGTTTCTCCGGCGTTCTTGAAATAGCCCCTTCCCTGGAATACATATAAGCATATGAGCGTGTAACATCCAAGGCGATACTATAAAACAGATAATAAAAGAATCGCGACAAGGGGTGTCGGTAAAAATCCCAATGAAAATCGGGGAAATCGGAGGTACCTCTTCGGGGCCTCGGAAGTCCTACATACCCGAGGTCTCTTCATCGAGGTAGCTCTTACAGGTGCATCGATGCCGGTGCCCCAGAGTAGCACAGCAGCCGTCGATAAAATTCCGCGTTACGGTACGGCGAAACTACCGCAAGGCCGCCGACTTATCCTCGGACACAGTTTGCGCTTAACTCGAACTCTTGAGAGCGATCGGCGGTACATATGAGGTACATATAAGCGTCCGCAATTCCCTTCCTTAATCCCTCGTTACGGGTCCATCGTGACGAGTCGAATGAGATGCAGGCGGTGAGATTGAACCAGGTGACGTTGCACCAGGTGTACCTCGGCGGCGAGGGGGGTCCGCTTTGCGCCTAGAAATTCAGGCATAAATATGAGCGCAAGTATACGAGGGCATAAACGTACTCCTAGGCATAAGTAAACGTAAATTTGCAGTCCTTAACGTGGCCGGGGGCAAGGCCCCGATGCAGTCGAGCAGCACCGACGGCGGAATTCCCCAGCGGGCGGTGGACGGAAGCAGCGGGCAGATCTTCACCCCGCAGACTTGTACCCTGACGAGGCAGGAGTTGCGACCCTGGTGGTACGTCAACCTCCTGGAGCCCTACATGGTCCAGCTGGTGCGACTGGACTTCGGCAAGCCGTGCTGCGGTGAGTAAAAAATCGGCAGGGAAATTAATGAGCGCGTACGTACAATTTCACCGAGCACAAGCACGGTTTTCGTGTTTACTGCCGCGTTAAATTGGGTGATAAATACCCAGGAGACTTTCTTAGACTACCAGCGATGTACAGAGGCGAGCGCCGGTTCCACGTACGCGGCAGAAACGCCCCGGAAATGGCTTCTTCGGGGTATGGCGAAAGGCGGCGCGGTTTCCGCTGGACGGAGTCTGCGACCGGGCGGAAAAACCGACCCCGAAGAGGGGAAAAGGCTATTCGAGCTCCTGCTTTCCATAGTTAAGCTAAATCGATGCCAATTCGGCGGTCGCAAACGAGCCGCGAAGTGCGTCGATAAACCGGCCCGTCGGCGACGGCCCCGCATGCAACTTCTTTTTAGAAACTCCTTCGTTAAACGAGAGCGAGAGTCTTTCTCTGGTCCGCGCACTTTCGATCCCTGGGAAAACGACGGGGCCATTAACCGGGTAGATTCGATCGCGCTTTGTGCGGCCAACAAAGCGAGACCGGACGTCCTCTTTCGGGCCACCCCGAGGACGGCGGAGAGTCGATCGAGCGGGAAGAGACGGTGCGAGCCGGCTCCGACTTTCCTCGATTTATAGATTTTACAGGCTTTACGGACTCGCGGGGAGAGTCGAGGAGAGAATTCCTGGCCAAGGAAAGGAGACCGCCACGCGGAATTTAATCTAGACGGGCCCTGATCGCGGAAACGGGGGATCTCCTCGGCATCTAGGAGGACTTCGTTCCTCCGGAGAGGAGACCGGCGAGGGGCCTAATTGGTAGCCGCGAGTAGCGCCGACTTCGGCGGTCACAGCTCGGGTGATTTCCAGGCCAGCGGAGCCTCGGGACCCCTCCGGACGATATTATCTACCCAGATGCCGCGAGGAAGCGCAGCTCGACGCGCAACCGCGATATCTAAACATCTAAACCGCGAGTGAAAGCCTCGGAGCCTCGCTCGGCCGCAAGATCCGCCAATCGCGTCCGCCTAGCCGCGAAGGCTCGTCGTCTCAGCGGCTTGTCCTCCTCTTCGGGTTCTTCCTCGTCCTCCTCTCCGGTTTTTCACCTAACGACGGAAGCGAGCGATTTCTCCAGGAAGAAATCCGTTCATCGGCGACCCTGAAATGATCCTTGATTAATTCCAATTATAGGCGAGGACGTGCCGGGCACCATCGTGGTGCGCGTAGGGAATAACAGACCCGACCTGGGCACCAACCCCATCTGCAACCGGTTCACCGGCCCCCTCGAAGAGGGCCAACCACTCTTCCTGCCCTGCAATCCTCCCATGCCAGGAGCCTTCGTCTCGGTGCACCTCGAAGCAGCCTCGCAGGTCCCCATCCCGGTGCAGCTTTCCCTGTGCGAAGCCTTCGTCTACACGGACCAGGTGAGTCCCTTCGTCTTCCTCTTCGGTACCCTCCTCACCTAGTTGAGATCCTTTGAAAACGCCGATTTCTCTTCAGGCTCTCCCAATCGAGAGGTGTCCGCAGTTCAGGGACCAGCCTCCAGGCTCGACGGCGACCTACAACGGGAAGTGTTACATATTCTACAACAGACAGCCCTTGAACTTCCGGGACGCCCTCGGTTTCTGTCGTTCCCGAGGCGGCACCTTGGTGGACGAGAGCAACCCTGCTCTCCAGGGATTCATATCCTGGGAGCTCTGGCGTCGTCACAGGTCCGTCTTCGCCTCGTTGACTCTACTCCTAGTGAAGTCTCCCTGTAGCGACATTATTCCTCTTCCTCAGGAGCGACACCTCGAGCCAGTACTGGATGGGCGCGGTGAGGGACCAGAAGGACCGCACCGTCTGGAGGTGGACCGGAAGCGGGGAGGAAGTGTCCGTGTCCTTCTGGAGCCTTCCTCAAGGTACCGAGGAGGACTGCGCCCGGTACGACGGAAGCAGAGGATGGCTCTGGTCGGACACCCCTTGCACGGCCAGGTTGAACTACATCTGCCAACATCGTCAGTACTCTTCGAGTATTACCCTCCAGAGCCCCATAGAAAAGACCGATCAACGATTACCCTAAATCCTTCCAGAGCCACGAGCTTGCGGCCGACCGGAGCAGCCTCCAAACTCGACGATGTCGATCAGGGTCCCCGGGGAAGGCAGCTCCGGGAACAGCTACGAGGTAGGAGCCACCGTCGAGTACAGCTGCGACCCTGGAAGTCTCCTCATAGGTCCTGCCACTAGGACCTGCCTGGACACAGGATTCTACAACGAGTTCCCTCCGGTCTGCAAGAGTAAGACATATATAATCATACATATATAATTAATTAATTTCTAACATCACAGGTAATATTTCACGAATTATCGCAGACATCGAGTGCGGCTACCCCGCGGGCATCAGACACGGCGAGTACACCTTGATTAACAACACGGTGAGCTACCTGAGCCAGGTGCATTACTCCTGCGAGGAGGGGTACGAGATGACTGGTAGGTACATTGTCATCCCGATTTTTTAAAATATTTTGCGGTGTATTAAATTATAATTAATTAACAGGTCGCGCGCGATTGACCTGCGACATCGACGAGCGCTGGAACGGCCCTCCACCGCGCTGCGAGCCGATCAGGTGCGACCCCCCTGCGACTATTCTTCATGGTTACATGCAGATCGACGAGATCAACGTCGAGGAGGGTCCAGGAAGCGGCAATCGAAGCCTTCTCGTTGGTAGCATCGTGACCTACGCGTGCGAGAAGAGCTACAGGTTGAACGGCCCGAAGCAGATCCTGTGCCTGGCCACAGGGTCGTACGACCACGCTGCACCCACCTGTACAGGTGAGACACGTTATTCTTCCAGTCAATAATTTTTGCAAATTATAAAACTATCTACGCTGATTATATAAACATAAATATGAATATAAATATAAATATACGATCATGCAGAAGAGCCTCGCTCGACGACAACGATCCCGCCTCGGATAACGATCCGTCCCTCGTCAACGAGGAGGCCATACCAGTCCACGAGGACCCGCTCGACGTCGACGACGACGACGACGACATCGAGAACGACGTCGGCTCCCTCAAGCACTACGTCCACCCCACCCCGGAAGATCCTGGGAGGTGCCGAACTCCCGGCCACTGTGAAGGAAACGGCGGTGAAGAGGCCCTCGGTCGGCCTCCAGAGGCCCATCGCCACGACCCAGGACGACCGAGCGGACCACCCACAGGACAACGAGATCTCCGGAAGCGGGGTGGACAATGCAAAGGCGACGATCGGAGCCGGGGTTCCGGAGCCCTCCGGACCGCTCAGGGTGGACAGGTCCGACCAACCGACGCACCAGGCCAAGTTGAACCTGGGCGCGGTGATCGCCCTGGGCGTCTTCGGGGGATTCGTCTTCCTGGCGGCGGTCATCACCACGGTGGTCATCCTGATCAGAAGGTAACAATGGAAGCTGTCGATGTACTTAACGCATGCGTGCCGAACTTAAAGTCGATTACATCCATTCCGGGTGTCGAAAGGGTTAATCGGAGCGGGTTGCCCGACCCTCGTCTCCACGCTTGGTCCGCCCTTAACTTAAGCCTTAACAGTAGCGACGAAAAACGGCATCGTAGACCCGTCCCCCAGTACCCCGGGGGACGGATCTCGACTCGGTCCTCGCGTCCGACCCCGTAGCTGACCCAGAACTCTTGCGTGGTCCCAGCGGCGGCGGCGGCGGCGGCGGCGTGGGCGTCAGCGGCATCGCCGGAGGAAGGCGTCGGCGTCGCCGGGGGCTCGGCGGGGTCGGTGCGCTGGGTGGCGGGGGGAGAGGCGACCCGGGGATGCCCTCTAGGTGGTACACGCTGCTCGCGCTACCGTTCCCCGACCAGCACCTGGGGCGCCGCGACCTGACGGCGGGCCGCTCTCGAGAGCACCCCTGCACCTTCGGCCTCTCCGCGGCCCACCGGGCCGGGTACTTCTCCAACCCCTCCCTCTGACACCTCCCGCCGACCCCGCCACACCGCCACCCCACGAGTGATAACTAGTCAAGGTAAAGACCACCGTCCCCGAACACCTAGAGTAGATTCGCCCTCGGCGCACCGGGTGAAGGGTCTGCACGGGGACCTTCTACATTCCACCTTCCACCATCCCTAGCCTCGTCCTGGTACCCGGGCTCCTCTCTCCACCGTAGGCTCTTCCGGTCCAGCGGGTGACCCTGGTCCTCGCACGTCACCGGAGTACCCGTGGAGCACGACCAGTGGATTAGAGTGGACCCAGGTCGAGGGTTGGCTATCGCGCCTCTTAGTGCTATGTAACCTTAGTTAATATTCCCCTTTGCACCCCCAGGAGCCGCGGTCGAAGCAGCAAGCACTACCGGCACCGGGCCTCGCCGGACTGCAACACCGTGGCCAGCTTCGACAGCAGCTCCTCCGAGAGTCGTGGAGGCCTCAACAGGTACTACAGGCAGGCCTGGGAGAACCTCCACGAGAGCGCCGGCCACAAGGCCAACCACGCGCCCCTGCGCCGCAAGGAGACCCTCGACGAGCCCGGCTACAGGGAGAACTACCGCCCCGGTACCACCGAACGCGACGGCTCGGAGCTCGTCGTAAGCGACGTCGCCGCGTATCCGGCCAGCAAGCACGCCAGCGTGTCCGACAAGAAGCGTCATCATCATCACCACCATCACCACCACCACGGCAACGGCACCGCCTCCGAGTGGAGGCAGACCCAGACGCACCAGAGATACTGACCGGTGCCTTGAAGAGACACGAGCATCGACTCCAGGGTTCGCACCTCGACCCGGTAGCGGTCGTCGCGCCCTGGTCCTGGACCCGCTTCGATTCTCCACGGTCGTCCAGGAGGCTGGACGACGATGGGACGATCGTCCTTCGTGTACATAGACGTGGACCCCCGGAGGTTGGCAGGAGGCGAGGGCCGGATCGTCCTCGTCGCCTCGTCGCATCGATCCAAGACTCGTCGGAGGACATGCCAAAAAGTTCTAAGAGTAATATATATATATACATACATATACATATTAATATTAATTAACTATGATATATAAGGTATCTTAGGCACAACGATCGGAGTTACGTGTGAGGTATCGCTGAGGTGCGCCCGAGGGGGTATTTAATCAGGAAATCGTGGATCTTAATATTTGAAATTAACTGGAAATCGTTTTCCTTGATTTCCGAGTGAATGGCTCCTCGGGGGTGCCGATAAGGCCATGCACCGCTTCCGGGACCTCTCGCAGGGACGCTATGGGCACCTTGGCCTCGCCTTGAAGCAGCGAAGGTCTGGGGTCTTCCTCAGGACTCCTCACGCTTTAAGGGAAGGTCGACGCTGTCCATGAGATGGAGGAAGCCTTAGAGTAATACGGTTCAACGTTCGAGTAAACGGCGAATAATTAGTATAAGTAAACGTGACTAGCGGTCGGGTATCCAATGTCTATCAGCCCTCGCGGACCAGAGTTGTCGTGCTTGTATTTATTCGCACCATAGTTTTACCGTGAATTAATGAACTAGCGCGATCAGGTACTCTTCACATTACCTGACCAGCACGCAATCGTTCCCTTTTTTCTAGGTGTTTTTTTTTTTGTTTAAGCGACACGGACGATCGAGCCCTCGCGTGTATAGTCGGTCTTAGCGGCAATATCGTAATCTTAAGAATAAACGTATATATGTAACCACGATTGCTGGTTTAATTATTCTCAAGGCTGGTGCCGTGATATAAAATGTATTGAGTTTACATGGCTGAGTTGAAAGTAACAGGATTCGTGCAGCTCTCGTTACGGCTAGATAAGTGATAAATGCAAGCCGGGAGTCGCAGTGTTGATAAGCTCGGTTGTCGAGCTCGTTAGCTCTGCAACCAGGTGCCGATCAGGTGGCCGACCTGCTGTCTCGCCTGCTTCAGCTGCGGCAGGTCGTCAGGGGATGGAGGATACATGTTGGCGCAGTGTGCCGTACCTGGTCGATGAAGAAATGGCACTTGGATATTTTTATACAGAGAGAAATTCATTTCCCGGAGGTCCGCCGTGCTCACCGTCTATGTAAATGGAAGGAGCCGATGGACTTTTGGAATCCGTCAGACCTAGAGCGTGCCAAGGGTCGACGGAGCCGTGGACGAAGACCACGTTTGTCACCTCCAGGTCCAGGGCACCGTATAGAGTGTTGGTTCGTACCACGGAAGAGCTCAACAGGTGAACGTTGTACCTGAAGAAGTGGGATCGTGAAAATGTCGGCATTAGCTTTGAGCATCCGGTAGCTGGAATAGTAACCTGGGTCCAAAGATGTCGGTGCACTGCTGGACGAAGAAGTTCACTGGGAAGTTGTTGCTGAACAGTTTAGGCCTAGCGCTCGAGGTTTGGAAGAAACCGAATTCGGTACACGTCTGATAGGTCCACTGCCGACCTGTGTAAAGTCATTGGATGAAACTTAACGATACGAGATTAATTCCTGAAAGCGACCGTTCTTACCGCCTGCTGCTGCCTCGTCGGCCCAGGAGACGTTCCTTAACTCGTCCAGCATCTTGGCGTATCTGTAATTCAGGCACTTCTCGTCGCTCGCCTTCAGCATCGAATTGCTCATCGCTGCGAGCCTGTCTATCGGGATGCCGTTTCTCTCGTCCACCAGATGATTGCAAACGTCGTCGATGGTGTGATTTAATTTCTTCGTGGAATTGCGATTGTCCTTGTTGTACTGCACTACCTCCGCGAAATTGCCGGCCAGTGTTTCGTAGAAATTGGCGACGTCTTTGGGCTTAGTATGCGCCGGATCGAGCGGGTCGCACAAGCTGAAGAAGATGTTACGTGGAAATTATATGTGTACCAGTTGGATAATGTTTAATACGTCTCGATATGCACTTGAACTTCTCAGTCAGCCCAGCCTGTCCAACCCGATGGTGCATCATGACGTCGATCTGGTGGATCGCTGTTTCGATCATGTCGACACAGGCCTGCGAATGTTTCTTCAGCGATTCCTCAACAATGACGAAGTACTCTGAAAGCAGGATTTACTTATTTCCCTTGTTAACTAATTTAACCGTGTCACTTACGTTGGAAGTCGATCTCAGCTAGAAGAGGCCCACTGCTAGACACGGCCCCATGCACCAGATGAGGATACTTGGAACGCAACCATGCAGCCAGGGATCCTGCGTAAGAACCTCCGAACGCTATCCACTTGGTATTTTCAGGAATATTATGCAACTTGTTCATCCCCTTGATGAAATATGCCAAATCGGCAAGAGCTTGCTCCGAGCTCAGAAACATTAAGTTTTTTACGCTCAGGTCTCTAAAAACGCACTGAAATAAATTTTTTGCACTGCACGTTTTGGCGTGTCCTTTCAAAGAGCACTTACGAAGTAGGGTGACTCTTCCCATAGAAACGATGTTCAACCTGGAAGCACATCGCTCCAAATTGCTTGGCATACTCGATCCACTCTCCCTCGGCCATCCATTCCGCCCGCGCAGTGCTTTCTCCACTTATCATTAAAAAAATTGGACCACCCTGCTTGTAGTACTCCGTGTTCACAAAATACCTCTACAAACATATCCATTATAAAACAACCTGGCGACACGCTCTAATCCATTATATCTCGACATTAAATACCTGTAACCATGTACGCGTCTCGGTAGGATTAAAGTGATCCAGGTTCTGCTCGATCCACTGATCGGGAGGAAGATCGTAATGTTTCGACAATTTAGGAGCTCCCACATTTCCACCCCTCGCTCTGCCCTTCGTAAAAGTACGCCACGAGGCTCCAAAATCGACAAGCAGTGCTACGCTCACAAGAGCCAAAGCAAGGCGCATTTTCTGACGCATCCTTCGAGCTTAACACTTAAAAATGCTTCTGTTCCAGTGGATGGACTGCAGATCTATAAAAAAAACATATCTGAGTAAACCGATACGTTTATTTGCTTTATACTGACCAACTTACCAATCAAATACTCGTGGAAGTATTCTTTTACATCGAGTGTTATTATTCACCCGCGGACAGCCACGATAATGACGATAGTAGACTATCGCGGAGCTCCAGCGACAAGCTGACCCAGCAAATATCAAAACAAACCGCCGATTCAGAGGTTAGGAATCCCGCGGCCGCGCTCTTGCGCGTCAAAACTCGACAGCCAATAACGACTGGCGAATAAACGCAAATTGCTCAACCGATAAAATAACTTCTAGTCGACCTCATACACGTCCAATAAAATTCCACTGAATCGACGTTCATCAAAGGAAAGAAGGAAAAAAATAAATCCCAGATATGAGTTGGGAGATTGCTCACGGGCAGGATCGCGCTGGATCGCGCGTTCACGTCTGTGCTGCCCTCGACGGAGAATATAGGCGGCTAACGGACTTGCCCTTAACGGCGGCCCAACTCAAGGATCCAACTAATTTCTGCTCCCAAACGTGAACAACGTTGTATTACCCGAAAGATATTGTGCGCTGGAGATTTCATTCCGGTTTTTGCACCCGTTTGGCTGAAAAAAGTACTTGTATCTACAGAATTTATTTCTCCTCTCCTCTAATCGAGATTAAACCCTATCTTCCAGTATTCTCCTACGTATAATAAATAGAATTGAATATTATCATGATGTAGTGACTGTTGAAGTTTCCCTTTTAACTTGATTTCTAAGCAGATGGTTTTCGGTCCTGTCCAGATGGTGATGGCGTTTCGGAGGCGAGGGAAACGACTTCTGGACTCGCGCCGGAACAGTAGCTCGTCTTCTCCCCCTCGGTCCCGCTGATTTTGATTTTCGGTATCACCCCGTACTCGCTCGAGTGCGACTCGAAGGAGTCTCCGCACCCCTTCACGGAGCCGCTGGAGAAGCTCCGGCAGATCGCAGTCTGCCTGCTAAAGGGTGAGCTTTTAAATGATTTGAAGGTTCCCTTAAGTCCTTAAAAAATTCCCAGGTACTCTACCTGACGTTCGAGGACCCTGTCAGGGACCTGGGTTTCTTGGGGACCTCCTTGCCTCGGCCCTGCTGATTCAGGCCGGGGTCCTGCGGCAAGGAGTCCTGCTCCACGTCCGTCCCTTCCCCAGCATCCGACGTGGTGGACCTCTTCCTTCCTTTCCACTCCATCAGGACGTTCTCCACGACGCCTGGAAGAGAATCCCAGGAATGAAGGAATCCTCATGATTAAGAAAGACGAAAAGAAGAAAGAAAATAAAGGAAATGAGATGCAAACCTTTCGACGAGGCTTCTGCGGATTTGCTGGACGGCAGGACCGGCAGGATTTTTTTCCACCTGGCGAGGGCATTTTCCGGGACCTCCTGCCATTTATCCGCTATGCGGAACATCTTCCTCCGCTCTTCCGTCCGCTCTTGGCGTAGCTGCACCTGGAGTAAACGAGGGAAGTTGTCAGCGAAATTGCCGCCTCGGGAATTAATGTCGTACCTTCAGATCGTTGTTGGCCTCCCTCAGGGAGCCAGTCAGGGAGATCATGTAGTAGATGATCAATGCCATCAGGACGATTAGCGGAATAATAATTCCTGGCGAGGCGACGTAGTCCATGCATCTGTTAAATTCCCGGCGTCATTAGCGGCCGCATCGATCACTCTTATCCAATAATTAATTATCCCGCACGCGCTAATAGGATCAAATTACCTGTGAAACGACTTTGGCAAAGTGTCTTTGAGACTCTGCGTGGCCAAGTGATAAATCCTGAGATATCCGGAAAATGGACCACAGTGCCAAGAAGGCTCCACCCAGACCAGGGCGTACCCCACGGGTAGGACGCACAGGAACAGCATCGTCAGCAGCAGGGCCAGGTAAAAGTTGTTAGACCTGGAGCGCCGATAATCGAGACGTTATAAAATATTCCAGAAAAAAGAGAATACTTGAATAAAATTGCCACACCTGGAAGCCCTGAAGACGACCTCGTGGGGGACGTTGCACGTGAGGACAGCCCAGGACCTCAGGTACATGAGGATGCCCAGCTTGATTAAATTTAGGGCAGCCAGTCCAGGACTGAAGAACATCCCCATCCACACCATTCCCTGATTATTCACCAGGTGGAGGATGTTCTCGGCAATCTTGAAGTCGCCGTACTGAGGGAATTGCTTCTCGAGGTCCCAGCACCAGCAATTGTTCATCAGGCGGACGAACACCGCCCTGAAGAAGTCCATCCCCAGGGTGGACACGACCGTGAGGACCTGGTCGAAATGAAAGAAAAAAAAAAGTTACTCGATGGTCCAGTTATTTTTTATTTTTTATTTTACTCTAATTTATAGAGTACTCACCAGGTCCATCACGGTGAGTTTAGTCAGTTCCTGGCCGAACATCGTCTCCCAGCACAAACGTCGCAATTTCCTCCGAGTCGTGATATCGAGAGGAATGGAACTGACACCTGTAAGCGGTCGTAAAAAGATGTTATAAATATTATAAAAATTCGAGAAGTTCATAATTACGACAATACCGGCGACTTGGAATGCCTCAGGAGGGCTGGATTTCTCGCAGACTTTTTCGTAGCACCTCAGGATCACAGCTTTCTCGGTTGAGGTGTCCTCGAAGGTCTTGTACGCATCCGTGGAGGCTGTAGAAAAATCCACAGTCCTCTCCGTACTACCGATTGTGGAGTACAGGTCGTACTTGAAGGTAGGCTTGTCCTCCTCGGTTGACGAGAGATTATGAAAATACGCCCTACTGCTATCGGTGATATTTAATAAATCGTTCATACTAGTCCCACTGGAACTCACGTACGACCCTGTAGTATAATTCTCCAGGATCTCTGAATAGGTAAAATTAGCCCATCCGAGGGTTGAATTAAAGATCTCGGTAGTCGCGGTGAAGTTGCCTCCCAGCCAGGTGAAATTATTATTTCCAAAGATATCCGTGATGTTAGGGCCAAGAGATACGTCCACGTGGTCCAGGTAGTCGTAGTCCAAGCTGACGTCCCCAGGGTCGTAGAAATAATCCTCGGTGGCGTTGAAAATACTCGAGGCGGTGGAATTTTCCACAGGACTCGAGGAATTATACGGCGCCGAAGTCTCACTCTCCCTGCTCTCAGAATCCTCAGTTTTCGGTTTGGAAATGGCATTGCTGAGGACGAGGCTAAGAGATGCCAAAGCGGCGAAGGACTCGGAGAAGTCGCTGCTGCAGGGCACCAGGACCTTCGTGCAGTTGATCCAGGTCGTCGGGTCGGTTTTCGGCTTCAGACTCTGCAGCTCGATTTCCTGGGGGGGAATTTTCCGAACAATCTTTGCCATTCCGAGACGTGGAGACGTTCAGGGGGCTCACCATGTCGCTTATCTTGTCGAAGAGAGCGAAGATCAAGGAGTAGAGGTTCAGCAGGTTCAGGACCATGATCCTTGCCAGCTGGACTCTCAGCTGCTTCCTGGGGTGGTACCTCTCGAAGATGCCCAGGATCTCGAAGAATATCGGGAAAATGTACGAGATGAGGGACATGACGACCGTGATCTCGTTCTGCCTCCACCAGGTCGAGTCGGCCTCGGGCTCGGTGCTACGAGCCACGACTTCCACGACGGCGTATGCAGACAAAGCCAAGAGGGTCATGACGGAAATGTTTACGAAAACCCGCACCGTAGTGATTTTCCAGCTGAAAGGTCCAAACGAGACATCGGGATGACGTCGAAGAGTCTGCCATTAATTAACAATAAAGGGGAATAAATATTGACTGACTTCCTCGCGGCCTTCTGCCTCTCGGCTTCCTCGAGGAGGGCTTCCTTAAATCCTAGGATAATACTGGCGCACCGGTTGTGCGCGGTCTCGGGGTTGCCGATCATGAAGTCCCAGCCCGTGAAGAGCTTCCACGAGAACGCGCACTCGTCCTCCTTCTCCGAGAGCTTGCTCATCCTCGAGTTCTCCGCCATCCTGGGGATATTAAATAACATTAAGACTGTAAAAAGGAAATGACAAAGGCAAGAATAATTTAACATTGGCCATACTTCCGGAGGATGGCGACGAAGCTGTAGGTGTAGACCACCAGGTTGGCGACGAAGTACGCCAAGGGAAGTCTATATCCTGTCTTCGAGTCGACGTTGGTGTACCAGCCGTAGAAGAACGGGGAGTACTTTAAGATCCCTTCGAACTCCCACAGGGTCAACAGGTGCTTAGACTTCGCCGTTTCCTCGGGTAGCATTATTTTCCGCTCGCCGGCGAGACTGGCATCTGCGGTCAGCATCTGCATCGCCAGGAAGACAGGATTTAACTCTGAGGGAGTACTCGAAGAGGAGCGTTCTCTACCTCGGGGACTGCGACAAAGGCCATAAGAGTAGCGGAGATGACGAGGTTTATCCAGAAGAGCCAGCGAAGGAAGATGAAGTACGAGGCGACGGCCGAGCCGAAATGAGACTCTATTTCCTTGATCCTCAATTCCCAGGGCACCAGCCAGGTTTGCAGGTTGACAAATTCCCTCTTGAAGTACTGCCATTTCTAACAGAAAATAGGGGAAAAATATAGAATCGACCTGCTGCATTGATTAGAATTTTCTTTCAGGATGGGAGACCTTGCTGACGAGGATGGAGGCCCGAGCGATGGCATCCCTGGTGCTTCTACTCTGTGCCAGTCGTTCCTGAAGAGCTCCCTCGTGTCTCCTGACATAGGATTTCGCCTGCTGGACGAGTTTAATTTTCCTCCTCAGGGGCCAAGGCTGCTGCTTCACTCCGCTGAGGACCTCCTTGTGCAGCTTCAGCTTCTCAAAGATCTGCTCCTGCGTCCCGCCCTCCTCTATCGAGATGGCCGTGCTGAGGTAACGATAAATCGGGTAGAATGAGATCCTCCTCTCGATCGGCGATAGAGAAAGATCGAACTCACTCCCCGGAGCTCGTGGTGAACGCCGAAGACCGACGTCGAAGAGTGCTCTCCCCTTCCGGGCCGAAAGGCGAGGACGACCTTCTCTTTCTTCGGCTGTGTCTTCGGGAAGAGGTCCTCCTCTGCATGATGGCGCACACCGAAGCAGAGTAATCGTCCTCCTCTCCTCCGTCCTCCCCCTCCCCCACTGAAGTACAATTCACCTTGTAGTTCACCTTTGCCGGTCACGGAGTAGACCCCGAAGACTCACCTGCCAGGGTAGGACTTCTTTGAAGATCGAGGGCGTTCTTCGCCATGGTCCCCTCGTTCTTGGGAGGGCTCTCGTGGATCTCTTCAGGGTCCTCTCCGGGCCTATCGACGGGCTCCCCTTCTTCGGCAATGGCGAAGGTGACAGAAAGTCGGTCTATCGAGGGCTGAGGAGACGACGGCTCCACCTGATACGCACCAGGGAAAATACCAGGCTATAATTCAGGACGCCCTTAGAGTTAATCCTCCTGGTCACGCTATGGAGGTCGACGGGGGTGGCTGCAATGGTGTCGCCTCCCTAATCGCCTCCTCGACATCGACGCCCCATCAAGGAAATGCGACGTCCTTCCCCGAAGAGCTTCCCGCGATATGAATCGCCTCCTCTTCAGGGAAGACTCCGGAGGTCATTCCTTCTACGAAAATCGCTCATAGATTAAATTTCCACATTTTTTAACAAACTATCCCCCCTCTGCACAAAAGGAAGGAAGACGATTCGGAAAAGGGAACTCACCGGTCAGGGAGCTCTTCTACACCTGTTCCCTCCTAACGTGCAAACGACTTCGGTGGCACCCCTCCACCTGAACCGCACCTACGTGTCCAGGACGTTAAGACTAATATCTCCCATCTTCCCCGGGTAGAGGATCCCAACTTTCTGCATGGTAATTCCTCTCCCTCGTTTCATAAGGAATTTTTTTTACACCCCTCCACCTAGGCCACGTTTATTAGGATTTTTATATGCAAGAGTATCACCGAGGCAGGGGGTGGAAACGCCTACGAGGCAGGCACCTATAACAGGTGGCAGGGTGCAGAAAATTGCGAAATTCATTCCTGGGAACCCCTGCCCGAGGTGGATGCATACTTGAGGTCGCGTGTTCTTCGGGCCGCACCCTCTTCGTCGTGAACACCCTCGAGTTGGCCCTGATCGCGAAACCTCGCATCCCTCACGCGGCTCCACCCTTTTACTCGGACCTAATCAGCGTTTCTACGTATCCACCTACGTGTTGCACGCCATTTCGAAAATCACCTGGACGTCGATGTGAAAAAGCTCTCGAAATTAGGATCGCGTGCCGGCCCTCTTCCCAGGATGGAATTAAATGCTCGACCTCGTCCCCTCGAGCCTGGCACCTAAATTAATGAGCCAATCCGAGCCCTCCTAATAAATATCATTTTTCGAGATTTCGTCACCTGGACAAGAATTATACCTAAATCGAGGTAAAGCCTCGTCCTGGCTCAACCTCCTGGTTCCTGAATGAATATTCAACGAATATCCCGATCAGCGACATCATGACATTTTTCCTACATTTTTTCATAATGGAGATTTCATATTCGAGGACTAATTAAATCCGAGAAAACCTGAACGATGGGTTCGACCTGTACCTTCTGGGGAGAGAGCAGCCCCCTGGGGGTGCCCTCCGTCCTCAGGATCCCGAAGGATCCCATTTCCTTGGGTCTTCCTTTCCGCTTCCTCTCCGTCCCGGAATCCTGCTTCTTATTTCCGCAAGCTGCCTCGTCCCTTGCCGCATCCGGAGAACGAGGTTCCTTTTCCTCCTCCTCTCGGGAACCACTTCCTCTCCTCCGTCGCTCCTCCATGGCGCCTACGAATTAGCGCACCTCTAATTATCCTTGCCTAAGCCCTGGCATTTTTACACATTTATCTCTGTGTCGGAAATTAACCGATAAGCCGTAGACTGGTTATCTTTTAATTATCGACGTAAAGTAGGGCCGACTTTACCTGGCCGTCCCCCAGGAGGTAATTAAAATCCCGCCCCTCCTGAATTTCTCTTTTTTTCTTCTTCGTCAAAGCGAATCGACGCTATCAGGACGATCGACCGATCCTCGGGGGCGAAATTCGTCACGAGGGCCAGAGGATCTCCCTTTCCTCTGTCCGGGCTAATTACTTCCACAAAACGCTCCTTCAGGGACACTTTTTTTTTAATCCGACACTCGCGGGGTCTTGCACAGGTTTCCTCGAATATTCCACGCCGAGAGTCCGGGGCTCTCTGCGGCGTCCTCGGGACGCAGTCCTGAAACTCCCGCGTTAATGCCCTCGCTAATGAGTCCTGTCTCTGATGAATAATTAAGTCACGCATACGCTGCTCAGGACTGGGCATAGTTTCCACCGCGAAATCGCAGGAAAGCCTCCGTCCCCCGGAAAATAAACGCAAAGCGGCCGCTTCCTCGATTAAGCGTGATAACAATGAATCGGAGACATAACCCTTTAGAGGGAAAAAAATCACTAAATAAAGGCAAGAAAAACCGGAGCTGAGAAGAGCGGGTGGAATTACTCCAACGAGGACATATCCGCACGGAGAGCTGGTTTTCTTTTTTATTTCAAAGTCGCTCCGGGTATCGTACAGCTCGGAATTACTTAAGGATAGTAATAACGTTATATAAACATGTCGGATCCGATATGTCGAATGAGGTGCGACTTATTGCTGGTCTTTCCCCCGATTGGCACCTATCACTTTCGTTTAACGCGACATTATTCATTTCGATATCACTAAACAATATATATATATATATATATATTAATCTCCCCTAGACTCGCCTATCAGCCATGGTTCCGGATACTCGAAAATATTCCACTTCCTTCCGCAAAGTTTCCCTCGCCACCCTCGAGAGAGCCAACTCGAAGCCTCCACGAGGCGGTCCAGAAATACGGCCAACGTCACGGGGGAATTAATGCACGCCAGAAATAATAATTGTGTACCTAATCTCATCTCTGGCCGACATTACATATGGCTAGTTGTACTTGAACCGCCAAGAGAGAGAGAGAGAGAAAGCGAGAGAGCTGCTCCATTTTCTATTTCCACGAGACCGCGCGGGGTCGTCGTCAACTATTTACAAGGCGAAGAGACTCGTAGCTTTCCCATCTAAGTCTGATATGTGAGTCACCTCTTGATTCCCTCCATTTCCGGAGTCGGACGGTCTCGGGAAAGCTCGAGGAAATAGTAATAGAAAATTGACGCGATTCTCTAATTAACTATGTACAAATCAGGCGAGGAGAGTGGCCTCGCTCGGTCGTTTCGGCAGGAATAATCGCAGGTGTACCACATCCAAATCCCATAAAAGTCTCTTCGGGATCTACTTAGTGGTGTGCCTGGCCCAGGTGGTCCTCTGCACCTGGCACATGAGATCGTTCCTCGCAGGTAACCGCGCGCTAGTGGTCCTGGAAGGAGGAGGTCCAGGAGCCCTGAGAATGGTGGCCAGGTGTTTCCGATCCTGAGGAGCCAACTGTTTGGGAGGCTCGAGGGTCTTGGGGTTCTCGACCACGGTTTCCTTCTCCACCTCCGCGCGTTTCCTGGGAGGAGGGGGGTCCAGGACGATCGGAGGAAGGTCGTCCCTGACGGTTTTGCCGGTCATCTTCTTGGTCCTCTCCAAGGTACCGTACGAGGAGACGACAGGTGGATTCTGGCAAGGTAGAGGCTTGATGAAAAACGGCTGTTGGGTTTCATCAGGTTGTTCCCCGCCGAGGTAGGCCTCGATCCGATGCGGCATGACCGGGGACGAGGAGAAGCTGTTCGCCTGGGAGACTCTCAAGGACACGGACCCTGGCGAAAGCTGGGACGAGTTCTGCAAGAAATCCCAGAGGAGTGTCAGGAGAGTCAGAAGAGTTACGAGTCAGCGGTGATACCCGGTATGCCGTCGAAGATGCCGAAGAAAGAGGAGAGGTCTCACCGAGGGTCTGCTGCTCGGCGGCAGGAGAAGGCTGGGTCCCATGGGGTAAGGGGACGGCGTGGTGTACGGCGACCGGTGGGTCTGATAGGGACTGATGTTGTGCAGCCTCTCCATGAGCTGGGCCTGGAAATGCAGCTGGTCGGTGGAGTTGGCGTTGACGATGCCCCCAGGGTGGCCAAGGTAGACGGAGTCCGCAGGATATGGGCAAAAGGCGAAGGGTGGCGGGTCCAGTTCCCAGGGCGAGTTCTGTCCTCCGGTTCGCTGGGACTGTCCACCGGAAAGATCTCGTTATTCGGAGGATTCTCGGCCCAGAGACGCGTAGATAGAACAGGGTCGGGTAGAAATTAATATCCTCGAAGGAAGCTCGAGGATGAAATCAGAATACGCTAGAAAGTCATCTAGAAGAGCGGCTTTAGCTCCGTATAAATAGAGTCCATGCGAAACGTTACCTAGCACTTGTTGGTCGCGTACACTCCGAAATCCCGGGCGAAGACCTGTCGGACAAGACCGTCACACTGGCGCTTAGCACAACAATTATTGGATTAGCTGGTTAGCGTATTAAATTGGCCACTTCCCGGCCAGTCTCGATTGGCCCCGTGGGCGTACTAGGTGTGAACCGGGTCAACCGACGATCCGACTCTCGGCTCTCTCACTCGACGTTTGCCCAGCTCATCGTTTCAGCCTGTCAGCGAGCTCCCGGACTACTCTACGAGGGCTCCGGTCACGAGCGAAACAACCGAGAGCCCTCTCGGCCCCTTTGCGACTCGAATCGATCTCTTTCCTCCGCTGCGCCGAGGCCATTAAACGAAAGAGAAAAAAGGAAAAAAAAAGAAACTGCAACCTCTTCGTTACCCTGGCGCTCCCCCCTCTCTCCCTGAGACATCGCAGGTGCAAGGCGTGAAATAGCGTACAAAAAACGTCGGTTTATTATAAAAAGGGTCTGAAAAAAGATCAGTACAAAGGTAGGTTACGTGGTACAAAAATACAAAATGCACTTGGTTAAGCGTTAATGGAACGCACGTCTCACTCTCTCTCTTTCTTTCTCTCTCTTTTTTTTTTTTTCTAGGGGCCGGCCAGCCCATCGTGGCTCGTCAGGGGATTCGATAGAGCGTTACCTGGCCGAGGGTCGACAAGTCGGGGCCGGTGGGTGTTTGCGGCACGGCCGTGCCTCCGGATACCTGCGACTGGCTCGACAGGCCTTGAAGAGGCCCGCCGACACGCTCCTGTTCCCGGAGGTGGCCCACCAGGGCGCTGATGTGCTCCAGCAGCTCCTTGTTTTGCACAAGCAGCTGATGAGTCCTCGCCTAGGGCAGAGGAACGGTCATCCAGGGTTAACCTGGGGTCCGAGGAATCGAATTGACTCGGGCACCCCGAAGAAACGCACGGCGAATACCCGAAGAAGCACTTGATCCCCGTGTGTCAATTTATCTACGCACCCGGGGCAGGGATTCGTTACGCCAAGTGCATTCTATCACCAGGTAATCGACGTCGCCGTGAATCTCTGGCGTGCAGGAGTAACGAAAGTGCGACCAATATGGTAATTACTTGCGCCTCGATGCGAGCCGCCGTCTCCGCGGCCAGCTGATCCTGAAGAAGCCTGGCATGGGCGACCGCCGCCCGGGTTTGTTGACCCTGCTGATCGAGGCGTTCCCGAAGCAGCTGAATCTCGTGTTTCAGGGCCGTCAGCTCGCCGCCGGCGAGCAGACCGGCGCAGTCGGACGTCGCGGTGCCCTGAAGAAAGAGAGGAAAAAGTGAAGAGGTCGAGGAATCGCCGCCGGAAGTCGGGGGCCCCGGGGATGGCGGGGCGTGCCCGGGCACGGGAACAGCTGGCAGTCTAGGTGCACGCATCGGTTATGGCGCATTACCGAGCCGCATCGCTGCAGGCGGTACCGAAAGCACCATGGGCTCCCATCGTCGGGACTGCCTCCGAGAGTGCCGGCCTCTCCGACTCTGGATCCCGGAAGTGGCTACAATTATCGACCGGGCCCCTCGCCCAGGCACCGCGTGGGAGGCTCACCGAGCCGTGTAATTGCACCTGCACCTGCATCGTCCGATGGCGCGAGCCGAGGCCTGCCCTGGATAGACGGAAATCGAAAAACCGGACACCCACGCGAAGCGTCGACGATGGGCCACCTGTTGCTTGCATACCGAATGAAAGGAGGACCCCCCCATGGGACTCGACTTGCATCGCGTTCAGAAGGATGCCGTGATCCCTCCAATGGTAAGGAGAAATTTTGCTCTAGCATCAGCGAGTACCTGGACCTCTTGGAGGACTCCAAGGGAGTCCTCCCAGCAGGGACCATCGATCTTACCGAAGGCGACCTTCTTATGGGGGTCGTCGACATCGCCATCGTGGCTGGCACTTCGTGGGTCCTGAGGAGACATGGTACCGAGGTTCGTTCAACCGGGTCCTCTCCGTCAGCCAGCAACGATATGTCTGAAATGGTGGAGTGGATTATTGAGACCCGGTCGGATGACTTTAAGTCACTACGAGGAGGAAAACGTATCATGAACAAGTAGATCGGATATTTTCGTTATTTCGAGGTTCCCTCACCCTTATGGAGAGACGACGGCGACGGCTGGGGCTGCTCGGTGGCCACTTCGTCCTGGTCCTCGTAGTCCTCCCGATGCCTCTGGTGGTCCACTCCTTCTCTCTCCCTCTCCTGTCGCTCTTCCGAAGGAGTATTCAGGCTCAGTTTGTGGCACACCTCGAAAGCCTGGCCCACGGTCCTGACGACTCTCATCGCCTGGCTCTGTCGAGGTGATAAACGCTATCAGACACCTCCCAGGACGCACCGTAGATGCAGGACTCGAGGAGAAAGCACGGGGAATTATCCAGTAAACCTAGGAATGCGCCGCGAGCCGGGTATATTATGGTAATGCCGGATCATCGCGAGGGAGAAAGTAAGATTTTCCCGGATTGGCGATAAAAGGAGAGATGCTGGGATATTAGGGTCCAGGCTCGACCAGGTGGAAAGTTGCCGAGGACGCGGATAAAGTAGTAAATCGACCCCTTCTGGGACTTCATATAGATGCGAAGGAACGACCGCTCCTTATCCGAGAACCTATGCGTAAATTAGCGATCCTAATTCACTCTAATTTTCCCTAATTTTCCGCCCTTTGCTCGGGCAAAGTGGACCAGCAGCGACGCGGGTGGCGAGCCGCTTGCCTTTTCCGCTGTATATTTACGGTACCGCTTCTTTATGCCCGGCCGTGCGTAGTTTTATTACGTCAAACGGTCGTAACAGTCGGCACTTGGCGAGAGAAGAGGTTCCCGAGGTTTCGAGGGCGCCTCTGGAGATCATCGGGGAAATTCGGCAGATACCAGGAAGAAGTACCCGAGGCGAAGAGAGGCTCCGTAAAATCCTCGTCGGGGGGTAACAAGTGGAGTGGAAATTTCTGTCGGGATTCCCATGCCGGAAGTAGGTACCATTGAGGAGGAATTAACGAGCGGAAAAATCGCCTGTCCAGGATCGACGTAAATAACACGTCTCGGATGATAGTCATCATCTCGATCCGCCGGAGAAAACGGCAGGCCGAGGCGGATGTATATTCCATATCCAATATCGCAGGAGAAGTATCTTGGCACCTCCAGGGAAGGGATTTCCCATCCTCCCTGGATGACGGTTTACCTCGAGCTCTTCCAGGTCGACGTTCTCCTCCTCGAGGGGGTTCTCGTCGAAGGAGAGGTCGGCCGGGGTCGAGAGGGAATGCGCGAGCGGCGGTTTGTTCCTGGAGAAGGGCCTCTTCAGCTTCCCGAAGAACTCGGGCTCCTTGAAGGAGAGCTTCTTCCGGGGTTTCACGACCTCCGGACCGGGACTCCCCGGACTGGAGCTCCCCCCAGGAGTCCCGGGACTGGGCAGCTCCGTCGAATTCTGCTTGCCGAGGCCCCTCGGCATGGTTCCTCCTCTTCGGGATCAACTACGCTCATGCATCTCTTCTCCACCAGGACTATCGTTCGAGTTTGCGGTCTCCACTAGTTCCCTCCACCCCGTGCACTAGGACGTAGATCTTTCTCCACGGTCGCTGGGTCGGGCCGTCTCGACGCTTCTCCTCGGCATCCTCGAGGATCCTCTTCCGCATGCTTGCCACTGCTCTTCGGCATCCTATGCGGCGATCTCCTCAAAATCCGTCCAAGGCCCCCGGTACGATGTGCCTCGACATCGCGTCGCGGCCGAGAGGTCCAACGACGAGGAACTGAGGGCGTCCGCCGACGATGGGCTATTTTAGCATCCTCCTACCTCCATCATGGAGCCGCCTTCCGTCCCGACGCCGCTTCGCGATCAAATCATCCCTGGCCCCGAAGAAGCGGTACCGGTTTCCGTGCCAACTCGCATCTTCCGCCTCGGGCACTTCGACCTCGCCCGCGGGATAATATTGAAACATTAATTTCCCTCCGAGCCGACCACGGCCCGGGTACTTTTAATTTCTTCCCCAGGTTCCCCGGCCGCGGCTTCGGCATCTATTAATAATCCTAGAGCATAATCGTTTAAGCCGATGGAGCCGCGAGACGGAGTCGTGCCGGATTATCGGAAAATTCTGTTCCTCGCTAGAGAGGGAGCGGGAAAGGGACCGGCGAATACGGGAGGGGGGAGGGAAAAGTCCGTCATACGACGCGAATAGAACCGATCCGCTGGTTTCGCAGGGAGAGAGAAAGGAGACCGGAGAGGGGGAGAGGCGACGCGCGTCCCCGGAAAGTAGCGAGAAAAATCGGTTGCTTAATAAAGGAAAAAAAGGAAGTTGGCCGCTGGTAACGCGTGGGGATATCCCTCTCTCCCTCTTCAAGGCGTCCCTGAACCTGAACGGGACCGGGAAAGGGGTACGGGGTCCCCCACTTTCGAGCCTCCGGCGAGTCCGGCTTGCACGCGCCCAAGTTTCTAATTACACGCTCGTTTCGAGTTCTTCGGCCCTGAAGAGGTCGATCCCGATCCGAGATATCGAGTTCTTCGAGCCCGACCCGAGACGCGTCGTCCGGAGCCGGGGGCGCCCACCTTTTTGCTCGACTTGAAGACGTTGCACTTGAAGGTGTTGCTGCTGCCGTCCCGGGCGATGTAGCTGAAGATCTTCAGGTCGTGGCTGTCGTGGGACACGTAGAAGATCCTGAAAAAAAAAAGGCGAGGAAACCGCGACGTCGGACGGGGTATTAAAAAACTGATCGACCGCGGAGCCGACTGTGGTCGCGAATGGCCGTCGGAGGGAGAGGGTAGGAGTACCTGTAGATCGGGTGGTGCATCAGGAAGAGCTTGTTCTCGTCCATCCACTGCTGCTTCTTCTGTCGAGAGAGAAAATTATTTATTAATTAATAAATCGGGTATAAATCTCCCATGGAAAGATTGCTCGTACCTTTTTCTTCCTGAGCGTGACCTTAAGTCCGTCCACCGAGACCTCCAGGGTCACTTTCTTCTTCTTGATCCCCTTCGCCTTGAACTCGTACTTCAATCAGAGAATTATTGCATGGATTATCCTGATTGTTAGAATTATTGAAATTATTTCTGAAGGAAAAAAAAAAATTAAGAAGAAGAAGAAGACCTACGCGGATCCTCCGCATTGCCGCCACGATCTCCACTCGGCTGGTCGGCCTGGGAACCTCCATCGAGCCAATGAGCTGCAACCAAGACAAGAGACCATTTGCGAATCGCTAACCGGTGACCGTATCCAGGTCGGCATCGACAAAGGCAGAGGCTCGCTCTTGTCCCGAGGTCGATCGCGCACGTGCGACTTCCCAACCGGCCGGGAATGCAGGAAGTGGACGCGTATAGCCGCTAAACGTGGAAATTGGAACTCAGGCCACGTGTACCTCTCCGAGGCCCCGAGTGCCGGAAATCTCGATCTCAGGGACACCGCCGATAGTCCAACTCGCCTTCTAATTCGCCCTTTTCCATCCTAAGCTCCCGGACAAAACGAATTCCCGGTACCATCCCAACCTCCACCCTCGCCGTCGGCATCGCACCGTCCTCCACCCCCACGCAACGGTTGATTTCATACCTTTACTAGGTTGCCCACGAAAAATAATTGTTTGGTCTCTTTTTGTACAAATTAAGTGATTACTCCTGTTACTTCAGAAGGTTTGTTCTACTTTTTTTTTTTTAATTAATAATAAGATAGTGGCTACTGATTCTTTGTAGGAATGTTCGTAGTGATTCCAGAAGGTGAAGTTACATCAGGCAATGAACTTGTCTTTTTTTTTTTTTACACCAAAGGTGTTTTTGCTGGGATAAATATATCCCGAAGTGGAAGTAGCATTTCCATATAGCTACCGAATTGCTAAATTACATATTTTGGGGATAAAGGTGAGGTACAGACGCGAGTCATAAAATTGTTCGGCCGGCGTAAAGGGTGGAAATAAATGTGGAAAATTCAAAGAGGAGAGGATCGAGTGGCGCAGGGAATATCTCACGTGGGAGATTTCGGGGGGTCTTTGATACGGTCGAGGTGTCGCGTAAATTTAACGTCAGAGGAGCGATATCTCGAGCAGCCTCGTTAACCGGTGGTTCCCGCCGCTCCGAAATATCCGACCCGACGCCCTAACTAACGTCACCCGGTGTGGATTGTCACCGGGAGTAGGAATCGCGGGAGATGGTTTATATACGCGGCTCCTTTGCCTTCCGGCTCTTCTCAGAATGAGAGCTGCTCGAATAAACGCGTGCACCGCGTGACGTATACGCACACCTTGTCCAAGAATATCTCCCCGACGTCGGCGTCGTCCACGAGGACGCGGAACGTCGTCCGATCGCTCTTAACCGAATACCCGATACATTTACAAAGCGGGACGTCGACAAGAGACTAGGGCAACCCAAGAGAAGAGGGAACGATCTCTCAAATAGTTTTGCATCTCGCTTTAGCAGCATCCGTTCCGAAGGACTCTACCCGGAGGAAGGCCAGGAGGGGGCCGGATATGCGTATTAAAATTCCGAAGGACGCCGTTCAGGGTATACAAAGCGGGGATAAAAAGCGAGCGAGAGACGCTTCCCCCCCGTAATTAGGAAATGGCTCGGGCGCAATCCCGAGGTTTTCCTCGGTGGCTTCTCTCCCCGGGGAGTACCTATGTACAGTGGCACCCATGTACCATTTCCGCAATCTTTCCGGGGCTTCGTGAGAGCGAAGAGCGAGAGAGAGAGAGGGATCGTCCCGAGGCAGGGACCCCTTCCAGGGGCATTTACCTCGGAGAGGAAGCCCCTTTCAGCGGATATTACTCCCGGGGGGGCGTGAAAGGGGACGGTCCCTCCTCCCACGAGGCGTCCTCGGAATTGAGATTCCCTCGGGAATATCCTCCCGGAGCCTCCTGCATAGGGATACCCTCCGGTCTCTGTCGTTTTCCTAAGCCTAAGTCTAATCTAATGGTCCTCGTTTTCTTCCGTCCTCCTTGGGACGATCCGCGAAGGTCTCTTCGGGGCCTCTCCAGGGTCTCTCCGACGGGAGGGGGTATCGGGTAACGTTCCCTCGGAGGATCTGGAAGGGGAACGGTGCCGGGCCCTCGGGGTCTCTCTCGTACCTTGGCGTGGAACACGATTCCACGGTGGAAGGCCTCCTCGCTGTGGAGCGGTATCCTCGTGTCGTACTCGTCATTATGCACGAGATTGTACTGCTTCTTCGAGGGCATGCTTGGCCCAGCTTCATCCGCTTACGCTCGTCCAGGTCCACTGAAATTCATAGATTAGTTTATTAATAATGTCTACGACACAGCCTCGATACGTTCCCTCCCCACCCTCCGTTCGAATCTCCGATATTGAATTTCCATCCCGATACAAAAATTCGGAAAAAAATTCTCAATAAATCTGGAAAAATTTGGAAAAAATTCCAGAGCGTATCCCGCCTCTTCCAGGACCTATCCCACGGGCAGTGGGCTCCTTGGAAGGGGAGCGGAAGTAACGGGACGACCCACGGAATTTTTTTTCTCCCCTCTCGTCGGCCGACTTGTCGCCTCGAACAATGGTCGGCCTGTCTTCCGCGCGAGGTGGCAAGATGCGCGCTTTCCACCGTTTCCCTAAACAATGGTCCGCTCTCCTTCGCGGATTATCCCCGTTTCAGCTGCTCCGCGAGTAGCTTTCAAGTCGGACCGAATTTCGCCCCTTGAGCAGCCTCGGGGGATATTAACTTTCGCCCCTCTGTGCGTTGAAATCGCGCGACTCGGCGCTCCCGAGGTGCATCGAAACCACGCGACCTTCGACGTCGCGGCCGATGCCCTGACCTTGCCCCTTCCTCGAGCGCACCTTAGCATTTTTTTCCCCGGGGCGTCGAGTCCCCTTTATCGATACGAAACGAGGTACCAGGGTTCCGCCGTATTAATAGAGCCCAACAACGTGCACATTAATCCTTCGGGGGCGAAAGTGGTAAAATACCGCGTGTACCGTTTGGTCGACTATCGCTTGCCCGTGCGCGGGAATCTCGCCCATACGTCAGAGGGCCTTACCATACGGGGAGGAGTCGAGAGATTAATAATGGATACCTGATTAACGTGAAGGACGAGGTACCGAGGGATGGGGCTATATTAATAGAGCGCCTTTATTATAACAATGGTTATACATCTAGAGGAGAAAAAAAAATTTTCTCGGAAAATATCGTATACGGTGTAGGAAATGATGCGATCCCTCTTCGGGTCCATGTCCGTCTCCCACGGCGTCCGGTGGAGGAATGGCGCCGGGGGCTCGAAAGGGGGTCCACAAAGGGGATTCGCGCGCAGCACAAAGAGGCCCGTCGCGTCAGGCCGCGTTCAAGCTCTACCAAGGGTCCTCCCCTCTTCCTTGCAACACCGTTCGTGGAAATGGAATTCCACCTCAGTGGGGAGGCCTCGGATTATTTTTACGCCCACGATTTAAACGGAGCCCGGATCGGGGACAAATCGCGGCCCGGTTAAATAAATCTCCCCCCAAATGAGGCGCGAGTGGGGAATCATTTTAAATGGTAAGCCCCGAGCGGGCGATAAATCGAAATACAGAAATATACGCGCGGCCGGTCGGTCGAGTATCGCTTTGTCCGTTCTTTCTCCGCGGCCGCGAGGCCGGTAATAGACGGAGGTGTCGTTAACCCAGGATCGCATACCGAGGCGCAACGCCCGGCGTTCACCGGCGTCGCGGAAAAAGCAGCCGAGCCAAGTGCGGGGTTTTTTTTTTTTTTTCTCTTGCGCGGGCGAAAAGTACACTCGGGCCAGGAAGGTGGAACGACCGGTAGAGTGGCGCGCCAAAACCACGTGGTCGGTGAGTCCCGCCCCCTCGGCGCTCGAGGTCTTAACCCTTTACCTCGTGTCGCTTCGACTTTTTAAACCGAACTTCGAGCCCTTCTCTTGTAACGAAGAAACCCAAGAATAAATTCCACATTCATTTATAGATGTAACAGTTAATACGTATAAGAGGAGGGGTGATTTTTGCAAATTCCACGTCAGGTGAATTTCCCTTTCGTGTTATAAGCCCTCTTCCGGGGATTTGAAGGCGAGATAAAATGGAGGTTTGGCGCGAGCGCGAAGTCGAAACTCGAGAGCGCCGAGACGCCGAATTCGGGATTAATCACCAAGGACACGTGGGGAGGAGCGGCCTTCGCCAGGTGGAATTCCGCGAGGGTCGCCGAGTGAACGCGGCCTGGGCTCGAAGAGGGGCGAGGAGAGGTGCACTCACACGTTCACTCGTGCCGACGGCGAGGGTACATCTCGGCTCCATATCAATATTCGCCGCTCGGTGTCGGTGGATCGCTATCCCGGGTCACCCGATGCCTCTCGGTCACGGAAAGGTCTCGCGGCACTGGAGATTCGCGAGGGAAGCGACACGGGAGGACCGCACTGGACCGCCCTCGGGTCTTCTCATCGCCCCGTCCCAGGGCCGGGGACGTAACAGGAGGTAGCGACCGCGCGCCGCCTGTCTCTCTCGCACTGACTCCGCCGCGGCATGCTGCGTCCTTCTCCTGGCCGGCCGCCCTTCGCTCCTTCGCTCGCGCCCGGAAACCGGCTCGAGCCCGACTCGCGGGCAGCTCGACGAGTTCGCGGCGATTAATCGAGATCCTCCCTGACGGGGGCGCGCGAGGGGACGCCGAGATCCCCGGAGGTGGTAGCGAGTCTGGAGAGACCGCGAAAGAACGACACTAACATCTCACCGTGTCTCATGCGGCCGCGCACCGAGCACCGACTGATGACCGCCGCGCCGGGCGGCTCGACCAAGGGTCGCCGCGCGGCGGTGGCGTCATCTAGCGCGGTACCCTGGAAACCGATAGCCAATGGAACTACCGGCTGCCTAGTTGGAAATTTTAAGGTCGAGTTTGACCAGCAGTTAGTCTCGGTTCGGCAGGGTATTATCATCGTGGAACAATTTCACATCGCAACTGGTAGATGGCCGAGGTTCGCTATAGCTATGAAATGGGAATGATAATGTCGACCGCTCTGACTGGCTCTGATAACGGGACACGCGAGCAGACTGCAGACTGCTGCAGGCACGACTTGCGGTGACAGTTGGTTTTCTGCTTCGTTTTTTCGGATTTCATCTGATTGCACTGGAGAGAAAAGAAAATTTATTCGACTTGGTGACTAAATTTCCGCGACAATGAGCGTGGTCACTTGTAAGGCGCCTGTAAATATGGCAGTTATTAAATATTGTAAGTATTCTTAATTGTCAACGTTTTCACTTTTCACCTACATTCCATAGGAAGCAAACGGTACTCGGAATTTTACAGTTATTATTTAATTCTACACCCTTTTTAGGTATATATTCCCAGTGTTAGATTATTTTTTGACATCTATTTTTGTCACTATGCTGTGACGTTACTCCAATTTTAAATAAGGCATTGTCGAGGAGTTCTCATTGTAATGATAATGAAAGGTCTATAATTAGATGACTTTTCTATCTGTTGCAGGGGGGAAGCGGGATGAGAATTTAATACTGCCCATTAACGATTCGATTAGTGCTACTTTAGATACCGATCAAGTATGCAATTGATATGAGTAAATTTATCCTGCATTAAATTGGGTTAACGAGATGGATTAACGTTTTTACAGCTAAGTGCAAAGACCACAGTAATGGCGAGTCCAGACTTCAAGACCGATCGGATTTGGTTAAATGGAATGTACGTTGGAAATGGTAAATGGTATTAACGAATTATTACAGCAAATGTTCTTTTTCCAGAGAAGAATCGATAAGCAACAAAAGATTACAAAATTGCCTCCAACAAAGTAGGTTGAAAATAATGCGTTCTTTTAATTTAGAGGAATAGATGTTTAAAAAATTAATATTGATTTTAGTGAAACAGCGAGCACAACTGTCAAATGAAATCAGCAAGTGGAAACTTCATATATGTTCTGAGAACAATTTTCCAACTGCGGCTGGGTTGGCCTCCAGCGCAGCTGGTTATGCGTGCCTCGTTGCGGCACTTGCTAAACTCTACAAAGTCGAGGTGCTATACTTATGGTTTTACAGTTAGAATAATTTAAGAGAACCATTCTGCTAATTATGTTTTTCATAGGGTGATATCAGTACTGTTGCACGGATAGGTTCCGGATCTGCGTGTCGCAGCACTATGGGAGGATTCGTAAGGTGGTACATGGGTACGGATCCCACGGGTTACGATAGCGTGGCAAAGCAGATAGTACCTGCGTCTCATTGGCCAGAAATGAGAATTCTAATTCTTGTTGTATGCTTACGCTTGTTATTCATGCTCTACTTCGTTCAAATTTTTAGTCCTTCATCAAAGAAATTAAATACCTATTTATAGGTGAACGATAGTCGGAAAAAAGTTTCGAGTGCAGTGGGCATGCGTAGAACTCTTGAAACATCCGAATTTCTGAAGTACAGGGCCTCTCACATAGTGCCAAAACGAGTCAATGAAATGGAAAGGGCTATACATGAAAAGGAGTTTAGAACATTCGCCAAATTAACCATGCAAGATTCCAATCAATTCCACGCCGCGTGTCATGATGCTTATCCACCTGTTCACTACATAAACGATACTTCGCACAGTATTATTGAATTTATTCATTCATACAACACTGCTCTGGGAACTGTCAAGGTACTTTGTCTACCGATTAAAAAAATTCAAGTGATATCCAAATTAAATTACATTCACAGAGTTGGAATTAATTTCAGGTTGCTTACACATTCGATGCAGGCGCTAATGCTACCTTGTTCCTCCTTGAGGAAGATGTCTCCCCATTTATAGCGGTTTTGGATTACTTTTTTCCATTTTCCAAGAATATATCAATCGAATACAAAAGGGGTATTCCTATTCAAAGTATTCTTCCTTCCAAGGTACGTACAAATTGTTATCCTGCATTGATCGTTGGACTTAAATGTCAATGTTACTTTTACAGGAATTATTGGATAAAATAGATTTTGAGAAGCAGCCTCCCGGAAAGTTGAAATACATTATTCACACAAAAATAGGAAATGGTCCTAGGCAGTTCTGCGATCCAGAAGACCATCTTCTCAATGATCGAGGCTTTCCTCTACGAGTAACGGATTCAGGAAGCCGATGATACGTTCCCTTTGTTATATTTGTATCTATTTTTCTATTTTCCAATAAATTATTTAAATGTCAGCACACTATTACAGTTCGCGACCGCCCAGGCACGATGTGATACACGATACGACAATAAGAAACGTGTCCACAGCGCCTTTTAGTTCAAACTATTGCAGGGACTTTATTTTGGCGCTACTAGAACGTGAACTAAGGATTTCTGGTACCACAAACGTAACCTCTAAAGTAATCGTCAATTTCAATGTTTACAAATAACTGAATGAGTATGTCAACAATTTTTGATGGATGGTACAATATTACCACATTCCTACAGGCCGTGAGTGAGACAAAGGATGTGTCATATGAGGAGAGTTTTATAAATAACCTTATTAATTACCGGTTGTACTACAGTTTCCTTTGGTTGCAGAGTTTGTAATAAATTAAGGTGTTCTCAGGTGTATTCCAATACATACGTCAGAATGCAGATAGTTAAACAGTTTCCAAAGTTTGTCAATTTAACAGTCTGCGCTGTCAGTATCTGTTATATGGGCTATGTCGTAACCTTGTTTGTGAATTTCTTGTCATCATATAATCATGGTCAGAAAGCTTTAGCTCACTCCAGGAGTGAAGGTAATGGCAGGCAAGGTGGATATTAACTTCGGGTTATTGATTGGTTAACAAGGTGTATAATAAATAATTTTTTACAGAGGAAAGCCTTGTTCTTCCAACGGTAACAGCTCTACTGACCGACACATGTCTGCTAATCATTTTTATACTACAGCATTCTGTTATGGCTAGTAATTTGATAAAGCACTTGTACTGGAAGATCAATTTGTTTCATTTAGAACGAGGCTTATACAATGCAAGCAGTGCTGCTGTATTGCATGTATTAATGAACAATTGGGAATACTTACAATGGATTACGATTTGGAACGTCGACGTCGCCTACAGCAATAAGCTATGGTTATTTTTCACGGCCCTTCAGTTTGTCGGATGGTTTCTTGTATTCTGTGGATGTTTAGTAATGGACGTATCGGAGTTAGTGGGATTGAAACAAGTTATGTACAAATTATCCGCAAGACCATGCCCGATGTCTTTAAAATCAAGAGAAATGCAACGTTTCTACAGTCATATGCGTCACCCCAGTTTTACTGGGTTTTTAATTATACTGTGGCTTCATCCATTAATGACGTAAGAAACATTCCCATATCTTATGATTCGTAAGAATAATCTAATTGAATTCATTGTAACTTCTGTGCACGTATTTTGCAGAATCGACCGATTACTATTAGCTGGCATCTTCACGGTGTACATGCCTCTGATGTGGTTCATCGATGAGAAAGACTATCAGTACTATTCAATAGTTGCTCAAAAGAAACGACAAGAAGTATTTTAAGCTTATCTACCTTATCCACTACATGACAGAATTCATTTAGCTCTACATACTACGATGCTTTGTGCCTTACAAATGAGCTGCGAGAGTTAAACCCTAGGTTTAGAATTATTTATTACTATTTATGTAATTATCTTTTGGTACAAGAAAACGTTTCCCTAAAGTGTAAAGTTTATCCATCTTTGTGTACCTGACCGAACATCTTCGAGGGATTGTTGCAGTGAACCGTAGGCAGTTTGCATCGAAGGTGGAATTTAATTCGTGATTTGAATTAAAAGCGCCGTTCCTTTGAGGATCCAATAAGACTGTTTGCGGGCAGAAGGAAGTAAAATCGCGACCACGAAGTTCGTACTGTGTCCTGTAGTTGAGAGAACTCCAGCACGAATGCTGGTTTTATAAAGTGGACACACATATCTGGGATCATTTTCCGGTAAGCTCAATACCGGAATGACGTGCATCACCGGCAACGGTGGATACATTTCACCTGAAAAATAGTTATAAAATAACTAACAAAAAAATCACGAGCTATTTATAAGCGTTTACCCTTGTTCGCATCGACGATGATCATAAACTGTAGGTCCCACCTTCCGGAATCAATGTACAGCCCATGAATCAGGATCCCATCGGGAGGTGAACGAAGATCCTTGTACGCTTGCGGTACCTTAATCAAAAGACAAGATAAAAATTGATCAGAAACTACGAAATGAAAACTACCTCTTTCGACGCGTCTCGATGAGCTGCTTCAATTTCCTCCTGATCCAGGGTCACTTTTGTCACCGAAAAGTCTAGTTTAAGCATGTCTATCGGTGTGTTGTATTTTCTAGCATAAGTCTGTAACATCCCCGTGATGAATCCTTGCGGAAAGGATAATCCAGAAATCCAGAAGGAAATCGGCTTGGCATCGATCAGCCAGATCTGGAAGTGGGCAGATTATTAACCGGAAATAAAGTATCGAATTCTTCAGCCACTTCGATCATCGCCTACCCTGATGAAGTCAATCCTGAGCTCCAGATCTCTTATCCAGCTTCCCAGGGTTTTCAAGGAAGGATAGACGTTCACGTTGTGCCATATTTCGGGCACCTACGATAAGCAGAATTTCCGTGGGATTATTTTAATGCGATATTTCAGTTTTTTTTATACTTGATGGAACCTACTTGATTATTGACCAAGGCTCGGAAAACCTTCTCCAGGATGTCGGACATGACGACGAAACCCTTAATAGCTCGCTGGAGGTTTTCCATGCTCGCGTGTATGACTTTCAACAATTTGTTAAACCTATCAACCTCGTGTAAGAGGACGGTAGTCATCGATGGCAATCGGCCTGCACTGTCTCTCTTTAAAATCAATCATTAATCAAGGCATGCCGGTAGCTGATAAAATAAAATTTTCACAGAATAAATAATAGTCTTACTTTAAGATGGTCCTTGTGGCACTCGTCGGGGTCGATTTTAATTGCGATCCTCGCCACAATCGTGTCCGCAAGTTCATAAGCGATTTCCGACGCGGATTTGCCTCCTGCCCCAGCTCCGATTTTCGGCTGAATTTCCATGATGACGTTGATGACGTCTCTGGTCTCTTTGAGCTAAGAATGAAAAAGTCGATGGTTTCAATTATTGAGAAAAGAATTCCTTCGAGAAACATACCTGATAAATAATATTAGCGTTCTCGTGCATGCCGAAGATTTCAGGATCCTCCATGATGGGAAAGCCATCCACGAAGTCTCGGTACTCTTGAAGAGTCTTGTAAGACGGGCAATAGTACGTGCCCGACGGCGAGTACGCGTACTCTGGAATAACGAGCACTTGTAGGACAATCCCAATTGACAAACCAGAGACTCAAGACCTTTTTCCAATGTCCTGGGTGAGAAGAAACCGTCGAGGATGGTCTTCAAGCAACGCAGGTCCCAACTGTCGGTGATCCTGCCGCCGTACGTGATTTCGCCTGGAGAACGAGAAAATTAGATCCCTGACCCGAAGAGATCGAAGATCTAAGTCTAATTAATGATTAAAGATAGCGAACCAGTGGTGTATATCAATGCCGCCCAGGGGATCGAGTCAGTTTCGCAGAAGATCTTCAGGTTCAAGAGGCAGCACTCCCGGTCGCTGTCGTTGAACTCGTAGAGGATGTTCCACCCTAGGGGACCAAATTTCTTCCTCTCCTGTATAATGGCGTGGAAGAAGCAGACCCCGAAGACGATGCGCCTCCAAGTGTCCTCCAAAACTGCGGATTAAAATCGCGGCACGGTAAAAATCAGTCCGCGCAGAAATTCCGCAGATTTACCATTAATCTCGAAGAAATCCTCTTCCAGGTCGAAAAGTGCCCTCTTGACGTTCGCCTTTAGACCTTTTGGGGGCTCGTTGGTGACTTTGACGGAGTTCTGGAGAACGGACACGGGAAAGGATGCACTTGGCATGGAGCTGAGGAAGAGCCTGAAGTCGAAGTGCACCAAGTCCGGCCTTTCCGAGATGTCCATGACCATCTCCTCCATGGACAGCATCCAAGAGGTCGCCAGGTGGCAATTTTGAAGGAATACCCATCCTCCGTCTGCCGTCCCTCTTCTGACGAGAGTTTCCGCAATCGGGCCTTGTCCTTGTCCCAGAGATATCGACACAAACTTGTCCGTGAAGCCCATCTCGGTCGCGAATTTTTGCAAGGCCGAGAAAGGATCCGATCCTGTGCTCAGGACGAAGATCAGAGGCGTGGTCTTCGACGTGTCATTGAATCTGGAAATTAAGAAAAAATATAAATTCTACCGAGGAGACGAAGATCCAGTAGACGTACAAATTCTGTAAAGAAATCAGCGCCGACTCGACGAATCGCTGGCCCATGTTCTTCTTCACGTAAGCTGTTATCGCAAAAGTCAGCTTCTCCTCCTTTAACGCCTTAATTAATATTAATTTCTCCATGTCGTCCAGGATCGAGTCCCACTCAAGGGATGATTTCTGGTTGTTGGTGGGCACGACGTTGATCTCCTGTAAATAAATTGAATTTAATTAATTCTCCTTTACAGATAGAATGCAGAAACATATGAGACAGCGTTTCTACCACCTCTTCGAAATGTTCGATGGACACGTGGATCCTCTTGAAGACATCCTCCAGTATCGGGTAGAAATGTTCAAAAGTAGTGGACAGATAGTTTACGGAGTCCCACATGGAGTCGCTGAGAGTTGGGACGTCGGGCTTTTTGCTCTGGTTTGAAAGTACCAAATGCAGGAATCTGCTCACATGAATTTCCGTTCAAGGGCGTACCTTTTTCATCTGAGTTGGACCACGCAGAAGGAAATTCCACTGCTGGTAATTAATCAACTTGGAGTTCAGGTAAATCGCAATGTTCATCATGAAGCTGAACACCAGTTTGTGCCTCTCGAACAGACCGCGAGAGACGTTGATGTAAACGGCAAGAGTGATCTCGTCGCACAGAATCCGAAGTCGCTTCTGCAGGTCCAGGGTCTTCTCCGCCGTCTCGATGACCGAGTTGACGACCTGAAGAAGGAGAAGAATTCAAGAAGACGGGAATATGAATTCGACGGAAGGTAAAACTGCTCACTCGAGAGAAGTACTTCAAGGAGAACTGATACATGGGGTCGATCTCCGTCAAATTGGCGACCACGAAGTACAATACGGACCCTCTCGTGGCGACATTGCGATATTTTTCCCTGGCCACGGAAATCTTCTCCTCAGTGGCCTCGGTTTCCACCAGCCGAGTGCCAATAATCGCGGAGGTCTCCTTGCTGTCGTTCAGGGTCTCGATCAGCTCCTCGTTATCGAGAATATTGTCCCCAGAGCGAAAGAGCAGGGTCAGGATCTTGTCCTCGATGCTGAGGAGCTGGGCCTTATCGGCATTGATTTTAGCGATCAACTCGTTCCTCATTTTCTCCAGGTCTGGTCTCTCGAGGCGCACGACGTCCCTGAAGAAGGAAAATATTCTTTGAAATTAATAAGCCCGAGGAAGTTGAACAATCTAAGAGCAGACGCCGAAGAATAGCCTCTCACGCCAGTAGCTGATCCTCCAATCCAGAGAAGGTCACCGTAAAATTAACTATCGTCACCTTAATGCAGACCTCGGGTAGGTAATGAGGATTCGCCATTTTGGTCGTGATGTAGAGCCTAAATGCTCGGTCGTACTCCACGTCGTTCTCGCCGAGTCTGATTAAAAGCCGTCCCCCCTAAAAGGACGTGGGTAAGTAATAATTCCAAAAACGGGGCGAAAGGAAAAACGGACGGTTAATTAGCACCTGTGTAAAAGTCTGTTTTAACAGGACAGGTTCCAAGCTGGGATCGAGAGTCTCCCCGACGTCTTCCAGCAGCATCGGGGCGCCGATCCTTATACAAGCTTCCATGATTCGCATAAAATTCAAGTCGGTCATCCTGCAGGTCCGCAAATTGTTACTCTGCTCCATGTTCTTGATCCACCTATTAGCCTGGGGAGCATAAATAAATTCTAAAAATTCTGAAAGAATTTTTAGAAACACTCCCTCGCACCTGTTCCTGAGGATCGATCATGAGGGGCCACCTCCCAGCTCGAGTGACCATTATGGCGTTTTTCGTGCTGACCTGGTCCCTGGGCAAGCCGAAGCTGTTCCAGGACCGAATTTCGTAGGGATCCACCAAGGCCGAGATGAAGCTGAAATTCGTGGAGGTCGACACGTCGAGATCCTCGCACTTCTTTAGCCACGATGACATCAACTCTTCCCTGTACTCGTCGGTGAATGCCCCCAGGTAGGCCAGAGCTCCTGCGGCTACCAACACGTCCCCAGGTACGTTTGCGATCTGCTGATCGAATCCCAGCATCATTTCTTCCCAGCGATCCTGCTCGTCGGCCAACGCAGTCGTCAGTCTGCCGGATCTGTTCAACCTTGCCTCGCTCAACGCCATGTTGAACTCCAAATCCGCGAGATTTTGGACCGCCCGATTGTACTGAGCTTGCAGATCGTTTATCTTCTTCTCCACAGCGGCCAGCTGCGACTGCTTCTCTCGCAGGACTCCTTCAATGGCTTGCAGCTCCTTTTCCGCACCTGCCAATCTACGTCAGAGATGATAATTTAAATATCGTTGATTATATCGCAGGAAGAAGGAAGTCCTTCAGGAAGCTCTTCAGGAAGTAGACGTACTTCTGCCTCTTCGGCTCGACGACCCTGAAGGTCTTCGCGTAGCCATCGATAGCTCGCACCCAGATGCAGATCGACTTGCAGACCTTACTCTGCTTCGCCACGAGCTCGGGCAGAAATTCTGGATTGGTCACGTAGGTCTGCAATTTCTTCAGGAGCTTGTCGCTGATGTCCTCCTTCGGGTAGGCCATCAACAGGTCGAGAAAGTGCACGTCGGAGAGCATCAGCTTTGCAGTAGGCCAGTCGGTTCTCCGGAAGCGAATAAATCATGCTAATCGCGAGTCTTACAGGTCGATTGATAAGGAGGACGACTTACTTCTCCCCGAAGAGCAGGCACACCGCCTCCATGACGAATCGCACCAGAGGAGGAGGCTTGTTGAAGACCTTTATCTCGTTGATGTCGTTCTTATTCAACGCGGCGAGAGCGTTCTGCGCCTCTTCGAGAGCTGGGATGGCAGCCTCCAGGTCCTTCCTGGCATCGGCCTCGAGAGCCGCGGTCTCTTCAGCTTTGACCTAGAAGATAGAAATTAAAAATCAACGTGGAATAATATCAGCCGAAGAAGTGGCGATTAAACGTCACGTTTTTGATGTCCACCTTGGCAACGGCCTCGTCAGCAGCTACTACGGATCTGACTTTGTCGCACTCCACCTGCTGCCTCGCGATGACTTTCATCAGCTTGGCAACCTCTTCGGAACTCGTCTTCAGCTTTGGAGCCAGGATGATGAGCTGCTCCTTCATGACCCCCACCGTCTGGTTCGTCTCGTACAATTTCTACGTAATGAAAACTCGATGTATGGTCATGTAACGAATTATTGATCAGCTAGTTGCCTTACGTTCAGGCCATTGGCGATTTTATTCTTCGTTAACAGGATCTGTTCCATCTTTTTAGAGGTCGTCGCCATGTACAGCTTCAACAACTCCAGGTAACTACTCGGAGTGGTGTAATACCGTCTGCGGACTTCCTCGAAGAATCGAATCGTCATCGCTTCTACGCTCTGTGAAGAGCCTTTTATTATTAATATTCCGTAATATTATTGACACATATTTTTTCTCAACGATACCCACCTCGTGCATGGAGACGCAGATGGTGGAGAGGGCTGTCACCTTCTCGGGGTGTTCTCCAAAAGTCGAGGAGAGTGTGTTCTCGGCTACCGAAAGGAGAGCCTCGTTTGGCCATTTACTAAACCAGTCTATGGTGCAGCAATTAACTAAAGATGGGAACATTCGACACCGTCGTCTACGGAGTAAAACGGAATACGTCACGTCGAACGGATGGCGAGCAAGGAATTAATGAATAATTAACGACTAACCTGAACGCGTCGCCGACAGGACTCATGCACAGCATCAGGTGAAGGGTGTTTCTCACTCTGTCGATAAAATACTGATAAATGGCATCGCGATTGTCCTCGGTAATTCCAATTGCTTTGGCAGCTGGCCTGGTTGCGATAATGGCCTTTTCCAGTTCATCCGCTTCGAACAGATTGGGCACCTCGCCTGGAGAAATAATTTTCCTTATTATCGGCGGCTTTTTTAAAGTCACGTACTAAGGTACCAGAATTTAGGGTATTATTGATATCTTCAAGGAACTCCTCGAGTACAACTTGACTGTCGGTGAAAAGGAAGGTCGCGTGCTCCGCAAATGCCCCGGACTTGAAGTAAAATCGCCTGAGGTCTTCGTGCCAGGAATTTTTACCATACCCACGACTGACTTCGATTTGATAACAACTGAGGGAAATAATTGCACCGTAGTTAAGGTTCGACTACCTTGAAACGTGTCTACAAACCGGTAGCCGTTCATGTGGGATGCTAATTTGGTCAGACTCTGTTTCCCCATCCCGCCAACTCCGACCAGAAGACCATTTCCCCTTTCGGATCGCAAAATCCTGGCTAGCCTGCATAGGTGCTCTACCGCGTCCATGAAAAAAATCAAGGAGATGTCCTTCGACGTCTCCATGCAATAATCGTCCAGATAGTCCTGGAAATACGCGACAATGAGTAAATATAAATGATAGGGCGAGATTGATCTGGGCAAAAATCGCACCTGAAGAACCGTCTTCATCTTCTGGACGTCCAGGATCTCCTCGTACATCCTTTGGTCCTTGGAGGCACCGAACGCCATGAAGTCTCCGAAAAGCAGGATCGGAGGGTGCTCGATAATCTCCTCGTCGGGAACAGGTATTACCTGGTCTCCGAAAATCCTGGAGCAGGTGCTCGTCAGGAGGCGGTAGAAGTAACTCTTGTCCTTTGGATTTGTCAGTCGATCGTGGAAAACTCGCAGACACTCGTGGTAGAACAGTCTGAAAATCCGGAGGTTCAGAGAAAATTAGTACGAAGAAGCGTGGTGAACAATTTCGGGATTTGTTCACCTCAGCATCTGTTTAGGCTCCCTCACAATAGAAGGGTCCGCTTGCATGGTACCTTGAATGCACTTGGATAGATCGCGTAGATTGAAAACGTAATGACTTTTGTCTGGAGTTGGCAGAAGATCGAGAGCTATCCTGTCGTAAATTTCTACGGTGGCCATGACGAGTCGATCGCCGATGTCCATGACTGGCTGAGTAAACTCCTGGAGGAACCCTCTTAATATAGACCTGTATTCGGGAAGAATTGTTAATGCCAATTAATTACAGGAATTATTTATTTTCAGGTAGGGAGATATTCACCGGAATATCGCCTTGAGGGATTCTTCGGAAGGTGCAGGGATGAAGAGCATGCCGAAGTGCCTGACGAATCGAGGAGTCAAGGGATTTCTTCCTCCCCCAGGAGGAGCGCAGGCTGTCGCAAGGACGACGTCCTCGATATCCTTCCAGAATAATTTATCGCGGTCGTACAATCCCCGGAAATCCAGGAACTGACTGAGATATTTAGCCAGATTATTGAACAGTCGAGAAATAATTATTAATTATCGATATTTACCGCAGTAACTCGATGGGTGGCTGAGACCCGTAAGTGTCCAACTTCGGCATGTTGACGTCGTCCACGAAGACGCAGACTCGTTTGCCAAAAGGCGCACCCAGAAGGGTCTTCTTCTTTTTCTCCAGCTTCAATTCGAGGATTTCCTGGGTCCGGATACTGCTGGTTTGCGCCGAGAAATTCAGGACGATCGACAGCCAGGATCCCGTCCTGTGCAGGCTGGTGAGGACCATTTTGGTGATCACCGACTTCCCCACTCCTGGAGGGTTTACAAATCCATGACCTTTTCCTTCTTAAAGCTGAGCTCAAAATTAAATCTCTAACCAGTTCCTCCGGTAACTAGGACAGGTTTTCCGACCTCCACGAGCTTCTGCATGATGTAGCCGAACCTCACCGTGTCTATGGTCGGCACCAGGAGCTCGAAGAAAGGCAGGTCCTTGTTGTACACGAATTTTGGCATCAGTTTGGTCCACAGCTCCATACGGCGATGCAGGACGTTCACGTACAGACTCCACAGGTCCCCAGAACCCGGAAGACTACCGCAGGAATGATTAAATCATGAAATCGAACATTGACGAGCGAATAACTTCGACGTACCGTGCGTCCGGGTTGTCCTCGAACTGTTCCCTGACGAAGAGCTCGATGGCCTCTCTCGAAGAGTCGATGGCGTTTCCGCCGACTGCCCAGAGGTAAGAGAATATAAAAGACTGGATAACGAACGTCTTCACTCGTGATTTTTCCGCGCTTTTGTCAATAGATCCCGGCTCCGTCAGGATGCTCTCCAGAATGGCGCAGATCATGCTCGCCTTGCTCACGTCCACCTAGGAAAAAAAAAAAATTCGGCATTCGAGTTAGCTCATCAGGAAGGATCCGAGATTTTTCTCCAAGAGATTACCTGGGCGATAGCTTGGTCGCAGTTCTTCCTGAAGAAGTTCAAGCCATCCTCTACATAGGTTTCGAACAACTCCAGGATCATCTCGCGAAGCGCCTCGTTGAGGACGTTGTCGGGCAGTCTCTTCAACCAGGTCTTGACATGAGGAAGCCACTTCAGCTCCGATGGATCCACGTAAACCATGCCTTAAAAAATTCTGGGATAACGATCCTACTCAATTGATCTAGATGAACATGAAAATTAAATTTCTAACTAACCACAACGACTGACAGTGGCGGGCGACGCTTGTGACAGGTCCATTACTTCGAAGACCATGTGGACGTAAGGCGTGAATTTTATCCGCTCTGAATTTGCCAGACACAACATTTTGTTGTCATCCAACACGGTGTTCATATTCTCGATCCACACAGCGTCCACTGGTCCATCGCAAACGACCCATTGGTGATCTTCGGTGGTGAACTGAAATTAATATGCGAGTTAGTCCTTCGAAAAGACTATTGTTCATAGTTGGCGCATCCTTACCGAGCAAGCGTGCCGAATTATGAGTCCCAGCAAACCGTCTCGCCATTCACTGGACAGAGAATCGACTTCTCCATACAATTCGCCGATTGTCACGGCTTTGGGGTTGACAACGTACATATGGACAGTTTGATAGTACTGCCCAGGGACTCCCATTTCATGGAGGCGTGTGTAGGTGTCCCGTAAAGTCTGGAAATAATTCGAGAATTATTTTTGTACCGGAGTTTGATTAAAAAAAAAAAAAAAGAAAAAAAAATGGTACAAGGATGGATACTCTTAAGATAGTTGATTTTCCTGAGCCGCTGGGTCCGACCAGCATCACACCATGACGAACCACCATGGTCTCGTGCAGCTGGATGACCTTGTTCAATGAGCAGGCCTCAGGTTGTAGAATCGCCTCCTCCATGATCTACCTCGATAGAAATAAAATGATTAAGCAATAAAAAATCTTTTGCGGTAGAATTTCAGAGCTTCACCGTGATGGCGGTGTCCTTGAGGACCCCATAGTCCTCGTCAGGAATGACAACCCCCGGGAAGAGGTCGCCCAGAATCCCATAGAAGAGGTCGGCGTCGTCGGCAAGGAATTTCGGAAGATTGCTGTCCCTCAAGGCGCGAATCAGGACTACGTCTTCCTTCTTGTCCGGATTGTCACGTTTCAAACTCCCAGCCATCACCAGGACGCTCTTCACCGCTCTTTAAATACCGGAAAAATTGAAAAGTGCCGTAAGATATCGTTAAGCTTATCATCACCTCATCCCAAAGTCGTAGTGATCTTGCTGGGACAACTGCTCGCTGCATAACGTGTACATCAAGGTCATCTTCTTCGACAGCGGCTTCGAGGACTCGAATCCTTCGGAGTACAGAGTGACTTCGGCAATGAGCTCTAAAGGAGTGGACGAATGGTAGGACCCTTGGTTGGAAAATTGACAAACGATCGATAAGCGTACTGTAATCAGGGACCATCATGGAAATGGGACGAAAGAGGGACTTCAGGTTGTCAGGCAATTCCGTACGACCTGCGTATCCAGGATTCATGGTAATGAAAGCGGCGCAGGACATCACCAACTTGATTTTGCGGCCCTCGAACATAAATCTATATATAATGAATTTAATGGGGCATTAGTTTGTTAATTAAGGAGTGAACTCACTCTTTTAGCCTGGCAACTTTGGCATTCCTGATGGTGATCAATTGCTGAGCAATGACGGATAGCACTTCGATGTCGATTCGGTTGAACTCGTCGAAGCAGCACCAGGCTCCCGAAGTGGCCAAGCCGGAGAAGAATCTGCCCATCATCTGGTAGTAAAGAAATCTGTTACCTTTGGGTACCCTACGATGTGGATGTTGGAAGGCTACCTTGAAATCGAGGCCTTCGGAGCAATTGAATACCACACACTGAATAGCCAAGGCTTTGGCAAGGTCCTTGGTGGTCTCCGTCTTCCCGGTTCCTGCAGGACCCGCTGGAGCACCTCCTGAGATTGGAATAAATTTATATAAGTATATTCTTTCTCCTTGATTTTATACTATAAGTGGTCATTACCTAGATCTAATTGTAGGGCACCCATCAGGCAGAGATAACACTTGTCGGTCAGTGGAGTAATGACGAGTCTCTTCTGGGCACCCAGGTATTCGTATCCGTACAGGTATTCGGCATTACTCATTCTTGCCAGACAATTGTCTATCTCGTCATCCCAGTAGTATCTCAGATTCTTGGTCCAGTCGAAGTCCGTGCTAAGTGGAAATATATAAAATATAGAAGAAGCGAGGCGAAAATAGAATCCTCACCTCGACCTGGTCTTGTTCTCCACGAGGACGGAGATGATATCCCTGGCGTGCACGTCAACGGTAATTAAATTGATAATTACGTCTCGCACCAATTTAGGCAGCTCACCTCTGACCATTGCAGCCAGCGTGTTGAGGTCCTAGAGGATCGGAGCTTTAGGGAGAAATTGATCGTATACAGAAATATAGCGATTAATAAGCAACGTACGGAGTAGCACTTCTGCTCGAAAGCCTTCATCGAGTCGTCGACGTTGTCTTTGGACTCCAGAATCAGGTGGACATCTCGGGCCCAGAATATCTGAGACACTGTCAGCACTATCTGCAAAGGTAAAAAAGGTAAGAACATTGTTCTCCCTATTTATTGAAGCGCATTCGACTTTGGACCGACCTGAGACGGATGGTCAGGGAGGAAGAGCTCTCTTCCTCTCTCTTCAAGGTCCACTATGGCAGCCTTCATTCTTTTCCGAAGAGACATGAACATCGACTCTTCGACCTTCCCCAGCCAATCCTCGACGTTTCCTCTGGCCTTGAGACCTTTTCCCAGAGGAACCCTTTCTCCCTCGGGAGAAATCATGGCGACGATGTCGGTGGTCAAAACTGCTTCCGCACCACTCTCGTCGGCTCCGGCTGTGGCGAACTCCAGGCGAAAAATCGCATCGAAGCACTTCTGAAGATGCCTTTGAACCGCGTGGGGGTTTCTCGTCTAGGCATTTTCAAGGGTACCATCTGGAGTGATTTTTCCGCCCCTGGAAAATTTCTTCACCCCCTGTACCTGAGCGAGGATCTCCAGGAGCTCGTCATTCGACAGGAAGAAGAATCTAGGGAAAGCTACGCGTTTCGTCTCGAGGTAGGCCTCGAGACACTTCAAGATCTGATCGAGATGTCGATTGTTCACCACGAACTTCTCCAACAGTCCATCCCGAGTGCAACTGTCCATGGCCAGGGGCATCTGGAGTTGAAATTAACTTACAGGCATTATTTTCCTTAACTCGTGATTCTTTACCTTGGCAGTCCTCCTCATAACGTCCTTCCAGAACTTGTCAACCGTGGTGAACAGTTTTGCCTCGATTGGGAGCTGTCGCTGGATGTCAGGGGCGGAAAATATCGCTTCAAGGTACATCCACTGTTGCTGGCAATACTGCCAGGCTTCCTGATAATTTTAATAATTATTCAATCTATTTTAAGAGGAGACGGGGAAAGGAACACGTACCAGCGTCTTGACGAAGAGGTCCAGCTGCTTCGTCCAGTCCTCGACCCTCGCCTTGATGGGAGCCACGTATCGAGATGCGATTATCGTCTGAATATTGATGTTGCTTTCATCGAGTGCGGTCTGGACCTCCTCTAGGGACCCCAAGATGAAGACATCCTTGGCCTCCTTGTAAGGTAGGACGGTAAATTCCAAGCTCTTCCAGGTGCCCTCCACCTTCTTCAGCATCGTCTCCAGGCCGGCTTCCGAGCTGGCAGCCGAAGAGATCTCCATGAGTTCGTTTGGAAATCTGAAGGCCCCGAGTTTCTCCAGCAAATCCAAAGTGATCTCTTCGTCAGCTTTGAACTTGTAATCCAGCAAGGTCTCGATCTTCCCCCAATGGCGCGTCTTCAGGTTCGGATTCCTCAAGTAGCCAATAATAGGCAACTTGTCTTTTATCAACTCCACGTTTTCCTTCAATTCAGGGAGGATATTGTTCGCCGGCAGACCCTTCTCCAGCTGAGTTATGTTCTTCATGTTGCGCATAGTGAATGCCGTTACATCTTCAACGTTCAAAGTGCCGAAATCCGCGGCTTGCCATTGTTTAACCGCGTTCTCCCAATTGACGACACTCTCCCAGAGGAGATTCCGCATCTTCACCTCGCTCGTCACTTGGTCCAGGATCTCGAATTTGGTCACCTCGACCTGAAGAGAGACTTATGCAGGCGGCATAAAATTTAATTAATCATTACCTTTACCTTGAAGCTCTTCTGATGAGCTCTGTACTCGTTGGCCGCGTTAACGCAATCTCCTAATCTTTCGATTAGATTGTTAAGAGTGCTCAGGCAAACCTCGGCATCGCTTTCGGCATCCAGAAGCCAAGGTTGCTGTTGGGCCATTGACGATTTAATTATAAATATAAATTAAGTACACACCTTATTACAGGATTTTTCAGTAACACTCACGACGGCCTCGTCATTGATCATCGATATCCTATCAACGAGGGCGTTTATGTCTTTCTGTATCTGGACGTTGAACTTGTAGACCAACTTTGGTCTCTCCTCCATGCGTTTGTCAACGGCTAGACGTAGGCTGGTAAATTGCACGCTTATTCCCTAATTAATAATTAATACATAAGCAAGATGTATCGGTTAGATGGAGGAGGGCTGATTTTACCAGATAATTGGCAATGTCCTCGGCCGGCACGGGGATTTTGTACTCCTCCATGATGTCGTACAACTCTTTCACGTACTCCAGCTGGGCCTCCATGTTGTCGACATTTTCTTGAGCCTTGTCCACGAATTTGATGTAAGAGACGAAATCCTCCGTCGAGATGGGATCGGATTGCAGATAATTAATGGCATCGATGGCCTCCATCAGAAGAGCGTCCACTCTGGCCTTTCCGATCCTGCCGAAAGGACACGCTCGATCAGCTGATTATCTCGTGAAATATATCAATGTGCAATTATTTAATTAAACGTATAATTTTTCAGCCCACCCTGGCATCACGACTCTGAGGACCTGCTGTTTGTTGTTCGGCGCAGGAGAAGCGTGATTTTTAAACCTTTCCAGTTGTAGGTCGAAAATACCAAGGTGCTGATAATCCACGACTTTCGTTATCTCCTCTTCTTCCCGTTGGTATCTGGCACACCAGGATCGAAGGACGTCGCATTGCCGATTCTCCCGGATAATATTCTCGTCGAGCTGCATGTCCTCGAGGAAGAATATCTCGATGTCCGAGAAGCGCTGACAGTACCTCTTAACCGCGGAAAAATTCGCCTGGAGGACCCTCGTTAATTGTTGCTTAAAATCCACCATCATGGGGTCCTCCTTCAGGACGATTAAAATCTGGGGAGGGTTGCCACCGATGCGGCCCTCTACTTTATGGTTGATCATTGGCCTGCAAGACTTCTGATATATTTCTTAGCCCACAATTAGCATTATTAATTTATTTTATGACGTACCTAGTGAACGGGTGGAAAAATGGGTCGTCGAGTAAAGGTCTGATAGCGTCCAGATTTTCCTCCCACATGGACTGCAAGGTTGAGATTACGTATTTTATTATTTCTTCGCTTGGATCCATCGCGATTTTCGTCCTTACGGAGATAATCAGGTCCACCACGAAGTAGGGGTACTGCAAACAGTTCGAATTAAGACTCTGTAATTTTTATAATTATTTTTCTTTCCTCTGCAATTACGTTTATAGGGCACTTCGAGTCGCGTCGAGGGACGAACGTGGAGTCGATCTCGGCCTCCTCGAAGAAGGAATCCGGTGGTAAAAAGACTGTATGCAACTCGAGAGCTCTCAAAAGCTCTCTGTAAGTGTTGTGCAGTAGGCAGTGCATCATGTTGGTCTGCATATAGTCGATCAAGTGGATGAAGCTTGAAAAGGAATTACTGCTTATCGACCTGGACGCCAGGTATCGTTATAAACCTCGTGGAAACAATTTACCAGGATAATCTGTAACATTTCTCTCGTTTCCGAGCCTGCTCGATGTAGCTCATCTTCAGGATGCCGTCTCTGGGCATCTTGAACCTGGTCCCGCCGAATTCCCCTGAGTAATTTACAAACTAAGGTATAGGGAGTAAGAAATCGGATAATAAATTGCTATCAGGAGATACCAACCAAGTTTCCCATAGGCAGTCTGCTCGATGGTGATGTTGGAGTCGTCAGGGGTGTATCCAGCCCGGAGCAAAGCTGCAAGACAGGCATTGTTGACAATGTCTTTGGCCAACACTCGAAATTCGTCCAGCTTGCTCCTGTTGAGTTCCAGTTTGGCCAGCTTGAATACAAAAAAAAAAAATATTAAAAAACCAGAAATTACCTCATTCAAAATTTAAGGAGACCATTAATCGAGAATACGCGTCCACCTGCATCTCCGCGAACAAGAAGAATGGCAATTTCTCGATGACTCCTGTGTCGACAAAGGACGAATCAAGGAATACGGCGCACATGGCCTTCACCTCTAACAAAGCCTTGCTTAAAATAGGATCCGAGATGAAGAGGTCTTGCTCCATACGAGTACGCGCACAGTTGAATTTCTTACGGGCTATTGTCTTCCTCCACACGTAAAAGGCCTTCCACTTGCGAAACATTATAAACGTTTGGATCTGAAGAGAATTAAAGGACCTGCTGGTGAGCTCTGGGCCTCGGTGATCAATCGATCTAAAGTGACCTTACTTTTATAAGCTTTAGGTAATACTTGTATTCTCTTTCCCACAGGTGAAGAGAGGTGAAGGTGATCTCTTCAGGGCTATACTGTGTCACGCCTCTGGTGCTGATCGTCATGTATGTCTTTTCCAGCTCTTCGTAAGGAATCACTCTGGAATGCAGGAAATAATTAAGACTCCTTGGCCGGTCGCAATTAAGGAATATCATCTACCCAGGACGTAACGCGTACTTCAAAGCGTACGGAGTAAAAAATTCGGACGACCGTTCCACCGCATATATCATGTAATAAAATCGGTCCTTCGAGTCGGCCCGCAATTTTTCAACCAACGCCAGCTGATCCGCCATTACCGGCGGTCGAGGCGCCTTCGTCCTGCCGAACTCCTCCTCGTCGCCAAGGACTCTGCCCTTGCGCTGCACTTGTACTGTCATTAAAAACCATAAACCACGAGTGCGGATCAGGCCATGAATCCAAACCAATTCTGGCTAAAATAAGAGAAGCGAGATTACTCTTTATAGGTCCTTGAGACGGAAAAGTCTCGTCCTCGGTAGCGAAGGTGACTTCCCTCGACCTGACCAAGGGTAGCGAAGGCTTGCAGACTTTCCTCCGAACTTCCTCCTGCCGAGCCGCGAATCCTGTCTGAAAAAGGACATTTCCCCCTTTTCAGCGAAATATCTCGAGTTGAATAAGAAAAAAATGGAACCTAACAATTTTTTATAAATATTCACCAGAGGCTCGTGGATCTCGCGCTTGTGCTCGATCATCTCCAGCAGCTTCTTGTGAGGTACATGAAAAGGTATTTCAGCCCCCGGCCTAAGTCGTGAAAAAAAATGGTAGAAAACGGCTCCAAAATAAATTCCCAGGAATTTTTCTTTTCAGTACACGACAACCAGAGGACTCACTCCGAGAAGGAAGCCGCAGGTTTGATACACCACCTGTCCATGAGGACGCTCTCCTTCGACTCCAGGGGGACGTTTAAAAAATTCCCCTCTTCATCTTCATCCTTATCATTGGCAGATTCGAGCACAGCTTCCTTATCGGCACCTCCTTTGAGACATTCAAAGGAAAACCCACTACTCGTCGTCGGCGACGTTCCCGTCGACTCTCCGCGTTCCATATTTCGGTACTCAGAGTACTCGGGTACGAAATACTAATTGTAATATATATATATATTTTTTAAACTATTCTTGAGTCTCAGGGAGGGTCAAGCTGTCATCTGCGCCACGTGCGAATGACAACTGACAGGAGGTTGTACTTACATATCGATTGCGCCTCGTGGTTCCTCGCATTGTCAACATACAATGGATACAAAGGCACGGCCCTATCGATTTAACAAACTCGACTACATTTCGGATTGATTATACATTATCCATCGGCATGTCAATTAAATCCGTTCGGTCTCTCCCAGAAAGCGAGGCTTCGAGTCGAGGAAAACCTGTTCCCCTCTCTCCATCTCCCTTCCATTCTTCCTCGAAGGCTTTCTCGATTGCGCAAGCAAGGAGCCCATTGCGAGTACTCCTCGATACGCGCACCAAGAGTGCGTGCCGGATTCTAATCCACCCAAGTGCGAAAAGAATTTCCTAATAAACCGCTCAGTGTCCCCCTGGTGATTTTCCCCATTTCCCTCCTTTTTCATCCGCCTTAGAAAGTGCGAATCCCATTGCGCGACGCAATTTCCGTGGGACGTTTCTCAATTATTCATCGAGCCGCAATTACCTACAAGTAAGTACGAAATAATTGGGGCGACGGATTAAATATAAATCTAGACATAAAAATAATTCAATTCGAGTGGCAGATACGATTCGAGGTCCAAAGTCGAATAGGGAGTACAAGCGAGTACCCTTGGCCCTCGTTGAACGCATTACGAGGGCCCTCGGTAAATGCATTAACCTCGGTACAATTGCGTGCAGGAGGTCAGCCAAGCCGCTTGCAGGTGCAAAACTCGGGAATAATCCGAATAATTGGAATAATTATCGCGAGCCGTGGTCGAGGAGAAGGGAAGGTGACTCAGCAACGAGGAATCGTGACGGGATTTCGAGTCGCCCGGTAATTCGTGGACGAGCGAGGAGCGCAGTCAATTGTCGGTCTTGTCATTCCCTGTCAAAGGGGTTGTTCCAACACGGAAAGTCCGAAAAGGAAGACCCGAAAGATCCTCTGGAGATGTGCTGCATAATGCGAGCATTCTGCACCCTGATCTTAGGTCCTTGCAGGCGGTGTGGCTGCACCTGTTGCACCTGTAACAAGAGTAGGGAGGAGGACGAGGACTCGATGGACTCGATCTACATGCCTCGCTATTGACTTAGAAACAGAGCGATTAAAGTAGAGAGGGAATTACCGTGGAAAGTTCTGCTTATTAGAATATCCCGGTGGCCTCCGACATCCGGGAAGTGACCCCGGGTGGTCTCAGAGTCCCATCGGCCGATGACGTTCCGGCTGGCTCTTAGCTCCACTTCTGTCAGGGCAAAAGCAAGGTCCTAGAGAATCCTCCATGGAGGGCAACCTCGTCGACGAGGAGACCGGGGAGATCCTGGCGAAGCTAGAAGGTCCTGGGAACAACGCCGAGACAGGGGAACCAGAGGCTCCCAGCATGACGGAGTTCGGTGCTCGTCGGCGGGTTCCTTTCCAGGTGACGTATAAATTCGTTATGGGGATCGTCTAGGATCCAATAACCCATCATCGTTGTTCTGGGTGGTGACGACTTTTCTTTCCAGATCCCCCGAGAGTTCAAGGATGGCTTGGCCGGGATGGAAGGCTCTTCGAGGACTCGGAGGCCCAGCGACGCCGACATGGAGCCGGTCCCAGTGGGCACGTCCTTCGGGCAGATCAACCCCGTCCTTCTCTTCCTCCCAGCCATCGTCTATTCCTGCTGGTTCCTCGTCCTCCTGACGATCTTCGAGGTCGTCTGCCACGTCTGGGCCCACCACAAGAACAAGATCCTAAAGGACGCCAACGTCTACTTCCGCTCGCCCTTCCACTCCATCTCCTCGGAGTTCTGCGCCCTCTGCCAGAGCGAGAACTGCATGAATCGGGTCGAGAAGTTGCAAGAAATCCGCATGCATAAATTCCTGAGACAGTGTTACTACATGAAGAGAGCCGTCACCTGAGCTAATCGCGTATAACAAGGTCTCCCCCGACTTCGTCTTCCGCGACGACGGAAGTCGAAGCTATAAGGGATAAAGGTTTAGGATCTCCCTCGGTAGTTTAAAATATCCTCGAGGAACGCAACCGCCTTCGTTAATGTCAGTCTTGTGAAGCATTTATATTATTTCCCTGGTAAACGCGATCCAGATCTTCTGGATACGCTGGTACATAGGTTGAGTCGGTTAAAAAAGAAAAAAGAAAAACGGAAATGTATGAGACCGCAAGGTCAGTTAAAATGAGACGATTTTACGGGACGCCCGACTTCATAGAAATAATCCATAATTCCGATATCGACGGCCTCGAAGAGAGGTTCTAGAGCATGGAGAGGATCTCCCGGTTCGCGATACGACGTAGCACGTTGAAATCCGTCGACAAATGAGCTCTCCAGAATCTGCAGCGACACCAGACGAGGGCCGGATAGTTGGGGCTCTGGATCCCGTAGAAGATCCTCGCCACGACCCTCCCGGTGAATTTGGTGTCCCTGTAGCTAGTGACCAGGTTGCGGATGTCGCTAACTACCTGCGACTCGTTCGGCAGCTCCTACGAGAAACGAGTACGTAAAACCACCCGTAAGGAACACGTAAAAGATTCAGAAATGTCCACCCTCCGGTACCTCCAATTTCCCGACTTCGGTAACCGCGGTCGAAGGGGCTTCCGTCTGGAAGTAATCCCGAATGCGATGCTTCAGTTTCTCGGACTTGTCGACGAGGTCTTCCTTGACTTCGAGGCAGTGCCGAATGGCAGGCAAGCTGAATTCGCTCAAGGTTGTGCAGATAGTCTTGAGCTGTGCGATTCGCGAGGCCTCCTGAGTCTGTGTCCGGGTGACCAACGCGTCCAGGGCCTCGTCCAGCTCGGCGTCGGTGTAATCCCCAGGTACCTTCAATCTCCACCCGAGAGTGTCGTAGCGCACCGAGATCGGCGAGCGTTTCGACTTGCCGTTCACTGTATGGAGATAATAAAAAGAAAAGGAATAAACTTAAACCCAGAGACAAAGATTATCTCGAGCGACTTGTTCCATCGGCCTACCGGTTATCCATTCCAGGTTCTTCAGGTGACTCTTCACGAAGCCGCTGTCCCATCCGATGGTGGAAGCCACCTCGACCACTGGAAATTCAATGACGGTGCTGGTATCGTGATCGATGCCCTTCTTCGAGGCCAGGGCAAAGGCCATGGCCAGAGGCGGTGACTGGAATTAAAAACGAATTTCGAGTTAAGCACTGATACCCAGCAAAAAAAAAAAATAAATCAGTCGACCACGTGCATGGTTATGGTCCTTACAGACTTGGCTGCGATCTTCAGAAACCCTGGCCCATTGTAGCTGGTCACTCTCGCGGTCACGTACGCGGATGACAGGACCTTGATGAACCTCTTAGGATGTAACTCCAGATAACAGAGGAGAGTCGAGATGATCTCCTCGGAGGTGTCCAGAGCGTTGACGGTCTCGTCTACGGGGATGGCCACTTCATGGCCAGGGCATCTCTGTCCGTTCTTGCACCTCCCAGCTTCCGTGCATCCACACTTCACGAAGATCTTCTGGATCAGCTGTCTGAGCACGTGTCTGTCCACTCCGTTCGCGTAGATATGTCGCCGTAGCTCCCACATGTCGCCTTCCTCCTGTACATCGATTTCAAGGTACGGATATAAAGCTTCGCGTGCAAGGAAGAGAATCTACCGATAAGTACATACCCTGGGATTGGAGAAGAGGTGACAGTGCGCAGGCAGACCATCCCTCCCGGCTCTTCCCACTTCCTGGATGTAGCTCTCGAAGCTGCTGGGCATGTTGTAGTGGATGACAGCCCTGATGTCCGCTTTATTCACACCCATGCCGAACGCCACCGTAGCTACGACTATTTTAATATTCCCAGCCATGAAGGCATTCTGTACCGCCTTCCTCTGGTACGCGGAGAGTCCGGCATGGTAAGCCTCCGCCACGTTAGAAATCCTTGAAGAGGTCTTCTTGCCTTGACTCGTACCTTGCAGGAAAGCCCGCAGAAGACCCGCGATCCTCACGCACTCTTCCCTCCGAGTGCAGTAAACGATTACGGAGTTGCATTCCTTGAACCTGTCGCTCTGCAGGAGAGTCACCAGGGCGCGGTCTCTGTTCTCGTCCGCAGAGATCGTGAGTAATAAATTCGAGGGTATCGGGACGTCGGAGATGATCCCGGCAAGGCCGTCGTGGATGTTCAGGTGATTCACGATGCTCTCGGCGGTGGTCCTGGTGGCGGTCGCGGTGAGACCCAGGATGGTACCGACGCGTAGCCTCTCCTTCAGGATGCGACAGATCATGAGATAGGAGGGCCTGAAGTTGTGGGACCATTGCGATATGCAGTGAGCCTCGTCTATGCAAGCGAACGCGATGGGTGGCAACTGTCTAAGGATCGCCCCGAACCCGGTGGATTTTTCGCCGGAGACTACGGCTTCCGGGGATACCAGAAGGACGTGCAGGGTGCCTTCTTTGACCATCTGTATGACCTTCTCTCGCTGCTTTGGGGTCTGGTTAGCGTGTAGACACGCCGCCGAGAGGAAACCGGGAACGCCGGTCACTTGGTCGTCCATCAAGGACACCAGCGGGGAGACGACGAGGGTCAGGCACTTGTTGTGCTTCGCGTAGAGATAGGCAGGAAGTTGATAACACAGCGACTTCCCTGAACCCGTCGACAGGGTGACCAAAGTGGACAGTCCGGACAGGATCCGCATGACCGCCGTCTCCTGGCCGGGTCGGAACGCCTCGTGGCCGAACATTCTCAGGGCGTTGAACACCTCTTCAGGGGTCTCTGCGAAGAGGAGACAAAGCTCGATGCGTTTAATTGATTTTTATCGAGTATACGAAGGGAATTTATAAATAAGATTCGCACCTATGATAGAATTGTCAGGACCAACGGGATAGAGTGGCCGAATTTCTTGGGTTAGCGGAGGCAACAGCTTGGCCACCAACTCCTGGGGCACCGTGTAACTTACCAAATGCTGAAACACATTTTTTTTTTAAGGTGAGGTAGGAAAATAAGAGCGAATTAATATGAGGTTGTAAGGTATATACCTTCTGAGGAACGTCTTTTCCTGAAGAGTCAGGGTTGTCACCTGCACCGTCCATGTCTGCCGTGGGAAGGGCGTTTCCTAGGAACTCTATCGGCTCTGGAAGTTGGGATCTCACGGCTATCTTCTCGGCATCTTCCAGCGTGAGACTCGCAAACAACTCGTCATCGTCGTCCTCGTTGACCTGGTCCAAAGGCAGGAGGTCGTCACCTTTCAAGCCCTTGCACTGCCTCGAGAAGTGACCGACCCCTCCGCACTTGAAGCACTCAAGAGTCCCGCACTTTTCGGCAAAATCGGCAAGATCCAAGCTGCCCTCTCCGGATCCCAGTTCCTTTTTCCGTTGCTTCCACTGATTCTGCTTGTACTTCTTGAAATTGAACGACTTCTTCCCTCGCACGTACACCTTTTTCTTTAAATTGATCCGCACAAAGTTCTCGTTCAACTTGCCCGCTGCCATCTTTTTCTCCAGCTTCTCTCTCTGCGTTGAACTGCCCTTGACTTTTTCTGTGGAAAGCTTCGTGGATCTAGAATCCTTCTTTGACACCATCAATGAAAAATCGGTAACGAGATCACCTGTACTTGAGGAAGGCATTGCGAATCTAGGCACTGCATCAGGAATTTCTATTGGTTCGGTCACTTCTGGTGGTATCGTCTCTTCGGTTAGCGGTGCCTCTATGTGGTCATCCTCTTCGGTGGGCTTTATCTTGCGAGAAATGCGAGTAGATTTTCTCCTTGCACCCGATTTTGACTCGTTACCAGAGCTTTTCTTTGCCCCACTTGAAACTCTTTTGCCTCGCTTTGATTTGGTTTCTTGAATATTTACAGCCTCGTCGCTACAGAAATCAGAGTCGTCGGATGAAATCGTTGCTTTTCTTCTTCTTTGAGCAGCTTTTGTCTCTCGCTTCGCCACTGGCTTTGTCGGTGATTCACTGATCTCTTTATTATTATCTGGGAAGTTTGTCCCTTTGGAACTAGCGGTCTGTCCTTCAATTTTAGGAATTATACTTTTATTTCCATTGTCAGGTATATCACTGGGTACAGGATTCAATATATTTACTACTTCAGGATCAGTTCCAGTCAGTTTTTTTGACTCTATCTGACTTGACTGACTTAATGATTGATTAAGTCTGCCAAATGTCATTGAAGTATTTTCTAGGCAAAGACGCTTGACTGGAGGACTGTCACCATGTTTTTCTTTAGAACTTCTAATACGTTTATTTTTATGTTCTTCCTCCGAGTCGCTATTACAAACAAAATCGTCGTCGGAGAGCTGTGCTGAGTGTTCTAACCTCTTAGTATCTTTTGAATAAGAAACGCTGCATTCCATGGAGTCGACTCCAGAATCATTAGCTCGGGATGAAGTAGGTGAGTCGGCAGCATCCAGTTTGAAATTACCATCGGACATGCACCTGTCCAACCAGCCCTGATTTATGGTTCTAGTAACGAAATTGCTACTACTTTTTATCAACCACTGGACAGCACTTACAGCCTGGACATTACTTTTATTTTCCAGAGAAATAACTTTTTCCGATTCCTTTAAAATGGACCCTATAAATGGATCATTTTCGATACTTTCGGAATTAGTTTGTTCAAGAGGTGCGCTCTGCATCGAGTCAGTTACGTCAGACTTGCTCTTAATTCTGTTCTTCGAAACGGATTTTCTGGGATTTCGCATAATAAAAGAATCGGACGTAAATGATTTTTGAGACAGCCTAAAAGACGACGATCTACCAACTAACAGGTTTTTCTTTCTCTTGGGTTCCTTTTCCTTATCCTTATTCAAATGGTCACCCCAAACTCCGTTAACATTAACAGAGTCCGTCACAGGGCTTTTCATGTCAGGAATTATAATTGTGGATAAAGAATCATTTGGAGCAATATTCTCTGTATTGATGGACATAGACTTACTCGTCTCCTTGGCAGTTTCCTTTTTCTCTACCACTGGAGAAACACTGGCGTTTGCGGAGACGTTTGCTTGTACTTCATCGGAGAACGTAATGTCAACGAGGGTTTCTTCTAAGGCACGAGTTTTGAGCATCCAGTACGTTTTGTACGCCTCCCTGATCGTGCCGTCGGCTTCCTTAATATCATTCTAAAACACGCCAACCATGTTTCCATGAAATAAAGGTTAAAAACGATAATTAAAGAATTATTCATTCAAGATTTCTAAATTACTGCCTACCCTGTTCGGCTTTCGTCCGTATTTTTCCATGAAGTCGCTCTCCCATAACTTAACCCTAATCTTCTGTTTTTGATACTTGGTCTTGAATACAGGATCTTTAAGAAGATCCATGTCGACGATAAAATACTAGTCACGGGTATTAAAAGTATATTCTTCCGTCATTCGACGTATCTTCACATGTCCACAACACTAAGCACCTTCATATCGGTACTGATCGGTACGTCGACGAAGGTCGAGCCCGCCGACCATAATTAGGTTATGTACGTACTTGCAAACAGAGATGAGTTGGGAGATTTCCCACGGCGGCAGGTAGCGCGATCGCGTCCAAATGGCGCCACTTTCAAAAACCCTTATGCGTCCGACAACATCGATTAAATTACCCAACCAACCCCGAGAATCATCGCAATCGACATTGTAGAGTACTTTTATTGCACCTTAAAAATTAATACATGAATTAGACACTTATATAATGACGTTAATTCCTCAAATGATTTGGACCAAAAACTTGACCGCATGCTCATCTAATCCTAGGGGCCTTACAGAGAATAAACCTTGAACACATGACCTCGTGGAGGAAAATTCATTGAGCATTGGGTTTAGACCGTACGGTAACCGTTTACAGATACTTCTTTCATTTTGTTCACGATGAAATAAATATAAAATATAAACGTACAGTATCGGATCATCAACGAGTTGGACTAGGGTCTATTTGTACCACGTCGCGTGTGTTCCTCCTGCCGGACTTTCATATCTTTTTCCCCTCGGTAACTACAATCCCAATCGGATTCCCGACATACTTCCAGCTAAACACGTCGGCGAAAAGCACCGGATAGAAAACAACAGGACGCGAGAGCTCGAGATTACGGGCCAGGATAAGTTTCCTCGCAAAGTCCGCGTCATATTTCGAGCTCTCAAGTGCGGCATAAAATCTCGAACGCCGTCGTTTTCACGGGGCTCGATAACTCTACAATGTGGCGAGGTTCAACTAAAGGACTCCCCGGTAACGAGCAACGTTAAATCGAGTATTCAACGGTACGGCAAGTCCTGAATATCCGGACGACATAATGCGGAGGTGCCCAGGTGGTGCGCCGCTGATAAGGACCTTTTCCCCTTTGATAAAAGGACCTTGACGAGGAGTCGCGTCGTTAGGTCGGAAGAAAAAGGCGTAAAAAGGATGCACCTCGTAAGCGTCCCGACGTGGAGGCCCTGGCAAAGACGCTTCGGCATTTCCTACTCCACCATTTAGGAACCTCCGCGAAGAAGAGCGCGACTCCCGCAAGAAGTCCAATGACAATAATATAGATACACGTTTATTTGATCTCGTACATCGTCTAAAAATATTCACTACGTCCAAGGGTCTACCCGGAGCGACGCTCCCCACGAATCCCATCTAAGACCTCTTGGAAACGTCTATAAGGGTGTCACGAGACACGCACACGCACACGCAATTGCACACTTCCGGGATATGCTTACCGAACTCGAAGGTGTATACGTAGAATGCGCCGAGAAAAATCCGCGTCAACGAGTCGAACGAAAATGGCGCGCGAGGTCTCTCTCGAGTTGAATTGGAAATTGATCCACGGCCAGTACGATCGTTCTCACGCATTCTAGGTGTACAGTTAAGCGACTACTTAGCTTTAAGGCAATTCGGACGCAAGACCGACCGGTCGTCCGATTGCCGTGTCGAAACCACGTGGACATTCTCGGCCAAGAGCGGCTCGGAGGAACCTCCCGTCTTTTCGCGGCGACCTCGAGGACCTCCCCGAAGGGAATGTCCTCGGGGCACCATCCCTTCAAGGAAGGGGGATCCATGCGACCCGTTTATCGATTGTCTCTCGCATTAAGACCGAGTCGACTCTTCCTTAGGACAAAGGAGAAAGGCTCGCCAGCGCCGGGGATGTCGACGCCCGACAGGCGAGACCGTTCGCCGTTCTGGCCGACAACGAAACGAGGCGTCGGCAGCGAGGGGACCAAAGTAACCTAAGCTTAAGATCGAATCAGACCTTCGAATTAGAGAGTCCGTGGGAAAGGAGCTTAAAAAGTTGACCGTAAGAACGAAAAAAGAGGAAAAGAATCAGCCCCGGTCGCGTCCCGCCGCCATCTTTCTTCTCGCGTGATATGCACCGTTTACGCGACATTAATTATTCCCGGTTAAAAGCAAGAGATACGGGATAATACGAACAAGAGGAATAATATCTACTATACGAATATCCCACTCGCAGTTTGCATAGACCGATACAGGCTCTCTATTTCGAATTCAGAGCCCGACGAAACGGATGTTGCAAATGGCGTCCTGCCCCCCGGGCGGAAACGCGATTTGGAACGGTATTGTCCCCGGGTCAGCTAATCTCGAATCGCGCCCAGCACGCGATGATTGTCCATGATTGTCATATTCTCGGGAATTTGCCGATATACTCCGTAGAGACGAGGGAATGTATATCCTACCTACCGACTTTCGTGGTACCACCGTGATCGATTCCCTAAGCGCACCGGCCACCTTCGTAATCTTAAGGACACTTAATTTTCTATGTATATGTAGGTAAGTCTTCGCGCGAAACAATAACCACACGTTTACTATTTCAGGCAATCGTGTAAGTGGCGTCCTCCGATTTTTCTACTCCTCGATTAAAATATAGGATGTGGGACTTTAAGCCGTGGACACGGGAAAGACCTCCCTGCCTTCATCAGAGACGGTGATTCGTATATCTAACATCATTTCCCTATATCTTCTATTTTTTTTTTCGACCTCGGGAGAGGTCCAGGAAATTTCGAGTCTTCCTTTACGTATTTCCTTAATCTCTCATTGCGCGCTCAGAGAAATCCGTAGCAAGCTGGCTCGCCGTTCTCGGATTCGAGATAGTCGAGAAAATTCCGGACACAGTTACGTGGACTCGCCATGGCCACCACAAGGAATTGATTTCCCATCCTCTAAGGACTTCCAGAAAGGATCCACGCGTATTGGCCGAATAAATAAATAAATCTCTTTTCCCCATCCGACTCCCCCCCGCGGATACGCCGGTAAGTCCGTACTTACATACGTATGTATATCATATATGTGTCTGTATATTGCAGGTACAAAAAGCAACGTTGTGACGCGTCATCTAATTTACAGATTGCCAAGGTAAAAGGCTGTATCTCATTCCCCCCGATCTCTTTTATTATCTCTCCCATTAACTCGCTCTGCTTTTTCGCGCCGAGGTTCTCAATATGGTTGCGACACGAAAACCGAGATCAACGAGAACATCGATCGACAGGATATAAATCGGAGTATCACAGTGAAGAGAAAATAGAACACGAAAGTGATAGATAATACTGCATGATATATCCGGTCTCCGCCCCCGTTTCCCCTCTCTTCGCCCCCACGAGGCCGCGAACAAAAAAGGTAAAGGGTTTCCTTCCAACAATGAAATGCCTATTCTAAGGTAGTCTAGATTCCGCAACCCCCCTAAGCTGCCATATATTTAAATATACTCTCCATTTACCGTGAACAACGTTTGTTTCATTGCAGGATGCACTAGGAGGACGTTATAAACGAGTCATCTGCAATATATATATATATACATATACACGTATATATCTCTATGTATACATCTTACCAGCTAACACGTGTCACAGTAGTCCAGCTATTTCACGATCAGGCCCATCTATCACCCGAAAAGGAACCTCTCGTCCATGGATATGTTGCGTAGAAAAATATTTCTGAATAATGGATGCGCGCCTCGGATTCCGTAGAAGGCGACGCGCGTCGATATAGTACCGATCAACAGTTTCGATTAATATTCCCGACATATCGCGATGTAATGCCTTATCTGTGCGTGATTTCAACAGAACCCTCCGATGAATATGCCCCCATTCTAACCCCGACCTACCTCGTTCCCATTACGCTAAATATATCGTTCCTCTTGTGTCCCATCCGTCTCTTTCCCCTCTTTGTACCTTTGTAATTGGAGTTGTGCCTTCTTCGGGGATAAAAAGGGAATTAAGTATAGGAAGTGTCCGCGTTCGGTCGAGGTGAGAGCCAAGGTGAAAAATATACCCAAGCAGAGTCCGTGGGGAGAGAAATTCCCAGAGGGCGAAGAAGGGGGAGACCAGGGGCGAGCAGAGGGCGAGCAGAGGGCGAGCGGAAGAATATAGGTTTGGCACGATTAGGCGATGCACCTTTAGGACTCGCCGCTTGTCCGGTCGCACTTACCCCTACGACTCTAGCCCTCAAAGTGGTTGATTGTTAGTGCAATAATTACGATTACGACAATTGACAGGACGCCGTGCACCCCTTGCCCGGCCACGACCTCGCGAGGTCCGCCCGCTAGCGTCGTCACACAAGGATTCCAATCTACATCCGAGACGAGAATCGACTTTAAAGGGTGTGCAGAAGGGCGCGACATTACGTAAATCTCATATAAGGTCGGCGCGCGTCGACCGCGACCTAGCGACGAGCAAAACCGCCCTTGGTCGTGTACATCCGGTCTTAATCTCGGTCCTAGACATTTTGCAAGGTCGAGACCAAGTCCTGAAAGTCCTTGCAAGAGCAGTTTGAATTTTGTTCGCCGCCACTGCGAACGCGAGCCTTGGCCCTCTCCTAATCCAAGATGGCCGTCGGCGGCGTCGAGGTCTCTCCCGTCAGCGATTCCGCGTCTCTCTTACCTCACGGGGAGCCTCGTCGATAAAGGAATAGCGGCCGCTACAATACGTACGGTATACTTTCACAAGGTCCCCGACTTCCGATTCTCGACTTCCGGCCTCCTCTTCTCGCGGCGAAGACGCCGTCTTCGCCTGGCGCGCTTGCCGGGCCAATTTACAGGCATCGTCGAGGCGTCGAGGCGCCTCCAAGATCCGGTTTCCCGGCTCTAGGGACGTCTAACCAGATAGCGTCCTTACGATCGTCCGGAGAATAGCTGGTACTGGAAAAGACAAGCAGAGCGGGGGGTCCGCCTTAGTACGGCGCCATCTTGGAAGGCTCGAGAGATTCCGAAAATCGAGAGAAAGCCGCAGAAACGTAATTATATACATATGTACTATATAACTATTATTGTATATATATATATGAAATCGCCACCGCCTCCGTTGCTGGTCCGTGGAAAACGTGGCCCGGCACGGTTCCTTTTCCTCCTTGCGAGGACCGCGGCGGCCATTTTGGAGACCGCGCGCAGAGGCAGTGGGCGAAGAAGAGGCCATCGGAAGCGGAAAGAGAGAGCGAGCGAGATAGAAGCTCGGCAGAGACGACTCGTCGAGGCAAAACTTGGCCGGGGCTAGTTAGGGACAACTTCTACGAAAAAGGTCGGCAAAGGAACGTAGAGATCCTTACGCTGTGGCCAAGGGTCAGTGGGAAGGCTGTCCCGATGGCTGGAGTGATGGAGATAATGTTGGTGGTGGTCCATTGAGGTTGAGGCAGATGGGGGGGAGTTGTCTTACCATGCCGGAGCCAAACTGCTGGAGGATGCCCGTGCCCTGCTGGGACGACGTCGACGAGACCGAGGGACGCCGGGACCCGCGAATACTGTTCATACTTGAGCTCAGCAGGTACGGGACGCTGCTGCTGGTGATGGGCATGCCGCCGCTCTGCGATCAAGGTGAAGCATCCTTGTTAACCCACCTCTAAGAGAAACCCGAGGAGCCTGATTTCTTCCACTTACAGTTGGCGGGGAGAGGTTCACGTTCGAACCTCGGCGATCCTGAGGACCGGTGCTGGAGTGTCGGCGAATCGGCAGCCCTCCACTCGGAGTCCCGCCCGGAGAGCTGGTACAGGACGGTGCGATGCGGATCTTCGGGGTCATCAAGGTGTTGTCCGATAGCCGGCGACTCGTGAAGGTGTTCGCCACCCGGAGGAAGTTGCTGTCGTTGGCCGAGGATGAGGAGCCGAACCACCAACCGCCCAGCATCCCTGAAACCGACCTCCGGCATCATCCGTATTCCCGGAGACTTCAACGCCCGCGAGGAGAGACGCTACTTACCGGTCATCGAGTTCTTCCTGTTCATGTTCTCGGCGGAGGCGGTCATCGACATGGAGCCTGAGGAAAAGACGCGGAAGAGAGGTCACCACTCTGTTCAAGAATCCGATCCATTTCCTAATGTTCCTTACCGATCGAATTCTTCCTTGCCATGTCCTCGGCGGAGGAGGTCTTCCTCTTCTCCACTCGCAGGTTCGGGATGTTGAAGGTCGGCGCGTGCATATTGTCGGTGCTGAACTGATGTCTCAGAGGCCTGTGCCTCTCAGGGCTCGGCAGGGGCAGCTTGTCCAACTTCAGCTTGTTCCGCTGGTTTCTTCGGTAAGAGAAAGACCGCCGTCAGAGACGCCGCTCGTTTTTCTCGGAGAGTACCGAGCCAAGGAGAGGACAAACCTTTCTACGTGATTCAGCATATCCTGAAGGACCTCCAGCAGGAGAGTGAACTGTTCCAAGTTCAGCGCCGGGTTCACCGTCTGGGGGAGGAGGGAGGGCATGACGCGCGTCGCTATCAAGTGGACGGACAGCCCGTACTTCTTGTCGCTCAACATCAGCCTGTAAATATCTGCAAGAGAAGTAGAGGATTCGTTCGACGAGGCGCTCTTCGAGGTCCGCGAAATCCGCGAGGTTGGGAATCCTGGCCTGGTCCCTTGAGAGCGATTCGCCACTTACTTACAACCCGAATGATGATCTCGGGATCCTGGAGCTTGACGTTCCACATAAGTGGCAGTACCTCGTCGATGATCTGTTGCTTGTCCAGGCAGTCCAGAATGCAGGAGAGGACGTTCATCAGGATGCGCATGTCGGTCGAGTTCTCGAAGGCGATCTTCAGCTTCGGCAGGACTATCTTGCGGATCGCTACGTCGTCGAGGTACTTCGTCACGTTGGACACCGCCACCAAGGCCGCGGTCTAAAAAAAAATAGAAAACCGAAGCGTTCCCTTTGTATAAACCTAGCACTCGATAATAATAATTCTAGTCTTCACGTTTTCAATTTCAGAGACCGACCTGGACCTGGATCATCGGGCTCTCGAACGAGGAATACAGCATCGGCAGGACCTCCGTCCTGACGTCCTCTCGAGGGGTCTTCTCCAAAATGATGTGGAGGTTCTCCAGAAGGGTGACCGTCGCCTGGACGGATTTCGGCGCCGAGAGGACGTTCCTGCTGATATAATATAACGCGAAAGGAAAATGAAGGTCGAAGGGATTCGCGGATCTCGAGTGGATATCTAGGATCCTTTCGTCCTCTACCTAAAATTCGGCAGGATGATGCTCTCGTACTCCTCGATGCTGCTGTTCTGGATGATGTAAAGCATCGGCTGGAGCACGGCGACGAGGACTTCCTGGGACTCGGATTCCGTTTGCAGGTAAGGCCACACGTGTTGGTACCACAGTTTCTGCAAGTTGAGAGTGAAAGCAAGGTACCCGGAGGAAGAGATAGGAGGTCGAGGTCGAAAAAGGGATCCCTACCCGAGGAATGTAGGGCAGGACCTCCTTCAAGGTGTTCTTGTAGAAGTGAGCCTTCTGGCTCTGGTTCTTGATATTAATGACGTCGAGGAACTGCAGCGCGTGGACCGCGGGATCGCTGAAAATCAATGCGACAAATTTACCCGAGGGATTAACCTTAACCTTTCGCCGGGGGGAGAGAGTTTAATTCGTTTACTTGAAGTAAGAGAACGAGGAAAGAGCTTGCGCGGTGAGCCGATGCTGAGGATCCCTCTGGAGCAGCTTGGAGACGGTGTTTTGCAGGTGAACCGGGATACGAGGTAATATGTTGTGTACTTGGTCATTTAGCTGTTACAAGAAACAAACAATACATACACGTATACATGTAAAGACCCTCCATAAACCGCCCTAACTCGAGGACACACTTACGCCTCCCATTTGTTTAAGGTAGGTCGAGCAACTGTGGTTAGCTTGGATCAGGGGACGACCCTGATTGAATATGGCGCAAATGAGCATGCCCAAGCTGAACATGTCGCTCATGATGCTGCAGCTCTTCTCCTGCACCTCTGGAGCTATCGGGAGGAGAGTTAAGGACGATCGAACCGACGCATTAGGGAGGACTCCCTCGAGGACTCACCTATATAGTCGAGGTTCGGCTGGGCAACCTTGGGCAGCTTGTGGGACCAGGGTTGGCAGGGAACGGGTTGTAGGCCGTCGATCTGGTTCAGGGGCTCTGGAAACGATTAGCGCGACTAATTACCCCTGGCCAGGTGCACGATCAAGTTTGAAAACCCGAACGGAAGTTAGGGAAGCAAGACCGATGTATCGTACATCGGTGGCTCACCGACGAATTCGAGGCCACACAGCTTCCAGGTCCCCCTCTTCGTGATGATGACGCTACTTGGACAGACGTTCCTGTGGAGCGTGTGGCAAGTGTAGTGGAGGAAGGACAGCGCCTCGGTGATCTAGGAAAGGCGATTGGAAATAATAAAAACGGTGAAACCTGGGACCTCCATTTTACTCGGATCAATCCTTGAAGAGACTACCTGAACTAGGCCGTATTTGATCTCAATGTCTAGCATGTCGTACTCCTTGGCGTAGACGGGCCGATGTCCCGGTGGTTGTCCACTCTGTTGGGAGGACGCCGACGTCGTCGTGGCCGCCGACGCGGAATTCTGCGTCATGGCGTTCGCTCGCTGCTCCTCGAAGGCTAAAACGTTCCCCAAGCTGGCGAGGACCGGCTCCGAGGCGAAGGCCAAGGTCTCGGAGCACTCCTCCAGTTTGTGGACCACCTGGAGGAAAATGTAGGTAAGGCGCGACTCGCCTCGGGTTTCCTTTTCTTTTGCCAGGACTCCTTCCCACCTGCAGCATCTTTGGGTGCCGGAAGCGCTCGAGCTGGTACACGCTGGCCTTCAGCATCTCGGTGACCATCTCCTTGCGCTTCGGTTTATGCAGCTTCTCTACGGAGCGCTTCTCGAATAGGAAAATGGAGACCTCCTGAAATAACGTAAATACCCGCCGTGAACCTGTTCAAGAAAGGCCATGACTAGCGACCTGGACTCTGCATCGAGTCTTTCATAATCCCTCGCGGTTTTCCTTCATCGGCTTTTTCTCCACCTTTTTTTCCCTCGTAGAAGGAAATAAAAGGAAGTCGAAAAGCGATCGCATCTAGACCTCTCAAGAAGAGGGGCAAAAGGAAAATCGGAGGCACCTTTCCATCGCTGTTGCGATATGCCCCGAGGATCTTCCATACGTGCTCCGGTCCGGCCGTGGCCGTCTGATTGCCGATCTCGAAGTGGTGCCAGATCGGGTTCGAGCCGAGGACGTTCGGCGTGTTGCTGCTCTTGAACTTGAACATGGTCCCCCGCACACTCTCTCTCTCCCCCGGTGTCCTGCGGCCAAGAGCCCGTCTCTTTTCCTCCTATTCCATCAATCGTCGACCTGCAAAATTCAAGAGATCAAGTTACCGGCGATAACAAGTGGTAGTGCTCGTCGATGGTACGCGCAAATACGATTAGCCAAGAATCGCCAAAATCGGAATATCAACGCGCGAGTATTGTCAATCGACTCATCGCAAAAATCCAAACAGTATCTCGTGAGTACAATCAGCCGAGGTTATCGCAAAAATTAAACTAGTGAAGCGTATGGTTAACCGCAAAAGTACAAATAGCAACGCGCGAGGATGGTCAGCCGAGTTATCGCAAAAAATCCAAGTAGTAACTAGCAATAATGACCAGCCAAGAGTAGCGCCGAGAGCCGGGGCGCCAGTAGTGAAAGCGCGCGGTCGGTCAGACGAGGCGTCGTTTCCTTAAGATTACGCAGATTCGAATTACGGCAATAAATAGGTAGACGCGATGGAATCGTCCTCGTTCCGGCGTCCTTCGGGTGGTTTTACGAGTGTGCAGAGCGGGGCCGATATCGGTCGAGCTATCTGTTCGATAGTAGTCATAATAACAGTAATGATAAAAATGTCCTCGAGCCAGAGCCTCGGAAGGGGAGGAAATGCGGTCCTCGATGGGAACCCGTTTCCTCTCTCTCTCCCTCTCGCTTCCGTCTTCACCGCCCACCCCCCGCGAGGCGTCGCGACGCGCCGCCCGGGGACGACCTTCGCGAGCGCCGCGAGCGCCCGGAACTCTCTCGGCGTCTTTAAGGAAGAGAGAGAGAGAGGGAGAGAGAGGGAGGGATCCTTTCGCCGTCGCGACGCCTCGGCGCGAAGGACCAGTCTCGAGTTGGGGGAAGACGCCCCCCTCCCCCTCCCCCCCGCGGCTTTATTAAATTCCAGCATTCCCCGAGGAATAATTCCTCGTTTCCTTCGAGCTACTCTTTTCCAGGGCTCCGCAATAACCCGGCGAGCCTCGCGAGGTTGGAATTCCTTCGGCGTCCCGACGGAAGGAGGGTCGACCTTCGACCCCGCCGCCCCCTCTCGGTCTGCCCACGCCGCGATTCGCCCCCCTCGCGGATCCCTTTGAGGGTATTTCGAAACGAAAGGACCCCTCCCACGTTCGAGACGTTTCCCTTTTAACACCGAATTTCCGCGATGTCCTGCCCGGAAGGAGGCGACCTCGCTATCTTTTTCATCCCCTCGTCCGATTATTCTCCTGAAATCGCATCGGACGAAGGAGGCGTCGTCTCGGTTCGGCATTGCGGAACCTCGCGTAGGGGTAGACGCGGAGCGTGGCGAGGGCGAAATCGGAGGTCCCGTCCAGAGGAGCGTTCGGTCCGCCCGGGCGGCAATTCGTCATTGGCCGTCGCCGAAGGGGCGAAGGTGCACGCTCGATCGAGCCACCTCTCTCCGGCGTCACCCCGCGTAGACCTGCGTACATCTACCCCAGAGCTACGTGCACGCATACGCGGCCGCCTCGCTCTTTCTCCCTTTCTCTCACCTGTTGCCGGACGAGGTGTCGTGGCGTTCCTCGGCGCACTAAGGCCACATCTCGGGGCGACCGACGCGGCCGGCGCGGTCCTTCGGCGCCGGGCTATATCGCGACACTGACTGAGGATCCCGTTATCCTGTAAACAGGACGAGCTTCTCCCTCCCCAGGGAAGGATCGGCCGAGTGCGCCTGCGCCCAGCTTGGCCAGGGTATAGGCCTGCCTGGGTATATTCTAGGTCTGGGCTGCAGGTAACTTCGGCAAGGGGCGGCTTGGTGGGTGCCCGCCGCCTCCGCCTGCATCAATACCGAGGCCGCTCGAGGTTCGGCTCCCCGATTTCCCTAATTCCCCGCTTATACGCCTCGCGGGTCATGGCCGAGCGCCCTTGGCCCACTGCGCGACCCGCCGCCATTTTGCCCGAGTACGTCGACGGTAGGGACGCTCTGGCGGCGCGTCCCGGCGCCGTCGTCCACGAAGCGCCGACGAAACGGCGATTAACTTACTATTAACTACCGACTAACTGGTATTTAACTACCGACTAACTGGCTACGAGCGGAATCGGCCTTCGTCTTGTAAAAGGTGACATTTCTTTTAACACCAAGACCGATGGCCCTCGTTTCTGCGACAAAGCGCCGATACAGGAATAACGTAACGCTTAGCCTCGCTTCGTATCGCTTTGGCTTATGCAAATTGATAGATAGGCGGTAAACGAAACGCGTGAGTTTCCTCCTCCAGGTGTCTTCTTCGAGCCGCGTGTCCAGCCGGGTAATTGCAGTGGTCGCGTACGCTGCGTAATATCGCCTCGATAATTGCCACCCAACGGCCCTCGTTAACTCGGCGAGGTGTGACGCAGATATGTTTCTTTTGAACCTTGCCTCTATCCGGCCCGATGGCTTCTTTTTCTGCAACACGGAGCGATGACGGATTAAGGGTTAAACGTCGAATCCGCCTGGTCGTCGAACCGGGAAATTCCTTCGCGAAAATTACCGCCCGAGAGAGGCGATCACCTCGAATAAACGTGCCGATTAATAAATAATTCATGGTGTTTTAATGTTACCGCACGCGATCGGCAAGGGGCAAGTTACCGAGATACGGAGTAGAAACGCTAACGCTAGCTAGCCGGTCCTAATGACGAGTCCGCCATCTTGGACAAACTGGCTGACTCATCCGCGTTAATTAAATTACCTCGGGCATGAATTTTCCTAAAAGCATGGAACTACGGTAATCGATTTAAAAAACATTCAGGAAAAGATACTCATTAGGAGAACTCGATGCCATAGAGTCGTATATCTGTATCGAGTATAGTTTTGTCCCCCTCAAACCGAACCGAGTGAAGTTGGAGTCGAGCGGTCGAGGCGGTTCTCGTCCGGCGTTTAAATTCACTCGGGAGAGTGGAGGCGTGGCAGTATAACGCGTTAGCGTAATTGTATACAACTTTGCTACACGTAATTGCACTTATAAGGTCGTATGAGGCCGCAGGGAAGACGATTTCCATATTACGAGCTTCGGGTAAATTCATGGTTTCATCTCGGTGCAGCAGCTAATTTTTTCGGGATGCCTAACCTCTTCGGACCTAACCTCACTCTTCTGTCAGGATGTCTAGACGACTCTCTTTTGCTTCTGTTTTCGTGGCCGCTCACCTGAAACCATGATTTATTAATTATAGAATGAGTACTTCCAGTTTTAAAGTAAGTATCTAGTAATCGAACTCTAAGTGCTACATTTACTTATCTGATTTTTTCAGTCCTTAGGAACGTTACATGAGTCTGGCGACTGAACAGGTTGGTGAATCGACAGTTAAGTGGAGTGAGTCATATATCTCTCTATCGTCCATGGTTTGGAGACAGGCTATCGGGTTCGGTATTGGTATGGAACGGAGTTGGAAGAACACCAGTTACACCTTGCCAAAAACTGGGTTACCGTCCAGCAGAGTACGATGGGAAGAAAATTATTTATGCATACGTCTTCAAAAAAGGACACTCAATGAAACCAATTCATACCCGGAGAGAATCCTTGCTGGAAAGTAGTTGTCACCCCTCGGAACCAGGATTGCAGGAGCCACTCGTATATTCCGATTGGTTGCCACTTTTCACCAGTCGTCACCATCTGACATATATGTATAAAGGTCAGACAAACTCTGTGGAAAATCAGTATGGGAACGAAAATAGAAGGTTAAATTACCTCATTCTTTTTTCAGTTATCGATACATTAACTGTGAGAAAGAGGTCCTCCGCAACCATGAAGGCTGTCTTCACACGTCAGTTGGCTCTCTCATCACCAGGAAATCATATCCACTTCTTTCTTCCTGCTATAATTATTATATCTCTCGTTATTTAATTCCGAACAACTCGCTATCGCTGTAAATATGTGATTTATTTAATTTAAGACCGTGGCATTGCCAATACCCGCAGTGTTAGAGATAAATCAAGAGCACCAAACCGGCGAGATCTTTTTTTTGCGGATTCTTGCGAATACAGCCGAGCATTCCACGCATTCGAGGAGATTCTGCAACACGGCCGTAATTGGGGAAGTGCACATCGAGGTGGACCTGAACTCTTAGACATTTCATTAATTCCACGGTATTTTATAACGATTAGACTTTCTCCCTACTACCTGTGTGGAATAACATTAAAATATATAATCCGCAAATTACTCAGCGTCCGCTGAATTACCACATCCGCGTCGTCCTGTCTCAACCGAATCCCGAGGAACTGGGATCTCTGAAAATCGATTCCTCGACATGGCCGAAGTCCTTTGCTGTGCAGCTTGTAGAATATTCGCAAGGCTTTGCCGACCTTGTCGAGTTTCAGGTGCGACCTAAGCACAAAATCGTTCCGGGAAGCCTGCCACGACAGTCTTCAATCTGGTTAAACTCATCCGATCGAACAGCTGACGAAGCCGTGTGCGTTCTCTGCAATGAGAATCCGATAAGAGTGTGCCCCGTCCATCGACGCCACATTCTGTGGTCGAATTAGGCAATAAGCGGCGATTAGCGAGCCAATTTTCTCGCAAATCGCGCGATTGTCTCCTCGGCCGCGGGCATCCCTTTTCAGTCAAAGGCCATCCAACGAGGCCAATGTCATTTCTGGCTGCCGAGTGCAGGTGGGCCCGCTCACAGAGATCGTCTTCCCGATATTCCCTTTTTTATAGCCTGGAAGAAAGACTCCAATTACCTTAGAATATCCTCTCTTTCTCAATTCTTAGAAATTCTCGAGTTATTTCGACGCACTCCGACCTTGTACACCAGCATCCTAGCTCCAGAAGGAAACGGCCTTCGCCTCCACCCCTGGAAGCAGACGTCGTTTTATATAAATCTCCACTTTTACTTGTAAGAAAAAAAAAAAACAACAAAAAAAGAATAATAATAAAAAATCCAATATATAGGAAGACACGCTCCATCGAGGCGCTCTCTCCAGAAGAAATCCGCGTCCGCCTCCACTCCTGGAAACGGACTATTGCGTCGTTTTACATTAATTTCCTTTACTTAAAAAATAAAACTCAAGTGTATAGGGAGACGCGCTCCACCGAGGCGCTCTCTCCAGAAGGAAAACTGGCGAGCCTCCGCTTCTTGAGAGAGAAAGAGATCATTTCGTCTTTTAACATTAAGTTTCCCATTTAACTTGAGAAAAAGAAATCTTATACATGGGAAGACGGGATTTATCGAGGCGCTTCCGCGGAAGGAGATGCGGTAGGCGACGCGTCAGCCGCGGAGATCTCCAGGGGAAAAGGCAGGGCTTGGGTCAGCCGAGGCCCGGTGACTCGCTACACCTTTGGGAGAAAAATCTCGACCTATCTCGACCGGACCCCCCCCAAGTCACCGATCGACTCGAAAAAGTCGCGATCGCGAGATTGTCGCCGGTCCCCCTCGAGGTCGCAAGCGCGGCCGCGCTCGATCTGTTCACGTGCGCGTAATGCAATTTTTTACGTAACAGCGAAGCTATAGCAGAGAGACCAAGCCGATAAGAGGTGTTGTCTAGTCTTAGACTCGGTCAGTCTCGCGTGGTACTCGCCAGGAGATAATAGTCACATAGGTAGATACCCGCGGCATGGCACCAGAAGTGGTACCCAATATCCTGACAATTGTTCAATCCTCCGACCACTAAATTCGTCAATTTTACAAACACCGCCAGACAACGGGGAACTTTACACCGCGAGTGGCTCCGTCAATTTAAATCCGCCGATTTTCTGGGCGCGAGGGTACCCATTTATGTTTCTCTTTTTTTTTTATTCCCCTCCTTTTCTATTTTCAAGATACGAAAGTACCATATCAATGTTTCCTACTTTCCCTCCCGAGCGAGGGTGAGAGGAGTCCTGGGTGACCGGTTTCTCCTAGCGTGACACTTAACACACCCGATCGAACGTTAATCGTCCCATTTAGCATCGCACAGTCCGTATCAATAATTGAAAGGCACGGAAGAGCGATCGATCGCCTCGGCCTCCGCCACCGGTTCTGTCGGACCGTGTTCCTCGACCGCAGGACCGGCTCCGTTTCCGTCGCGGTTTCTAGACGCCGCAAGTCAAAAAGCGCGAGTAGATAAGGCCCCCCGATAAGGAGGCCGCGTTTCGCCGAGTCGGCGGCCCCTTTAAACTGGATCTAGATCAGGAGGAGAGTTCGATGCATCCGATGCGTTATCGCGAATCCCGAGAGCATCTTATCGTAGCGGCTAGTCCAGTTCCTAGGAGTTCCGCAAATCGGCAGTCGCACCGAGCGAGGGGCCGCAGTCGTGACACCGGCCGTGTTCAAAGCGTGACATAGAAAGTACAAAATTAATAATAGGATAAAAAGGGGAAGAGAGGAGAAGCAAACGAAAAATGAGAGGTCGCCGCGTGTGGTTTCAGCGGGTGCCAATGGCGTCGCCGAGGACGATCGACGGGCCCCTCCTGGAGGAGAAAACCGTGCGACGAAGTGCCGTGCCCATTTTGCATACGCGCGGCACCCACTACGAGGTCGGCTTCGACGTCGTAAGTATCGCACCGATCTCGCCAACGACATCGATTCCCGATCGGTCCGATCGGATCTATCGAAGCCTCCCCCCCGCGGCTCTGTTTTTCGCCTCCCACGCACGGGCTTGCCCATTTGTTTGCATTTCCTTACATAAGCTAATTCTTAACCGGGAAACGCGAGATAACACCGATTAAAAAAAAAAAAAGCCGCTTGCACATTCATGCGAACCAGCGGTTATGCAAAAAGACCAACCTATCGAACCTCGATCGGCCGTCCAGGAGTCACGCAATCTAGGCTCTTAATTCGCGCCAATTTAATTTAAAGAGCCGGCTAAAACCGTGCGACGATTAGCGCTCCGGGAATTAAATTCCCATTCCGTTCTCGCCGGCGGGATTATTCGACTCGCCAATCCGAGGTAATCGATTCCAAAAGTCGGCGATCGTAGCGCGGAAATCCTTTATCGGCGCGATCGGTGACAACATCGATTGCGTAAAGACCGCCTACCGATCCGCGGATTCCGCAGGTTTACCGCGAGGATCGCCTATTGATTAGGACCGATACAACGTTGTTTGCTAATGGGCTCGGTGAATGGAATCGAAAAGAAGAAGAAGAAGAGGAAAAAACGGAACCGAGTCGCTCGGGAGAAGGCAAGTGTCCGATACATCGCTCGACATAAAATTCCCAGGTCGCTCTTGATCGGAAAATCCGCAATCGATCTCTCCCTACCTTCTTTTTCCTACTCTTTTTTTTTGTCCGTCTTTTTACGTAACCGGATAACGCTTACGGCAATGCGCGTTCTGTCAAGATCCCCTCTCCCCGCTCGGCTAATTAATAGTTCATGAAGAAGCGATCCCTCGATCGTGGCCGCGAGCGGATAACGCTCGGAGACTTATTATAACGAGAAGTTAACGAGAGATCGGCGATATATGATATGCTTTTGAAAGGCTTGCGAAAGCCCGCGATCGAGTTCGCCGCCATGTATCTTTGCGTAACCAGATAGCGGGATTTAGCAGTCACTCTGAGTGAATTTTTTTTTTTCCAAAAGAGTCACCTAGTTCTCCTTATCTCCAAAAAATCCCTGGAGACCTTGAAGGTGTGCTGCTATTTCGGTGGATTTTCGGGGTGTACTCTTGACAAGCGATAACGCAGATACAAGTATCAGAAGTTGTTAAACAGGCCGGAGTTGCGAATCGCCGTAACTCGCGAGGCTAATGCGATCGGGCAGGCTTGGTGCGCATTTTCTGGCTCGTTTCGCGATATGTTCCCGACAAGAATCATTACCCGCAGGAATGCCGGCATGGGCGTGCGCCCCCTTCTTCGGGGATGCTGTCCGAGTTGTAGGTCAGGAGTAAAAGGTGCACCTCGATCTCGAGGTGAAATAACAATAGGTTGATCCTGCATGCTCGTTCCAGGGCTACACGTTCTCCGGGATGATCCAGGAGCACGTCGATGAGTACAGGCCCCTGAAGGAGACGTACCTTCCGCTCTACGAGACGGAGGAGGGTCGCCGCATCTACGAAGAGACGTTGGAGTCCGTCACGAGGCAGTTCCCGCAGTATGTCCGAGAGCTCCAGGGCACGGCAGACGGAGCAAAGGTTCCCTTCCACAAGGTGTCGTTTCTGAATTAAATGAATATATATATATATATATATATATATAATTTGTAATAACTTATAACATAGATATAAGCGTACTCTAGCCAGCCGATCGATGATTACAGCTCTTTCTGATGCACTTGGACGACGTCTTGCCAAACGCCCTGGAGACGGGGAACACCGACGAGAAGAAGCCGGACTCGGGTGGATGCTCTTCCGTAGTCTGCAACGAGCCCGGCCAGGTCGGCAGAGGACGTTATCGGCCTGGAAGATGCTTCCAAGGAGTATCGGGTGTGAGATGGAATTGAAAGTAACGATTGACGTACGGTTTTCAGGAGATCCTGGGCCACAACGAAGACGCCTACACGTCTGTCCTGAACCATTGGTACTTGGTAAGTGCCCACGTCGTAGAGGATGGTCTCAGGGAGGAGAAGTTCACGTCCCTCAGCTACGCGGGATTCTTGCCGGGATACACCATGGGGTACAACCACCACGGCCTGGTGTACACCATCAATACCCTCAGCGCCAGGAGGCTGAGGTCCGGCAAAACACGTGAGTCTGAAATTTTTCTACGAGCGTTAATTCGAATAAAAGTAAGAGTTCATGAATATTGCAAATCCGCGCAAGAGAGGTGCAATTAGGTTTAAGGGAATGTGTTCCAATTTAAGTAAGCGCGTTATGGGGGGGAAAAAAAAACTCGATGGCCTCAACAGGTGGTTCTGTCCTGTTGCAGTTAGGTACTTTCTGGCCAGGTCGCTTCTCGGAGTGGAGAATTTCGAGCAGGCTCAGGAAACTCTCAGGAATGACGGTTGCGGGGCTGCCGAAGGGTTTTCCGTGAACCTGACCTTCTTGTACCAGGAGGGCGACAGGTTGTTCCATAACATTGAGGTAGGACCCCCCGAGGAGGAGGCCAGTCAGTCTCGACTTGACATCCTCACGGCGAAACCTGGAGAAAATTTATTCCATTGCAACAAGTAGGTCTTCGAGGTGCTTCGCTGCTTGTCTAGCGCGATTTCGGGCGTTTCTTCTGCATTGGAGTATTTCTTCTTCAGGTACTTGAGACTCCAGGTGCCCGAGGTGGACGGCTTGATAATAGATAGCAGCGTGTGGAGGATGGCCGCGATTTGTCGACACTCCCTGCCCAAGTCAAGAGAGGATGTCATTAATATTCTGAGCGACCAGACGGACGACAAGTTCAGGGTCTTCCAAGAGATTCAACCGGATGATTACGTGAAAACTATCGCAGTGGGTATGTACCGTTGCATTAATTTGCAATCCACTAATTCAAAGTCAATGGTAAATGTGTTTTTCTCTGTTCAAGGAATTTTTGACTGCATCGGCAAGACCTGGTCGATCTACATGGACGTCCCTAGCTGCAATGAACCCGTGGTGGTGTTGCCTCTGCTACTCAAAGATGATACTTCCGCGTGTCTAAAAAATTTGTAAAGGATGTTACGAAAGTCTATGTGAAGATTGGAAGCTTGTATCAAGTGTTCGGACTCTTGACTCACGTGGGAAATTTCTTCAGCTAGCCATTTGGATAGGGAATAGGTCGACAGGAATTAGGCGGATACTGCACTCTTCGGTAGCCTTGGACTCCTCTCGTAAATCGACGATCGATGATTCTTGGCATTTATTTCGAAGGTTGGACAATGTAATGCGATCTTGATATAACGTCGTGCTTATTTAAGAACCGACACGTAGTGTAATGGCGTTCGACGATAATAGACGTCACCACTGGAACAGTTTATTTTATTTTTTTTCGAACGATTGCGCACGCTGGTATTCGAAAATTATACAACTGCGATTTTGACTGGAATGCTTCGTTAGGTTCCCCGATCGTCATTCCGAGTGACGCGAACGGCACCGTTAATTGGTACGTAACGTTGGCAATTCCCAACAAGAACGTCACATCGTCGCGTGTCGAGGAATGAGGTAAAGGAGATTCTTGTATTTTCAAAGATCGAGTCGAGATCGCGAACAGTAGAAATGCGCGATTCCTGGATTTTCAGTTCGCGCGCTTTCAGCGACAAAATTTCGGAACGGACACTTTCGGGCGCTTCTTCGCTTCCATCTCCATGAAGAACTCCTTGATGTCCTCCTCACGGACGACCTTCTTGTTCTCCGCGAATTTTTGTAGATACTGTTTCAGTCGTTCTTTCATGTTGTTGTACTCTGCGGAAGGGTCAACCGATACAATGTATGATCGGAGAGTGGGTGGCAATTGTAGCAGGTGGGAAGAAAAGAAGTTGCTTACCTTCGATTGCATTCACCTGTTGAACACGATCCAACGATGCCAGAGCTTTCATGCCTCTTTCGTACTGCGACTCCCTTGTGTCAGCCTTTCCAGCTTCTTCGTACACTCGAACGCTATCCTTGGAGTCCAAGAGGAATGCAATACCCTTTTCCTCGTACATCTGGGTACCATAGTTGAATATTTTTTGGGGTACAAGGATGAGTACGGGTTATGAAAAATATTCAGCTTACCGTCTTGCATTGGCGACAGGTGCACAGGGCTGATCTCCAGCCTTCCTTCCAAAAACAGCTGCTTTCTTTTTGGAGGCCCTTATGTGGCATTGGAGGCATGACGCAGTCATCGGCTGGAGTCTCGACATCTACCGTAGCTTCTTTGCCTTCTGGCGACTCCTTGGCAGCTCTCCGTACTGACGGAACGAAATCTCTCGTGGACACTAACGCCGATACTCGGACATCTTCCGCGAGTAATAAAACCTCTAGTTACCCGAATGCGACGCAGCATATTTCCACAGAAAGTCGTGTTTCTTCATACACCCAGTGCATACCATTTCATCGTAATCGTCGTAATCGGGTGGGCCTTCCTCAATATCCAAATGCTGAAAAATATCAAATCTATCATTGTATAGGCAGATGAACAAATAAAAAAAATTGACACATCAATCGGTCTCTACCTTGGAATGATACCAATCTTCACAGATGACGCACTGGATCATTTCATCGCTATCCGAACTGTCCGGATCGGGATACGGTCTCGAGCAGATACAGTAAACTCCATCAAAGTTTTGATCATATTTATTTTCCTCGTTAATGGGTGCCTTTGTCTGGATCATTAAACAGGGTTGCCGTTATCGTAACGAGAAGTCTTACAAGGAAACTGCAAAGACCAACTATCCACAATAAAAAATTCTTACCGGATCGAGAGAGCACTTTTTGTCGGTGAAGCTGGAATTTCCACAGTCGCATCGGAAATGTCTTTTAGTGTATAATTCAACCAGTTCGTGACCCTCATGGCAGTGGAAGCTACAGGCCAGGCAGATGGCAGCTCGTCGTTCGCGATGACAGGTTTTGCAGGCGTAAAGTGCCTGTCTGATATAACCCTGCAACATTTTGAGGTTAAACATGTAGTACGGATCGAATGCAAAATTCTAGTCCTACTGTACAAAACGTCGTCCTTGTCACTTCATACACGTCATTTTAAACGATATTCTATCTCATTATTGCCACCGATATGTGGAAAATCAAAGGAATGGTATCGTTCCTTCGTGAAATATGAAAAAAGCGTCCTAGGACGCTTACCTTTTCATAGGTACAGTGTCGGTCGTCCGAGGCCCCCAAGACCGCTCTTGCACCTTCTTCTAGCTGATTCTCCTCCCGCAGGACATCCAGCATCGTCACCGAGTTCTCATCCTTCTGATTTTCCTCCATTTTCACTAATTCCCCGTACCAGAAACTTTCCAAACCGTTACAATTCCTCTCTGCCGCACCACTCCCGCCACAGTACCGAATTCAAAAGTCCCTAAAACAGAGAGTTCCAGAAATTCCCAAGTCCCGCAATTTCCCTCCATGCTGAATCGTAGTCCTCTGCCGATATTTCCCAGAAACTATTTCACACGTATAACGTACGCTCCAAACTCTGTCGGTCTTTCTCGTGCCTGGAAACCAGATAAAACTGGGCGCGATCTTACCGACTCGCGCCGGCGTAGAGGTCGGCGCGCGCACCGCGAGATGTCGCCACGGGGCGAGCCACTTTTAGATTGATTTTCAAGAGCACCGAGAGCGCTCGGTGTTATTTTAATGTGCTACAGTGGGCCGTGGGTGACTCGAGCACTGCTAGGCGAGGGCTCGGTGCGTGGCCTCTCCCTCACGGCGGGCGGAATCGGTCGGCGTTATCCAGGAGACAGACTCGGGGACAGATCTCTCTCGGGACCGGCCGGGGCGCGCGAGTCAGTGTGTGGTGTACCGCCGACGCAGTGCGTGAAATGAGCGACAAGGACCGATCCTCGCCCACCCTCGTCGAAAACAGCCTGAAGTCGCTTCTCGACCAGCCCAGTATTTTTCCGCTGATCGGTGAGTGGCGAATTCTCGACGCACCATAGACCCCGGTCGGGGCGCACTCGCGCCCGCGCTCTCGACAGGGACGCACGCACCTCGGCGATCCGCCGTTCGAAAATCGCGCATCCTTGCCGGAACTACCCCGACGCGCCCTGTTGCCGGTTTTCCGCGCGTCCCGCGAGAGCGGTGCTCGCGGCCACTCGCCGCGAACCTTCGCCGCGGAGCCGCCCGGGGCGGCCACGCCGGCGAGAGAGAGAGCGAGCGAGAGGACGCGCGGCCACGCAGGCGGGAGCGACGGAGACAGAGCGAGAGAGGGAGCGAGACGCCGCGCCTAGGTCTGCACTAGCCCGTGCCCATTGTTGCGCCGGCGCTCGTCTCGCGATTAACCTCGTTCGGACCCCGTGGCGGACCACGTGACACCGCGCGGACGACCTAACCTCAACCGGCCTCCGCTCGCTCCCCCTCCGGCTGCGCGGACCTGCGCACTCCTCGCCTCTCCGCTCGACGTTCCCTTATCGGCCGGGTACTATCTTAGCTCGCATTTTTTCTCCGGTCCTCTGGAACGTTCTTTCGATTTTGCCGATTTAAAGCCATCGACAAGGATTACTTTTTCACGACGAGGCGGAAAGGAAAAACCGCCGAAAGGAAGAAAGAGAGGAAATGGACGGGCAAATGTGTACCTCGTGGACGGTTGTGGGGATGCAACGCGAGATTTTAATCCAATCTCTGGGGGATCGGTTGTATCGATTTATCGAACGCGGCACGAGAGGCGGTCCATGGGTTGACTTCGTAAAGATTGCGCACTCTTGGGCTAGCCATCGACTTTATCCCGGTTTATCACCTTATCACTGGCGTGACGGCAAAACCCATCTCGCTCGATTTTTAGGAAATACGGTTCCCTCCTTCGACCGTTTCTTCCTCGTTGATAAAAAGCCTGGCGATCTCGAGACGATCGCATCTCTCGAAATCTCTCCTTCTTTCGTATCGACGATGCAGGAAAAATGGAAAAACTCTGATAAGGGTGTCGAATATATATTAAAAAAAAAAAAAAAAGAGATTCGCCGTTCTTTCAGCAGAATCCACGAGTGCGCGCTTCCAAAATTACGAGTTTTGACGTAATTTCGGAGGCGTAATTTATGTGACTTTTATTTTTATATGCGTTTTTATAGTCGGGTATATTTCTTCGCCCTCGTACTTTAGACGGTCGCTCCTTGCGAGGCAGACTTTAGCGACGGGCCACAATGGATACTCGAGTATTTGCCCTTGCGCACGTGTGTCGGTGTGATATCGGCCTGATAGGAGATACCAGACGACGTGTAAAGTAGGAGACGCGTTCCCGCGATAGCGCCCCGGTAAGCTGAAACCCTTTCCTTGTGCTCGTTTCTGAAAGCGGCTCGAAAACGACCACCCTGAACCCGCCACTCCGGTCCCTTTCCAAAAGTTCGAAAACAGGAAAAAGTAAAATCACATCCCACGGGATGTATAAAAATCCGAATGGCAGAAAGAATTTTAATATTCGCGAGAAAATTAACCGGGGTTACTTTTTCGCGTATATCGTTGAGGATCTTCCGACCGACCAGGGTCCTCTTCGCCAACGAAGTCCGCTCGGGGAAAAACTTGATTTTCCGGTGAAACTTCGCGTGATACGGGAAAATTGTTCGAACGAAAAACCATCCGCGGATCATTCTGCAAGTTTTTTGTTTCAGGTTATTTTTTGTAAGATGCACCGGTGCGGCGAGAGATCGTTTTCCCAGGGCTGCGGTCAGGGCGAGGATGGCGGGGGAGATAAATAGGAAAATCCACCGGCGGTCGGATTTAGCCGATATACCAAATTCGACTCTGTTCGGCCTCTTCGGGGCATTCTTAATCCGGGCTGCAGCCTCAATATTGATCGGCACAAGTGCAGGGAGTTGCAGTTCGCTGCCCGGAGGCGCGTCTGCACGGCCCGTCCTTTTTCCCCTTTTTCCCCCCTTTTTGCAGGGAGCACACTTTTTGTCGGGAAATGCGCGACTCGGTCCCTCGGGAGCCGATGCCAAGTCCGGACCTTAGCTCCCCTTCGGGAATTCCAATTACCGCGTCTCCACAGGGCCGACGTACGCGTCTGCATATTCCTCCCTAATTTGTCACCTCTGCCGCATCTATTTTATTTTATCCAAAAATTTCCCGTTTCAGTAAGTTGGAAAGGCAACGCGTAGGTGCTCGATTCGTCTCGACGGAATCGTTATTAAATCCCTCCGCTCCGAAATAGATATCAAGGTCGGCGACCTTGAGCGATCAAACGGCCCGAGAGGAGGCGCTTCCTTGATCCTCTTCTTGTACGGTGGGGTAGGTCAGGTCCATCCGCGAGAACGTCGCCTTCGGGACCTCGGGTAGCGCGATCGTAATTAATTAAACACCGGTTAAGGGAATTAATTTTAATAATTAATACAGGAAATTGCCGCCCTCGTGATGGAGGCGAACCATTTTTTCCGAGATAATTCCAATTCTTTTTTTTTTTATTCGTAAGAATATCCAGATTTTCCAGATCTCGCATACGGGACGCTGTCCTTTTCCCTTGTCTACCTCGGAAACAGACCCGGGAAAATTCCCCACGTTTTCTCATAAAAATTCCTCCACTGTACGAAGGTTGGCGACGGGACGGGCCGCTTTGCGATATTTTAGGGATACGTTTTATTTTTGTTTAAGCGGTATTGTTGGAAATCTGCGTGACTGTCTTGCGAGATGCGGTCGTATAGTTGGCGGAATCGTTTTGCTGCTTTGGTATTCCTTTTTCATTTCTCTTGTGTAGTATCAATTAATCCTGGGGATTATAAATGTTTCTTTACGCGTTAAGAAATAAAAAGGGGAGTACCTAGATGTTTGCCGTTAAGCGATATGATCGCAATCGAAATTAGGCGACCTTAACGTTTCCACGATCGATCAGCTTTCGGCTCGATAAGATAGACCGGCTGCTGATAATTCTTCCTGAATTAGGTGATGCGCTCATTACCTTGAAAGCCTACATCGATTTTTTAAACGTTACGTCCTACGCCTCGATCGTAAGGGGAATCGAGTCCTCATTTTTTGACACCGTTGACTTCTTTCAAATGTTTTATTTCGTTATATTTTTTTTTTTTGAGAGTATCGATTTTTCTTTTAACGTTTTGAGGTTAGAATGTCACGTGGAGTTCGCCTCGAAGCTCACACATCGGATATCATGGTTGTCGATCAGGATTTACGAGGAGAACGCCTCGCGATGGATTACTCGACGGACTGCAATTATTCTCTCCCCCTTGCCCCCCTCCTCGTCGTTGCATTTATTAATTACCCCCTAGGAAGAGAGCACGTAATCGAGATTTTTCTACGGCAAACTCGTTTCCCTTCTGGTCGAGTTTTGCGCTTAAGCTGGGTCTAATTGGAATATGAACACTTTCCGTACTCGATACTTGTAACTATCGTGTAAGTCCGAACAGAGACGGTAGAAAAATGTATCCTTAGATACCACGTACGCATGTATCATTTGAATTTTGCAACGTTAACTTTTTCCCGGCATATCATAACGGCTAATTATCGCACCTGGCAATTAATTCGACTAAACGCCGTGCGGGATTTTTCGCATCAGTCTGATAAAGTGCGGTATAGGATTTAATCTCTTTTTTTTCTCTCTCTCGTCGTGGGTGCGTAGATCCAAGGAAAATTCCCCGCAAGTGGAGAGAAAATTCGGAGATGGATGAATTAGAAATTCTAGGAGCGTCTCGTTTGATTCGCTTATCGGACTGCTTTGGATTGTTCATATCAGCGCGGCTGTTGCGGCGTTCTGGAGGCGGAAAAGCCACGCGGTTTTCCCGGGAAATTGACCTGCGCACTTGGCCGGGAAATCGGATGATGGGATTTCATCCGGAGACATTCGATCTCTCTTCGACCCTCGTGGTGGCCGGACGGGTCGCCAGGGCGATAACGCTTCTCGCGGGTTACCGGTGATAAGGACGATTCCGCACCTACGAGGCGAGAGCCGCAGGTGCGGAAGAGATGCCTGGGACGAGCAGGACCGTCGATCATGCGATATTCGCACCGTAAATGCCTCGGCTATAATTACCGCAGGCGGGTCAAAAGTCGGCGACGTGTAACTCGCTGTTACGTCCGCCGCGGCTTTATTGCGAGCGTCGCTCTTAGACGCGAAGGACGCGCCGAAGGGAGCCTGCGAGGAGAATTATTAACGATAAAGGCATCGCTTATGAATATTGATAAGGAGCCGAGAAAAGTACGCGGCGTCGTTTGCGGAACTTGCAATTTCCCGGGACGAGCGCGTACCGACGCTTGACGAGGCTTTTCGGGAGATCGTCAAAATTCGATCCTCGTGACTATTTGGGGATGATGTGGGAGAGATGCGATCTTGCGGAAATGATCAGAGAGGTAGAAAGGTCTTTTGCAAGCTTCCTGGAGTTTCTTTTCACCTGCAAGACACCTCGGGCGACCAGAATTCCCGCGACCCATCATTTTCATAACGACTCGCCTATGAATCTCTCCCACCCGAGGGGTTTTATTTCACCTCGAAAGCATCCTCGAGGAGGAAGGAGAGTCCCATCAAACCTTCGAGGCGGAATACTATATTTTATACACCGGAAAAGATTAATAGAAATTATTCGGCCCTCGTGCGCGCTCTCCAGGAATGACGAAAGCTCGAGGAAAAGCCTTCGTCCGATTTAGAAAATTATTTTCAGACCGCTTTCCCGGGCCTCGTCGACGAGGGGTACCCGATGGTGGGAAAGAAATCTCAGAGCCGGGGATTTTGGAGAAGAAAAAACGGCTTTTGGAACACCGCCTGACTGTGTCTCGAATCGACGGGATCCGATGCGCCGGGTTTGGCCGGGAGAAAAATTGAGCAGGAACGAGGGGATCA